ACCTATAGGAAACCCCCAAAAAAAAAAACTAATTCAACGATTATACCTTCCTTCTCTTTTAATTAAGGAGAGAATTTCGCCACCACTTTCTTTCAATACGGATATTGTTATTTCAAGTAATTAAAATTAATAAACCTATAACAGTACTTCATTTGAATGTTGTATTTATGAATTTGGTACTATTTCTGGTTTCATAGGACCATTTCTCATTAAATCAGAGTACTATATAAATGTGAGATACAAAACCTCAATAAAACCAAGAAAAAGTTTCAATCAAGATAAAAGAACAAATTAAAGAGTCCATCGAGTCAAGTTCTACAGACAAACTAATAGAAAAAGACTCAACGGTTGTTCACACTTAAATCAATATTTCTATAACAAAACAGTGTTATTTTATTGATTTGTGTGTGAACAAATATTGATTTATTTTCCATATATTTGATTGTCAATTTTTAAATATTATATTTATGAATTTGGTACTATTTCTGGTGCTGTTTTACATAAGCAGACATATTAAAAAGTAGTTATTAATAAGCAAAATATACAAAATTATTTTGTAAAACATGAAAAAATTATAAAGAAATTGAGAGTACCAATAAATTTTTGCGAAAAAGGAAAGATGAAATTGCAACAAAACTACAAAAGTACCTTTGAAATTGCTACAAGTGGTTCTTAAAAAAAAAAAAAAATTGCTACAAGTGTTGTGGCTGGTCACTCCTCATTTGTCCCCCAAGGTGCTCGTCGTTGGCTTAGGAAGTCTCTTTGACAAGAAAAGTCTATCTTAGATCCATTAGCAGTGAACCAGTAGTGGCGACCTATGGTTTGACAAAAGTTTTGGTTTGGCCCTTCTTTGGTTGTTTTGGTGTTTGGTTGTTCTGAACTCATAATTTGTTTTTTTTTCCATATTTTCAGTCATTCAATTTATTTCATTTGAAAAAAAAATGAAAGGTAAGTTAAAATCCATTCGATAGACAACGAAAAATATCTAAAATTGATAATAAAAGAAAATAGTTATACTTTTATATTTGATTTATGCTAAATGGTTATTTGGTTTTTTCCTTTGCAATCATAGTGGTACAAATTTTATACAATTACCTTTAATTATTTTAAAAGAAATAATGGTGGTACAAATGTCATGTTTTCATATAATAAAGATGAATTGGTACACACTATAATAAATTGTATAGAACATGCATGTTTTTCATGTTTTTCTATGACTGGCCTATGCGTAGTAGAAGGGCTTGTTTATTTTGTGTTTTGGGTTCAGATCTCATTTATGATGTAAAGATTCTTTAAATTAAAATATATAAAAAAATAATTCTAAACAGATTATAAACCGAAAATCTATAATTCTCACTGATTAAAAGAAGTTTAAACTATTAAAAGAGAAATATATTTTAAAAATATTTAAACACTGTTATGGTATATACAAGTTCTGTCATTGTATTTACTAGAAAATTTCATTTATTAAAGATATTTTTTTATTATCGTTTTTGCCATAATATAAAAATCATTATAACTTTAATACACTATCATATATGTCATTTTAATTGGTTTAATTTATTGATAAAAAATACTACACTAAATTCAGAAAAAAAATTAAATAAATATGAAATTTAAGTAAATTTTGTAAAATTATTATTAAAATCTTAAGATCTTTTTTTTGTTCACGATCTTAATAAGATCATTAGTAGAAATTTCAAAACATTTGAAAATTTTCAAAAGTGAGATTTTTTTATTTTAACTTACCAAAATGAATTAAAAAAATAAATAAAGAGAACAATTCAGACAAATATATTTTAAGAAATAAAAGATTTGAATAAATTTTGCGAATTTATTTATAGAAATTTTAAGATAAATCATTAGTAAATATTTCAGGACATTTGAAATATTTTAAAAATGAGATTTTTTATATTAACTTTACCAAAATGAATTTAAAAATAAATATATGCCATTTTTAATGAAAAGAACAATTCATTGTCTACTCTCTTTCGTTTTCTTTTTCTGTGCAAGGTCTACTCTCTTTCTAACCCTCTGAAACACATCATAAGTTCATAACATAAGAACATATTAAAAAAATCCAGAAGTAATAAAGGAGAAAAAGAGTGGATTTTCACAATAGATTATATAGTCAACTTATATGCTGCAAAAGAAGGACGAAATCATATGATTCGATATCTACAAATAAGCTCATAACCACGGAAAATTAAGAGTAGTTTATGCCATTTGAAACATCAAAAGCGAATACGTTAAGCTTCTGGATTCAGATTTTTTTTTAAATGAAAACAAATTCTGCAAAATATTATATGACCAAAGAGAAACAAAAATGAGAAGCATAAGAGACCACTCCATTTACGGTTTAAGTTTGAAGGGTTTTGATTTTTAGTTTTTGAAATATTGAAATCAAAAGAAAAGAATGTTCAGTTCAGTTTTCTCAAAAATCACCATATCTTCTATATATTAATTGAGAAGCATTTTTAAAGAGTAAACTCATTTTTGTAAGTATTTACAGTGGTGTCATTATGCTGATGTTTCAGTTAATTATTTTAAAATAATTTAGATTACTAGACTAATTACATGATATGCCATTATATATTTTAGATCTATACATATGTTATGTTTCATTTAATAAATCAGCATTTAATTTACAAAGATATTCTCTTTCTTTTATTTTTTACCAAAAATATATCATATTAATTATTAATTACATTTTCTACCAAAAATCTATTTTTCTCTTATTTTCATTTAAACATATTTTTGTAAAGTAAATAAATTATCACATCATCCATATAATAAAAAATATATTTTTTCAAATTAAAAATATAAAAATTATGTCTTTTAATTCATTTGATATAGTAGAAAAATAACAAACAATTTAAATAATAGTATTTAATTATTATTTAAGATTCAAAAGTAATTAAAAATATACACAAATATTTTTTTTATTATCACATCATCCATATAATAAAAATAAATATTTTTTCAAATTAAAAATATAAAAATTGTATCTTTTAATTCATTCGATATAGTATAAAAATAACAAACTATTTAAATAATAATATTTAATTATTATTTAAGATTCAAAAGTAATTAAATATATACACAAATATTATACTAAATTTAAATAAATAATAACTATTTTGGTGCGAGTTATTACCTAGTTGTGTGGTATTTCTATAGCTAGGTTTTTAACTGTAGTTTGTCTCTTAAATCATTCAAAATTCCTTTTAATAAATTTTACTCACCAAATCTCTTACTTTCAAATGAGGTAAAACTTTTCCATTGTGCATAATTAAGCTGGATCAATAAAAAAACTATATTGATCCTCATTTATGCATTCAAACAAAAATAATTGTTTAGAAACAAAATACATGAAACTGTGAGATAAAAATATGTACATGAGCCAAAATCCATCATACAAACCTATCTATATAACTTTAGTGATAACAAATGATAGAATATGTTCTTTATTTGGAAGAAAAGTATAAATGACTTAAAAGTTTATCCATAACTTCATCTATAGGACTTTTATATCTTAATTTCCAAGAATGAACTTACCCATTCGATTGAAGGTCTCATATCAGTAAGCACTTTAATTAAGGCAAATAAAAAAAAAATGCTCTACAAGAAGTCATAAACCAAAAGAAAGATAAACAAAAACTACATTTTGTCATGTTCACACTATTTCAATGAAGAATGATAAGTTCTTGGACTTATATAAGCCGGAATAATAATGATATGGATGCACAAGCATGTTTCCTCACAATTTTACTAAATAGCTTTTTTTTTGTATAGGTATTTTAGTTTCCTCCACCAACAATCCAGACAAGCTCTAATTACAAGATTTATGCATCCATCCGGATAATTTTGTGTGTGTTCTTATGCAGAGGTCAAATAAGGATATAAGAAAGTGCCAAAAATAAAATATTGTAAATATCAAAATCAAACTAGAAAATCAGTTAAATGCAAAAACACAGAATTTATGAATGTAAATCTGCTTCAGTTTTTGTTTCTTCTAAATATATTGATTCAGTTTTTCCTTGAGATAATTTACAAAAATATTTACTGAAAACTAAAATATAAGACAACGGGTTTCACATGATTTAAGCTATAAATTTATCGATATCATTAATGTTATCTATTTTAGACGGATCTGCCATAAGCCGACTGAAAAGAAGTACTCTTCATACAATATTCAATTACATCTATACTATGTTTTCGATTCTTCACTTGAATTATATATAAATGATTCTAAATGGCTTTTGCGATTTATTTTTTTCGGATGATCAGTGGCATACCATCAGATTCTACAAAAGCTTCTTGAATCAAGATCGTGAAGAAATACTGATTTTCAAGGCAAAGAATCGTTGTTAAAAATCCAAAAAAGATCAATCGAGAAATTTAGGATTGGATTAGCATCAAAATCTCGTCTTAAATGTGCTAAAAATATTAAAATTTTGGTATGGACTTCAAATAAAACAATATGTTCGGTTTGCTTAGAATATTAATAAATGTTTTTATAAACTAAATCCGCGCCATAATCTAGTATATATATAGATGACGATTTAAGCAATTCTAAAATACTAACATTCACATACACAAATCATCCATCTTGTAATATTTAAAGGAAGGGTAAAAGTCAAATTATTCAAATATTTGTTTTACGGTGTTACGAAGACTAGCAAAATATTTGCTGTTTTTTCTTTGTAGTTTTTTTTTTCTTTTTGATATGCGTTTTCTTTTTCAGTATTATCTGACATTGTTATTTTGACACGTAATTTAGTAAATGGAGTTAGAGTCAAGGATTTTGGTTTAGGGTTTGTTAGGGCATTTATTTGAAAATTCAAACACTCATATAGAAAAATAACATAGTATCTGTCAACATTTGTATGAAGGGTAAAGTTCGGTATTGAGATATTTATTTTTCAGTTTTGCCATTAAATTAATTCATACCCAATTGCCATTTAACTACTCTCTAATTTCGTGTCATTGGCCTAATTTTTTGTATATAATGTATGTTTAATGTTTCCATTCTCCGAAATGTTGCTTCTATTTATGTTGTGTGGCAACTCTGGTCATTGCTACTCAAAAACAAACGTAACAAAAAAAAATGGATAAAAGATGGAGTCTTCAAGGTATGACTGCACTTGTAACTGGTGGAGCCATCGGAATCGGGTTCGTCTTTCTATTCTCTAGCTAATATTTTATTTACCATTGTTCTGCGTTATTTTAAAGATGCCGCTAATTTTTTTTTTTTTTTGGTTATGGACTGTTTTAGGCATGCCATAGTAGAGGAGCTAGCCGGTTTTGGAGCTAGAATCCATGTATGTGACATATCTGAAACATTGCTCAATCAAAGTTTAAGCGAATGGGAAAAGAAAGGGTTTCAAGTAAGTGGTTCAATCTGTGATGTGTCCTCTCGTCCCGAGAGAGAAACACTCATGCTGAACGTCTCAACGATGTTCGATGGCAAACTCAACATTCTTGTAAGTTAATATTAATTTAAAGTGAGTAAGAGTATTCTCATAGGAAAAAACTACATATTATCTAGTGACATATATAGGTGAACAACGTTGGCTCAGTTCGAACAAAACCAACAACAGAATATGTGGAAGACGATTTCTCGTTCCACATTTCAACAAACATAGAATCTGCTTATCATCTTAGCCAACTTTCACATCCTCTCCTAAAGGCTTCTGGATTTGGCAGCATCGTCTTTATTTCCTCTGTTGGAGGGGTTGTATCAATGGACTGTGGATCTATTTATAGTTTAACCAAAGGTACGTAGACTGACTAATCAAAATTAATTTTTTTAGTTATACTAGGCGCAATAGTACAAAACTTATTGCTTAATAATGTAAATACAAAACTTAACATACATATTTGATTAGGAGGATTTTTAATTACGTGTATAGTTCTCAAATGATGTTAAGCCATGTTATTAATTAAGTTGATTAGAGTGAATATATATATATATATATATATTATTTTTTATCTCATCTTAATTCATTTATATATGAGATTCCTAGTGAACGCAAACACATTTTTGTTTCAAAAATAATATGATCCCAGTGTCAAAATATTCAGTAACATATTTAAAGATATATATTTATTTGTATAGATACACAAACAAGAGATGTCACAAAAAAAAAAGATGCTAAAAAAAAGATACACAAACAAGACTATTTTAAAGCTATATAGTTAATTTTCATTCATCTTTTGCGCGTGCGTGTGTGTGTAGGAGCTATGAATCAACTAGCAAGAAATTTGGCGTGTGAATGGGCAAGAGACGGCATAAGATCCAACTCTGTTGCTCCTAATTTTATCCAAACTGTTATGGCTCAACCTGTAATCAGTGACACCCTCCAGCTTTTATTTATTTCATCATTTTAATATTAATTCCATGCACTTCTCATTATTGTTTCTTAAAATCTTGTGAATAATCATCAGCTTCTTGGAGACGCCGGTTACAAGAAGAGTTTGTTTAGTAGAATTCCACTTGGTCGCGCTGGAGAACCAAAGGAGGTTGCATCACTTGTGGCTTTTCTATGTCTCCCCACAGCTTCATATATTACTGGTCAGACCATTTGTGTTGATGGAGGTCTCACTGTCAATGGTTTCACATATCAGCCACAAGCTTGAGCCGAGCCTTGTGTGTGTGTGTGTCTTTTCATCAAGAACATCGAAGACACGATTCTTAATTAAAGATCAAGTTTTAATAAAGTGTTCTTCCTAGTTTTCAGGAACACTATCTCACCTTCCATTTCCACATGTTATACGAATCGATGATTTCTTCTCCTTTGTTTCATATTATAAACAAGAAAGTCCTTCTCCTTTGTTTCATATTATAAACAAGAAAGATAATGAATAAAGACACAGAGAAAAGATTTCTAAAGTAAAGTGTTTCTTACGTTCTTGTTGCTTTGATCGGTATCTCTACTAAGATCCCACATTAGAGGAAGAACATGTAACTAGCTACCATTACGTGACAAACTATATATTACTAAAATACCACACATATATTATAATTGTGATGAAATAACATGCGAGCATCATATTTATATATACAGTAGGCAATTCTGATATATAAAGCAAATGATCAAACGATGAACACCACAATACCGTATTTTCAAAAAAAAAAACACCACAATACCGTATAATCGTATTGGAAATAAATTACCACACATATATTAGAATTAAGATGAAAAATTCATTCATATTTTTTTATTTATTATATAATTCCTTTTGAGTTTTGATGATCACCGATCCATGCCTTGATATTTCACAGACCAAAAATTAGTTTTGACTAGGACATGGAATCTCTTATAGTTATTATCTAAAACAAAATCACACACCATGTGAGCGTAATGACCAAAACATTTCCTAGAAGGCTAGTTGAACTGTTGGAAATTTGCATAACTAACGACTGAATCTTGTAGAATAAAACCCAACTATAGGCCCAATAAAACGTACACAAAGGCCCATTAGGTCGATTAGAAAAACCCCGTTCTCGTAAAAATAATAAAGAGTATAATTAAACAAAAATGGACCAATCAATCAAATCAAACTGACTCATCTTAGAGCTCACCGGTCGTCTCTTCTCGTCTCCTCTCCTCCCCGCGGCTCAGACGCCAAGGCAAAAGAGCCTCACGCTTGAAATCTCCGTCCTGAATTTCAAGGCTCTCAGTGATCGGATATGGCGGAGAAGCCGGCGCAGGAGCAGGAGCAGGAGCAGAAGAGAGCGATGGAGCCGGCGGTTCTGGACGATATAATTCGCCGCTTGGTTGAGTTTCGGAACACGAGGCCTGGATCGGGGAAGCAAGTTCACCTCAGCGAAGGCGAAATCCGACAGCTCTGTGCTGTCTCCAAAGAAATCTTTCTCCAGCAACCCAATCTCCTCGAACTCGAAGCTCCCATCAAGATCTGCGGTCAGATTTTCGCTCTCTTTGCTCCAAAAAAGTGTTTTTTTTTGTTTGGATTTTTGTTCACTTCTGATTTGATTGGTTTCTAGTCGCGAAATGATTTATAAAGAGGTTGAATTTGGTAATTTTAGTGCATGTTGAGATTATCAAGCGTAGATTTGTTCAGTGATGTATTAGAACTCTGCTCATCTCGAAAGAGAAGAATCTTTGAGCTCTCTTGCAAGTTGTAACTTGTAAGCAAGTCACACTTATTGGTTTTTTAGGCTGTGAGTTCGAGCATAATTGTTGTTTTGGACCAGTTCAGTAATTAAAGAGATTCATATTCTGCATGATTGGTGACGATCGATAGTCTGAAAGATAAAATTAAGCGAATTGGTGGTAAAAAGTTGGGATTTTTAATACTGCAATTCTTAGATAGGGTTAAGACTTTGAACATGTTCTTATGAGGTTGGATTCACTTTGTACTAGTAATAATTCATTGGTCTTCTTTTATATTGAAAAGTCTTAAATAGGATTATAAGAGTTTTGACATGTTCTTATGAGGTTTGATTCTTTTCTATGTTGACTATGTTCTATGTGATGGGTTTTGATTGGTTCTCATTGAAACGTTTCCGAGGTTGAAAGCTAACTGTTTTCAAGAGAAAAGGGGAAAAAAATCAGCTTTTTAATCTATTTGGCCTGCATTACATAGTTCGTCTCCATTAAATTTTCTTAACCATTCGATGTAATTGTTCATTTTTGTCATCTCTTACTTTTACAGGTGATATCCATGGGCAGTATTCAGATCTATTGAGGCTCTTTGAGTACGGAGGCTTCCCTCCTGAAGCTAATTACTTGTTCTTAGGTGATTACGTCGACCGTGGCAAGCAAAGCTTGGAAACGATATGCCTTCTCTTAGCATACAAAATCAAGTACCCTGAGAACTTCTTCTTGCTGAGAGGAAACCACGAATGCGCCTCCATTAACCGTATCTACGGGTTCTATGACGAGTGCAAACGCAGGTTCAACGTCAGGCTCTGGAAGATATTCACAGACTGCTTCAACTGTCTTCCCGTGGCCGCCTTGATCGATGACAGAATACTATGTATGCACGGTGGGATTTCCCCGGAGCTGACGAGTTTGGACCAGATCAGGAACATTTCTCGACCAATGGATATTCCGGACTCTGGTTTGGTGTGTGACTTGCTTTGGTCGGATCCTAGTGGAGACGTCAAAGGCTGGGGGATGAATGATCGTGGTGTCTCATACACTTTTGGAGCTGACAAAGTTGCTGAGTTCTTGCAGAAAAACGACATGGACCTTATCTGTCGTGCTCATCAGGTTTTTTACTCTCCCATTGAGTGTGGACGGCTCTGGCATTGAGTTTGATTCTGAAAGCTTGTGCCAAGCTTAATCTTGATTTGTTTTTTTACTCTCTTTTTCATTAGGTTGTTGAAGATGGTTATGAGTTCTTTGCGGAAAGACAGCTTGTTACTGTGTTTTCAGCTCCAAACTATTGCGGTGAGTTCGACAACGCAGGCGCGATGATGAGCATCGACGAGAGCTTGATGTGCTCGTTCCAGATTCTAAAGCCGTCGGAGAAGAGATCGCCGTTCCTATGACGATAGAATCACCATGTCTTTTAATGTAGAAGTCTCCAAAAGGTAAAAAAAGCCTTATGTGTAACTCATATTCTACATTTCCTGCTTCAGGTTTAGCTATGTCTCTTGCTTTGTGTAGTTGATGTAACCTTATATATCCTTTACAAATTTCAAGAAAGTAAAACTGTGAAAACATGAATAATCTTCTTTAAGCTACTTCGCTTTTTTTGTGTAATCAAAATTACAGGAATGATGATCCTCTTTCGTGGTTCTTGTTTTGATTATTTTTTGGTATATTATAATTTTGCTGCAGCTGTAACACTGGCGAGAGGATTCTAGATACAGAAACTACTCAAAGTGTTTCTGATAATAGAGCATTTTAAGCAAAACAAAGAGATGGTCTCTCGAACAGAGTAAACAACAACTTCAGGTCTCTGCTGTGATTTTAGCATCATCTCTCACATCTATCTCCATATTTGTCTAAAAATGTGTGTTTTGGAATATTATTAGATTCTCATTTGTACTCTCTTATCTTTTATGAGAACCAAAAGTCAACTTTTTTAGAGCCCCCTAGTTTCTTTCTCCATAGATCACAGATTCTTTATGTGATAACAAAACCAGAAATCCATAATCACCAGCTTTTGCGAGTAGTATATACACTTGCGAACAAAAATTAACCAGGTGGTGCCAATTGTCACATATAGGATCATGTGGTGCTAAAGGAAAGATATATCTGTAGGTAAGGGCTAAAATGAAAAAAAAAACGAAAATTCTGTGTGCACGTGTGATGTTAGTGAACTAAAGAATATAAAAGTGGTATAAGAAACAAACAAATCAGCACAGAGACCTCAGATTCATCCTCTTGTTGGTAACAAGTTGTTACAGAGTTGTGTTGGCATCTCTCTCTCTCTCTCTCTCTCTCTCTCTCTCTCTCACTCACTCTGCGTGAGTTTACTTCTAGTTTTTTGTTTTCTTCCTCCGACGAGGAGATCCTTCGTTTGCTTCTCATCAATGGATTCCCTCGTAGATTCCGGTTGGAAGGTTACTTTCTCCATCCTCTTCTTCCTATTCATCTCTTCCCTTTGTTTGCGATTCCAAACGATTGTTTGATTTGGCATTTCCAGCGATTTCATCTTTGTCTGTAAATTTTTTAGTTTACAGACATTGTGATTACAAGTGTGTGTACGCAAGTATATGCCGTGTTCGATTGATTTTTTGTTTGTTTGTTTGTTTGTCTGTGGTCCATCGCATTGGATTGTTGTGGCTTCGTTTTCGATTGCCTTGTGGTTTCAGATCTGGATTTGACTCTGTATCCTCTGTTTGATTTATTGATTTGTTACCAACCGAAACAGAATCTTCAGATGATTTACTGTTTAGATTCTAAATCTGTTTATGTGGACGTTTCTTGCTCAGAGGATCTGTGACTGGTGATACTTATATACGCAATAGTTTCTTCCTTGATCGTCTTCTTAAAGGTCGAATGTTATATCTACCATTGACTCCTTTTTTGTCTTTCCTTGGTAATATGTCAGTACCTTATTACACATTTCAGCGACTTTCAACTCGCGTGCGTGGGGACTTTCATCCTCCATGAAACTGTGTTCTTCACGTCTGGTCTCCCTTTCGTTTTCCTCGAGAGGACGGGTTTGCTTAGCAACTACAAGATTCAGGTTTTTGCCTCTTCTTTGTTTTCTCGTGATTCAAAAGAGACTTTCTATGTAATTATATTCAAACAGTTGCTCTTTGTTTGGTTCTTTATGCAGACAAAGAGTAACACACCTAAAGCACAAAGAAAATGCATTGCTCAGCTATTGTGTTACCATTTCTTCGTAAACTTCCCACTCCTGCTCGTCTCTTACCCTGTCTTCAAGTTCATGGGCATGCAGAGCAGTTTCCCTCTGCCGTCCTGGTATTATCAGGTTCTTTCGTGCTGAAGCTTTTTTTTGTTTGGTTTCTTTTGGGTTCTGATGGTAACACTAACACATGCATGAGAAGAACCTGAGTCACGTTTGATCTGGTCTATGAAACCATCTTTTTTTGGTGATTGCTCATGCAGGAAAGTGGTCTCTTCCCAGATCTTATTCTACTTCATAATTGAGGATTTCGTATTCTATTGGGGTCACAGGATCTTGCATACGAAATGGCTGTACAAGAACGTACACAGTGTCCATCACGAGTAAGCCTTCAATGCTAGTCCATTTACGTCCATTTACAGTCCCTATTTAGCAATATAAATGATCTTATATGATGTCTACTTACAGATACGCCACACCGTTTGGTTTGACATCGGAGTATGCTCATCCCGCTGAGATTCTGTTCTTGGGTTTTGCTACCATCATTGGTCCGGCTCTGACCGGACCTCATCTGGTCACACTCTGGTTATGGGTGATGCTTAGAGTTATTGAAACAGTTGAAGCACATTGTGGCTATCATTTCCCATGGAGCCCTTCAAATTTTCTTCCTCTGTACGGCGGGTAATGATCAAAACATCTCTTAACCCTATTTAGAGCCTCCTTGAAAGATAAACATGAGTGTATAAACAATTTTTGGTTACAGTGCTGATTTTCATGACTACCATCATCGGTTGCTTTACACAAAGTCTGGGAACTACTCATCAACTTTTGTTTACATGGACTGGTAAAATTCTCTGAACTCTGTTTTCTTACTTGAATCAAAAAAGTCGTAATTAACTAATTTTGTGTTTCTGTGTTGCTTCAGGATCTTTGGTACCGACAAGGGTTACAGAAAACTGCAGGCCCTAAAAGAAGCTTGATACAATTAGCAAAAATGAAAAGTTGGTTTTAACTCTCAAAAACCCTCCTTTCTTCTGTTTTACCTCTCATAATTTTCTTGAATATTTTAAGACTTTATAGTCATAAGAACATCATTAACACTTTGGATGTGCACAATCAATCAAAGTTGTTGATCATCTTAAGTAAAGTTAATCCGATGTTGAGTCTTTCGTGCCCTCGTTTCTCTATTGGACTGTTGTTACTTTAATCTTTTACATATCGCTACTAGTGCTTGTAATTGCATTTGGTCCCTAGAATCCACTTATTTCGATATTGATCTTCTTTAATTCAATAATCATTACAAGAAAGAGCGTTGAAAAGTAAACAAAAACACTAGTCATCCCTATTAACCCTATTTTAAAACCAGGGTTAATTTGTATACTACCCAAAAACCATCACGCATTCCAAGAACAACCAAAAAAGGAACTGAATAAAGAAGTTAAAGCGAAGTGTCTTCGATGTCAGTGTTGTGAAGTGTTGTTGTAGTAAAGGATTAGTGTCCAGTTACGTGTCCTTTTCTTCTGAGATCAATCACTACCACACTCACGTTGTCACTACTGTGCCTTGCCAACGCTAACTTCGTCAGCAATACTGAAGCTTCCACACACGCTTTATCCGAGATCGAATCCACCGCCAGATCCGGATTACCTCGCCGTCTCCGACCACCACGGAGACACATTCGCGCCACCGAGCAGGCGGTCTCGTTTGATACAACATCCCACAAACCGTCGGTAGCTAGTATGAGGCAATCGTCGTCCGTCCGGTCCGTTACGGTTACCTCCGGCTCGCAAATCACGTAAGGTTTTAAATAGCTGTCTCCTATGGCTCGTGACATCGCTAAGACCCCCAAAACTCTCGGGCAGTCCCAATATATGACTCTTCCTCCTGCTCCTTCGATTCGGTCCAATTCATCTGGACGATCAGGCTGTGTTTCATTCAAAGAACACAATCTTTGAGTCAATCAGCATAAGCACACACACACACGTGATATTAAAAAACAGAGCTTTCTTCGTGATATATGTTGGACAAAATGATAAAAACAGAGCATTCGTGGTGAAGTATGTTGGCAATATAATAAAAACAGAGCTTTCTTGGTGAAATATGATGGACAAAAATGATAAAAACAGAGCTTTTCTTGGAAATATATATTTTGGACAAAAAAAAACAATATTTCAGTCTAAAATAGAGACGTCCTTTACCGTAGATACCGTAAGTGACAAGAAAACTCAGATTCTTTGCATGTCTGAAGATTAGTCTAGACTTGTAATAGAAGAAAAGAAATGGTTTTCTTGTGCAAGAGGAGAGACAGATGGAGAGAGGGAGAAAGAGAGAGTACCTTGTGATCTATGGATAGAGGGAATGGTTTTCCATTTCGGCAGAGAACAGCTCTGGAATCGCCGCAATTAGCGACGACGATCTTATCCGGCGTAATGACGGATACAACGGCGGTTGATCCGACGGCGTCACAATTCGGCGTTTGAAGCTCGCATTTACAATCCGCTCTCACGACGTTTTCACTCCACAACACAGCCTCTCTATCCATGCGCGTGAAGCTACGCTCCATCGTCTTCTTCCACTCTTCCTCGTTCTCTTCCCTATCTAAATTCAGTTCCTCTTGCACCAGCTTGTGAAGCCTCTCTTTGCACCTTGCTGCAACCTGGACAAGAAAAACGATGTCGTATATCAGCTAAACCTGAAAGAAAATTTCAGTTTTCGAGAATGAGAGAGAATCTGATGAAACGACGCCGTACGTGGGAACAACCATGACCGTCGTACACACCGAAGTAATGTTGAGGATATTCCGAATTCTTGCGAGAAGAAAACGAGGGATGAATCGCCACCGTATCTTCCATTTCTCTTCTTCTACCGCACACCGAAGAGACGCCATATCTCGGACTTACCTCCGTCATCGGAGACTCGCCGGAGACGTCGACATTATCGTCGCTTCTCACCGTTTTACTCCCGGAGAAATCCTCCTGAGAAGTTTGAGAAACTAAAGAACATCTCGTAGTTTGAGCTTCCTGTTTATTACGCTTATTACGATTCTTCTCCAACTCTTCATCAATCACCGTCCTCTGCTTCCGCCGTGAATATGACGGCATCGATTCATACGCCGACGACGGCGATGCATCCGTCACCACTTCGTAACATATACCCGCCATATTCGAAAATAAAACACACAAAAAGAACTCAAAATCTCCAAATAGGATTTTGCTCTGTTTATTTTTCGATCAAAAGGAACGAAACTCTTTCTCCGATTATCAAAAAAATCGAACGTTGAATCTTGTTTCAGTTACTTAACGGTTAAGCAAACTGAGAAACCATTCAATGGAAACAATAATGTCACTACATGTTGCTTCACTCCCTCTTTATACACAACTCTGCATCTTCAGTTTTGATTTTCTTTTTCAGAGCGTGACGTGCAGATAGTTTAATCTGGACCGTCGATCCGGAGAATAGGGTTATTAAAAAAGAAGCCACGTAAGCTTCACGAGCAAGTGCGAGATTCGTGGTCCAATTGAATTGAAACAGCACGGATCAGAGCAAGTTCCTTTCGCGCCACGATTGTAGTCGTTCTTCGCTTCACGAAGAGTTTTTTTCCCAAAATACACATCTTTTGTATACTGTATTTTAAATACCTAAGGAATTTCATTACGTTAGTTTTCATATTTGATTACCCATTCGATATAAATTATGTTTACTTTTCAAACCTAACTAGCTTAGTGCCGATAATTGATATGTTTGTTAGTAGAGACAGCAGACACGTTAGCAACGAAAACCTTATTATAAATACTAGGATGCATGACAGATAAACTTATTATATAACTCAAATTTTTATTACTATTGTATTCAGAGAATCGTCGGAATTATGTAAGACAGTTAATCAACTATGTTGTGATGGCAGTATGAACCATTTTTTTTTCCTTTTTATAATTAAATTAAATTATTTTTATTTTATTAATTCATTTCTAAAAAATAATATTTTTTATTTCATAAAGAATGTTATTTTAAACTTTTTTTACACAAACTAAAAAATTTAATAAAAAATCTCTTACATCCCTTATAAATATATCAAATAATTTTCTTTTTCTAATTAATATATTAATCTAATAAGATTAAAATTAAATTTTTATTTAATAATTTATATAAAAGGATATTTTTTATAAAATAAAAATAAAATTCTAAAATGACATTTTTTATGAAACGGAGGAGAGGAAGTAGTATTTTCTTTTTAGTTATAAGTATGGGGTGAAAACCGATTGAAATCCATTTGAAATAATCTAGGTTGGAAGTTTACATTAATAAAAACTAACTAACCAAACATAGTCGAGAAGAACCAAAACCAAACAGAATTTTTTAAAAATTGAAAATGTTCACCCTGATTGAATAATCTAAGCATAAAAGATGTATGTTGCATTATTTTATGTTGAATAATTCAAGCATACATATATGTGCTTAAGGGAAAGAGAAACCGTTAATAGTGAAACCTCCGTCAACGCAGATGGTCTGGCCAGTTATATAAGAAGCTGCAGGCAGACACAGAAATGCAACAAGCGACGAGACTTCATTTGCATCTCCAACACGCCCCATCGGTGTCACACTCTCGACCTTTTCTCTTACATCTTTATCACTAAGAAACTGAAATATTTTCACATTTAATAAAGGTCATCAGAAAATACTTAAAACCATTATTTTTCCATAATATTAAGAGCTATCTTTTTTGTTGTTGTTTTGTACGCCTTACATTTCTACTTGCAGGAGTTGTGATGTACCATGGACAAACAGAGTTAACCCTTATGTTATCACTCGCCCACTCGCACGCCAAATTTCTAGCTAGCTGATTCATGGCTCCTGAAATGCGCACATTTGCGTAAGTCTCAATAGAAGCAAATGATCCTTGATTATTTTGATTATGTGTGTGTATATATATATCTCTACCTTTGGTTGCTCCATAGATGGATGCACGACTCAAATTCACAACCCCAGCAACGGAAGACATAAGCACAATGTTCCCTGAACCAGAGGCTTTCAACAAAGGGTGAGCGATCTGTGATAGATGAAAAGTTGACTCCAGATTTGTAGCCATGATGAACGAGAAATCTTCTGCTGTACACTCTGTTGTCGGCTTGAGTACACCAGTCCCTACGTTGCTTACCTATAGAATACACCCAAACAAACCAAAGACAACATGATTTGGTCCTTATATGGGCTCGAGGGAAGAGGAGCTTATATGTTTATACTTACGAAGATGTTGAGTTTTCCTTGGAAGAGAGAGGAAACGGTTTCCATGAGTTTCTCTCGTTGTTCACGAGAGGAAACATCGCAAACAAAAGTGGTGACCTGAAACCCTTTTGCTTGCCATTCACGTAAGCTGTCTTGAAGCTGAGTTTCGTCTCTGGCACATGTGTGGACTCTGGCCCCCAACATGGCTAGTTCCTCCACCACAGCTTCACTATTCATATCACACAGTCAATATGAGTTTAGACATCGTTAAGCCTTTTTTTTTCAGGAGTTTTGTTGATTAACCATTGAAACGCCGTTTTTATAAAAAAACAAAAAAAAAAAACATTGAAACGCCATCAAAAGACTCGCATATATTTATTATTCGATCTTGAACTTGTAAGGATTAATGAGACTGACCCTAGGCCTTTGGAGCCACCGGTGACTAGAGCGGTCATTCCTCCCAGATTCCATCTAGGTTTGTCTCTCAAGCTTTCCCCTGTCTTAGCCATTTCTGAGTATGATCCAGATATCTTTTTTTTTTATGGAGATTTAAACCTCTCATTCTAAGAAATTCACAATGAGAATGATCGTTCGTTACTACACAAGTCAGTGTAGACCACACATGACATATCCTCGTAACGATGTACAATGTAAAGCGTGTAGACATGCCTGTTTTCACGTTTGTTAGGGGTTCATAAAAAAACAAAACAATGGGCCTTCGTTTAGGGTTAAGCCCAGACTTTTTCTTTTCGGAGAGACCTACAATGTCGAGGATCTGATACATACGTCAACACAAATTATTTTGACACATCAAGATCGCTCACCTAGAAACAAAGAAGCACGAAATTTTCATGTGAACAAGCAAATTCTTGTCTGATAAAAGATTCCCTTGGCGGAAGCCTTAGAAGTAATTAATAAACTCAACAAAAATGATCTTAAAGTTTAAGAAACCTTAGAAGTTGTAAAAGTCTTTTAGATTGAGGAAACAATTACAAACAATTTGACCTAATTAGAAATCTCTTCGAAGGGTTAAATTGTTAAATTAACTATACAGATAAAATTAACAAATTACAAGATAGTCTCTCAATAGATGGTCTAACTTCATAAGAGATATAAATTTATCTCTAGATCTCCCTTAGTTGTGACTGGTTTAATAATTGCCTAATTCATTATTTATGGTTCAGTTCCATTCCTTGTGAACACGAGAATCTTAGACCAAAGTCAATGTGAGAATCATGGTAATTTATAAATTTCGTAGTATCAATCTAGTGAGATGAGCTCTTGTAATTGGTTTTATTTTTCTTTTTGAAATTAGTAGAAAAATCTTCATAAAAAAGGCGAGTGTAAATATGATCCAAACATTTAGTACAGTCTTGCACTTAAACCACTGAAACGCCATAAAACACAAGCATGCATATATATCGGAGTTCTATTGTTTCAACACCATATGTGGAAAGGGTTTCCTTATAATGGTTTTTTTTTTTTTGCTCAATACGTCAAACGAAAACATATGGATCTCCTTTCGTTTGCGGTTTTTATTTGTAAAATTACATAGTAAACAATCATATCGACCGTTTAAGGCAAAGACGACTTGAAAGAGAAACCGTGGACGGTGGCACCTCCGTCAACGCTGATGGCTTGGCCAGTTATATACGAAGCTGCGGGAAGACAGAGAAATGCAACGAGCGATGAGACTTCATTTGCCTCTCCAATACGCCCCGTTGGTGTCGAACTCTCCACTTCTCTCTTAACCTCTTCATCATTGAGATACTAATTAAAAGATTTTGACATAAGTTAGAACTCACAAATAGTTTAATCTTTTTCTTTATCATAGTATTAAGAGAAACAATTTAATTTTTCTTTATTTATTTCCTTACACTGTTAGCCAAAGGAGTTGATATGAACCATGGACACACAGAGTTAACCCTTATGCTGTCACTTGCCCACTCGCATGCTAAGTTTCTTGCTAGCTGATTCATAGCTCCTGTAACGTGTATATATACAATAGCTCACATTTATGGTAGCTCTGGATTACTAATCTTTTTAGTGTTATATATTCCTTTAGTTGACTCATACCTTTAGTTAATCCATAGATGGATCCAACATTGATATGCACAACCCCAGCAGCAGAGGACATGAGCACAATGCTCCCTGAACCAGAGGCTTTCAACAAAGGATGCGCGAGCTGTGAGAGATGAAAAGCTGACTCGAGATTCGTAGCCATCAGAAACGAGAAGTCTTCTGCTGTATACTCTGTGGTTGGCTTTGTTATACACGTTCCCGCATTGTTCACCTATATATGTACATAGACCCAAACTAAACACAATAAAAACACAACAACTTCACAGTCTTTACTTGATCTTGCTCGGACCCATATTGATCCTTCTCTTATATACATTAACTTACAAGGATGTTGAGTTTTCCTTGGAAGAGAGAGGAAACGGTTTCAATGAGTTTCTCTCGTTGTTCACGAGAAGAAACGTCGCAAACAGAAGTGGTAACCTGAAACCCTTTTGCTTGCCATTCACGTAAGCTTTCTTGAAGCTGAGTTTCGTCTCTGGCACATGTGTGGACTCTTGCTCCCAACATGGCCAGTTCCTCCACCACAGCTTCCCTACTCATAAAACACATGAAATCAGTGTTTTATACATCATCAAGATTTTTTTTTTAAGGGTTGTGTTAGTTAAAACATTGAACCATATATATGTGATTGAAGATTATTAGGAAAGTATGAGGAATTGGGACTGACCCGAGGCCTTTGGAGCCACCGGTGACAAGAGCGGTCATGCCTCCAAGGCTCCATCGAGAATTGACTCTCAAGATCTCTCCTGTCGTAGCCATTTCCGGTTATCCGTTTCTTCGACGAACGTCTCATATCTTATAGAGAATATAATTGGCCGAGACTAGCTGTGATGTTGGACCATGGGAATTTTACGTGATTGTTTTGAACTCTGAAACCTCACATCTCAAAATTTTCGCATTATAATGATGATAATTTGTTTTGTTTGATGTAAATCGTACAAATTTCAATATAATGATAACGACGTTTGTTTATTCAATTATGAAAAATCTTATAAAAAAATTCCACATTTTGATGATGATTTTTGTGTGCCCAGTGGAAAATTATAAACAAATATATAAATTTCTAATTATGATAAAGACTATTTTTGTTTTCAATGGAAAATCTTATAACCTTCCACATTATGATAATGACTTTTGTGTTCCGTGGAAAAATCTTAGACATACAATAGTAAAAAGAAAGAGTTAATTAAGTAAATGACGCAAAATAACACATGCTAAAATTATTATTAGAAACTAATTTTAGAAATACCTGCAGTACTTCGAGGTGAAGATGTAACGCATAATTTTGTTAAATGTATTATATAAATATATTCATATTCTCATAAATAGATATATCATTATCTAGTGAGCTTAATTCTAATAATATAAAAATCTCAAAATGCTAAATATGTTTTTTTTTTTTTGAACAATATTAGATATGTTGTTTTTGCGATGAAAGTATATTCATTTTTCATTGTTTTCGTTACCTTACGTAAATAGTAGGACTCAGTCACGGGGTTGGCCAACCTATATGAGACCAACTCAGATTTCACTGTTTCAGGACCATTTACATGAATTTTAGTTCAACAAGACCACATCTACATATCGTTTAGTTTTACATTTAGCTACAAACTTCGATTTTAAATGAATCTCCACCAATATATATGTAAAATGAGTTGGTTCATCAAATGGTTTTTGAAAATGTTGGCAACAATATCCAATTAAAAAAAAACCATGCATTTTGAAGAAAATTGTGATGGAAACACTCGAGGAACACACCTATTCTAGTTGATAGATGGCGATTCATGTGTAAATGGAAGTAAAAAAAAAAACTAACAAATAACATCCATATTCTTTGAAGGTTTTTTTTACCCAATTTGTATAGTATGCATGCATGTATTGAAACCAATTCAGAATCAATTAGGGTTCAAAAAAAAAATCAGAATCAATTAGTTATTAGTAGAGGTCAGATGTTATTCCTATCTTTTCAAGCAATATCTTATATAGATGTGAAATTCCTAAACCTTTTTTTTTACTTCATAAAAATATTGAACCGGCTCTGCGTAATTCTTTGTTTTTGTCAACGACAATGTTCTTTTTTTTGTCATAAAAGAACAGAAAAAGTAATTAGAGGTTCATACTCACGTCGGCATAAACCTACAAGGCTACAACGGGGCGAGAGAATCAATATTAGTTCCAATACAGAAAAATCTATAAGAAACAAAACTTAGAAATTAAATGACAAGAACACGATGGAATATGGACCCAATCTCTTTGGGACCATTAGAGAATTTAGAAAGGAGCGCATCAAAATTACGTTTATTACAAATAGACCACAACTTTTAGATTGTCACGGTACTTTATAATATTCATAGGTTTAGATACAAATACATTGCATATATGTGTTTTTGACGTTTAAGGCAGAGGCTTGAAAGAGAAGCCATTGACAGTGGCACCTCCATCAACACAGATGGTTTGACCAGTAGTGTATGAAGCTGAAGGAAGACAGAGGAATGCCACAAGCGGCGAGACTTCATTTGCCTCTCCAATACGTCCTATTGATGTCATACGTTCCGCTTCTTTCTTAAAATCTTCATCATTGAGAGACTATTAAGAGATTTTTACACATGTTACAATCAGAAGTAATTATATGTAAATCTTTTATATATATATTCCATAACACTATATAAGGTGATTTTTTTTGTTTGGCCTTACATCGTGAGTTAAAGGAGTTGTGATGAACCAAGGACAAACAGAGTTAGCTCTTATGCTGTCCCTTGCCCATTCGCAAGCCAAGTTTCTAGCTAGCTGATTCATGGCTCCTGAAATGAGTTTATATACATTTTCAAAAGCATCAAAACGCAAGGGAAAATGGTTTGAAGGACATATATATAAAGGGTACCTTTGGTTGCTCCATAGATAGGTCCAATACTCATGTGCACAACCCCAGCAGCAGAGGATATGAACACAATGCTCCCTGAACCAGAGGTTTTCAACAAAGGATGCGCGAGCTGCGATAGATGGAAAGCTGACTCAAGATTTGTAGTCATCAGAAACGAGAAGTCTTCTGCTGTATACTTTGTGGTCGGCTTGTATATAGTTGTTCCCACATTGTTTACCTACTTATGTTTTAGATCAAAACAAACAAAATTTTAAAAAAGCACAACATGGTTTTTGTTAGAGACGGATTTTGCACCCCCTCTAAAATTCTTACATCAATTGAGATAGATCCATTCCAAAACCCTAAAGAATATTTAGGTCGGCAAGATAAATGGAAATCTTCTATTTATCTGATCAAGTTCTGCAAAAAAATGCAAGGTCGGCCTTATCAAGAAGGAAGTTTTCCTATCTCAACAGGAGAATGTATCTCCAGAAGACCGACCTTGTCGAGCTATAAAAAAAGAAGTCATTCACTTCTCAAAATATCTTCCAATCATCCAAGAATCTCTACACTTTGAGAAGACCTTATTCTCTCTAGATTTCATCTATCTAACTCTCTTATTATGAACTACGATTGGTTTGATCCCTTCAAAAGGGTACGTAGGCAGCCTTCAAGATTCAGCTGTTTCTTAATAAACATCCGAAAATCCTCTCTCGAGACCTAGGACAAACTAGCAAATCTATTGTTCTAAGTTCTCGAGTCTACTTTATTACTATTTTAGGTCGGCCGACTTTACTCTGACGACCTAAAATCTATGTGTACCTTCGAGCTCCGGCTATTCTTGATAAAAAGATCTCTCTTTAAACCCACAAACCTTAGTTCTCTTTTAAAAGTCGAACTTGAATTTTTACAGTTGGCGCCATCTGTGGGGAATAAAAGATTAAATCTTTAAAAGAACTGGAGCTCGAAGATGATCGAAACACCATCCATCGGTCATAATACCACTGGTCTCACCGAAGACTACACAGCAGCTCGTCGCCCTCGCAGCCCGTCCTCATCGTAGCTCGTTGCCCTCGCAGCTCATCGCCCTCGCAGCCCGTCCTCATCGCAGCTCGTTGCCCTCGCAGCTCGTTGTCCTCACAGCCTGTCATCATCGCAGCTCGTTGCCTTCGCAGCTCATTACCCTCGCAGCTATCCTCATCGCAGCTCGTTGCCCTTGCAGCTCATTACCATCGCAGCTCGTCGCCCTCGTAGCTCGTCCCTGAAAAAACATTGACCTTAAAGACACAGCTCGTCCCTGAAAAGACATTGACTTTAGATTGTCTCTTTCAAGACATTCGTTTAAGCTCATCTTTTTAAAGACATTCGCTTCAGCTTGTCTACTTGAAAACGCTCGCTTCAGATCGAAGTCTCCATCTAGGAACTAGCTCGGACTCTGCATCTTGCAATCAGATCGGGATCATCAACTCGCTTCAGACTGCCATCTTTAAATTAGACTGTGGCTTTCGGATCCCTTCAGGTCATCTTCTTTGATTCGCTCGTGCTCAGCTCTCCATTAGATGAGCTCTCCCAACAACTCGCTTGCTTAAACAATTCGTTTGTTTAAGCAGCTCGTCAGGTCATCGATCTCACATCTGAGGTCGTCGGTCTTCAATCTCGGTTTCATAGCTCGTCAGGTTGTCGATCTCACATCTGAGGTCGTCGGTCTTTAATCTCAGCTTCCCAGCTCGTCAGGTTGTCGATCTCACATCTGAGGCCGTCAGGTCGTCGATCTCACATCTGAGGTCATCAGTCTTCAATCTCAGCTTCACAGCTCGTCTGGTCGTCGATCTTACATCTGAGGTCGTCAGGTCGTCGATCTCACATTTAAGGTCGTCAGGTCGTCGTTCTTCAACCTCGGCTTTCCAGCTCGCCAGGTCGTCGGTCTTCAATCTCAGCTCGTCACAACGTCGATCTTCCAGCTCGTTGTTCACATCTCAACTTTATTTATTCATATATTGACCGGTTTCATCTGATACTAGCCTTGTCCGGGCTAACACAACTCTCGGCTTAGGTATGGGTTGGCAAGCCTTAGGCTTTGGCCGAGAGGGATCGAATTTTTCAGATGGACTGGCTGCAACTTTGGATTCGTTCTAAGGTCTTGGCTGGACCGTCTGTGATGTTCGATCTTGTAGCATCTTCGGTCTGGTTTATGTCGGATGGTTGGACATGCATGTTCTTGTTTGATTGTTGCACGGCCGATTAGTTCAAATCCGGCTTAGATCACGTTGGGGGTGTTACAAATGGTGGTATGAGAGCATGGTTCATGATCATGCTATATTGGGACTTGGTTTTCAAACGTTTTATCGAGTCAAAACGTGTCGCAAAGGCAACTAGGAAAACTGGCATGTTCCTTGCATTTTAGGTAGAATGTTAGGACTTACCCTTGGCAGGTTATGTTGGCGTCGCCACAGAAGCTTTAAGCAACAATCAGATGAGAGTATTCTTTAGGTATAGAAAAACCCAAACCTTCACGACCTTTTTAAGGTCCCAGAACAGGTAAGTATGGGTGCTAACTCTCTTAAATGATTGATTGCATGATTCCTTGCATGGTATTGTATTGAGTGAGGATTTGGTTAGGATATCCCTCGATCCTTTCTTAGAAACCATAGGAATCTACCTTTTAGTATTTAAGAAACCATTCGGCCTAACTTTGAGAATTCGGGACGAATTCTTTTAAGGGGGGAAGAATGTAATGACCCTTATAAGGGATGCGGATGGCTGGTCACAAGTAGGATAGTCAGCGACCTGTCGGAGTAAGAGTTGTCTCGTGGCTATTTCGTCCTTATAGATCCAAAGTGTTTTTTTCGTCTTTATAGATTATTGGATCAGAACGAATCTGGTCAAGCTATTTCGTCTTTATTGATTAGCGGATAAGTATGAACCTGGCCAGCAGCTATTTCGTCTTTATGGATGAAGAGATAAGCATGGACTGCTGTTTCGTCTCCATTGATTCATGGATAAGCATGGACTGCTATTTCGTCTTTATATATGAATGGATAAGCACGAAGCTGGCCAGTGAGCTGTTCTGTCTTTATAGATGAGTGGATAGGATATGATAGGATCAAGAGTGGATAGGATATGATAGGATCAAAGGTGGATAGGACCGGTGACTGACCTATGTGCTAGGTAGCTTACTTAACCCCTATAAATACCCCATCACGTTGCCATTTAGAACTCACGCCAAAAACGACCTAGAGAGAGAAAGGAGAGAAAGAAAGAGAGAAGAGAAAGGGCATTCAGGTATAAGGAGAACCGGAGGTAAGGAGGCAAAGCTAGGACCCATCCGTGGTAATGAAGTCTAGTCTATAAACCGTTCAGCCGAAAGCACTGTGAGTTGTGGTGATGTGTGATTGTTTGCTAGGATTCATTTGTTAGATTTCGTGATGTTTCTACTATATGCTTATTCGATTATAGTTGCATGAGTTGTTGTAGTCTTTGGTTAAGTTATTCATTTATATTTGAGGTTCTAGGACAATTTAGCTAAATGTTATGGTGATTGGTGATGAGTTGTGATGACGGTTTGATCCTACCTCATTACCTTATTTTTTGCCAATGGACTGGCTAAATGAGAAGACTCGGAAAGACGGGATTGCAGCCTAGGGCCAAGTTCTATCCGACGGGATAGTCAGGTGTTTGCCGTAGATAGTCGGAGCCTACCGAGTCTGTGCGGTTGAAAGATGGGATTCGGGTTTGTGAAGTTCTATCTCATGTGCCTTTGTGGTTATGAGATAGGTGTTCATGAGAGGGACAGGATCAAATACGCTTGGCCTTTGGTGATGGTGTGGTGACATTGTGATTGTTTAGTAACGCATAATTTGTGTGATTTGCGTGTTGTGTGTTATTTTAGGTTTTGGGTTGTGAATTATTATATCTGTTAGGGGAGCCATAACTCACTGAGCGATTAGCGCTCACTCCTTACTCTCTTTTGCAGGAAACCAGTAGACAGTAAACCTGGTAGTGGGAAGCAAGGGACGTTAGGCCGCTAGTGTAGGTTTTGTTGCCTTTGTAAAATAAACGTTTGATGCATGTTGTATAATCGTTTGGGCATTAGGCCGAAGTATGAAAGTTTGTGAAATGTTTTGTGAAACCTTTATATATGAATAAATAAAGTTTATTTTTATATTGAACTGTTTCATCTGATACTAGCCTTGTCCGGGCTAACACAACTCTCGGCTTAGGTACGGGTTGGCAAGCCTTAGGCTTTGGCCGAGAGGGATCAAATTTTTCAGATGGACTGGCTGCGACTTTGGATTCGTTCTAAGGTCTTGGCTGGACCGTCTGTGATGTTCGATCTTGTAGCATCTTCGGTCTGGTTTATGTCGGATGGTTGGACGTGCATGTTCTTGTTTGATTGTTGCGCGGCCGATCAGTTCAAATCCAGCTTAGATCGCGTCGGGGGTATTACAAAGCCGATCTCACATGGTCGCAAATAAAGCCGATCTAACATCTGACAGCAATCCAAGCCGACCTCACATGGTTGAAAATAAAGCCAATCTAACATCTGATCGCAATTCAAGCCAACCTATTGACAATGTTCGACAAGTCACACTACCATCAGCTCGTCATCTACCAACTATCTGCACATCGACGTTCTAGCCAAACGTTCGATACGCCTATAGCTAAGTCTGATCCACTTAGCTTGGCACACTTAAAGCCAAGATCTGTCTTGCATGCGTATAAACGCCGCAGTTAACCTGCATATAAGCCGATCTATTTCGCAAAATCCAAGTCATATAATAGTAGTAAGCCGAGCCAGTCTCGCACTTTATATTCGATCTGGATATTTCTAAGTGGTACTAATAGAAAAATACCGACCTGATTCGCATATTAGTATTCACATTTAGAAATTAAGTGGTACAAACAAATGTAAGCCGAGCCTCTCGCACGTTTTTATTCACACTTCCTTTAAGCCGGAACCTGTTCTGCACTCCTAAGTCATGCAAAACTATTAAGTCGACCTGATTGCACCTTGCATTTGACTTTGAAATTTCTAAGACATGTAAACAAATAAAGCCGACCTCATCTCGCTGGTTAACATTCAGACTTAAAAATATTAAGTCATACGAACAATTTAAAGCCGATATCGCATAGCACGTTCGTATTCGACTCTAATAAAAGCCGAGCACACCTCGAAATCATATTATAGATTGAGAGCATAGTCTCGCACGCGAGTATATATCAAGCCGAGCTCCTTAGCTCGTTATATTTCACTTCAGCTCGGTAAACTTCACTATACGCACCAATCTCGAAAACTATACGCCATCAAATGGCCGACCTGAAAGCTTAGAGGAGTGATGCTTCATTTTTCTGACTCTTGGAATGGTCCGATCTCAATTCATGCCGAATTGTCTCTTCTAATTCACCAAGCTCAATACTCATTCGCTTGCCGAACTGGAGGCGGGACTAACTGTTAGAGATGGATTTTGTACCCCCTCTAAAATCCCAACATCAATTGAGATAGGCTCATTTCCTAAGGAATATTTAGGTCGGCAAGATAAATGGAAACCTTCTATTTATCTGATCAAGTTCCAGAAAAAAATGCAAGGTCGGCCTTATCAAGAAGGAAATTTTCCTATTTCAACAGGAGAATGTATCTCCAGAAGACCGACCTTGTCGGGCTATAAATAAAGAAGTCATTCACTTCTCAAAATATCTTCCAATCATCCAAGAATCTCCACACTTGGAGAAGACCTTATTCTCTCTAGATTTCATCTATCTAACTCTCTTATTATGAACTACGATTGGCTTGATCCTTTCAAAAGGGTACGTAGGCAGCCTTTCTCAAGGTTTAGCATTTTCTTAATAAACATCTGAAAATCCTCTCGAGAGACCTAGGGCAAACTAGCAAATCTATTGTTCTAAGTTCTCGAGTCTATTATATTACAATTTTAGGTCGGCCGACTTTACTCTGACGACCTAAAATCTATGTGTACCTTTGAACTCTCAGTACCGTCTTGGTTTTTTTAAAAGCCTTATGCAAAAATAAAACTTTGGACCTTTTTTTTAGAAAAAAAAATAATTTTGGACTTTTTAAGTATAAATTTTTTTTTTTTAAAACATATTTAGGCCCTCTTTTCCTTTCAAAAATTTTAAAATTTGAAATGGGCTCTGGGCCTGTGCCCCTCTCGCCACCCCTTAGAGCCGGGCCTGCGAACTCCGACTATTCTTGATAAAATGATTTTTTTAAACCCACAAACCTTAATTCTCTTTTAAAAATCGAACTTGAGTTTTTACAGTTTTATTTTTGTAGATCCCGAGATCATGGAGAAGAAGCATATATGTTTACTTACGAGGATGTTTAGTTTTCCTTGGTAAAGAGACGAAACGGTTTCCATGAGTTTCTCTGGTTGGTCACGAGAAGAAACGTCACAAACAGAAGTTGTAACCTGAAAACCTTTTGCTTGCCATTCAAGTAAACGTTCTTGAAGCTGAGTTTCATCTCTGGCACATGTGTGGACTCTTGCTCCTAACATAGACAGTTCCTCCACCCATAGCCCGTGACAACTCTACCGGATACCATAAACAAATTATATAAAAAATGCCCTTATGTATATAATTTTCTTTTTAATATTTAACTAAATAATAAAACAATAAAAATAAAAAATTATATCTTAACTGTAATTAATTGTTAATAAATGTTAAAAATTCACTAATTAACTCAATTAAATTAATAGTTTAAGTGGAAAAAAAAAGAACGTTACATAACATAAATTGTTTTTTCAATTCAAATTCTTTTATATTAACAATTGTTTCTATTAAAAGTTTAAATTATTTTCCTATCCAAATTCTTTAATACTGATAATTGTTTCTATTTTTTGTTACAATGATTAAAATTGTAAACTTCAAGAGAACTAATTAAGTTAATTAAATTTCTATTGGTTTAAAATTATAGAAAATTGTTAATCACAAAAATAATAAATTAATATATCTAATATTAATAAAAATAGAGTTTTTTTTTTTGAAAAATTTTGATGCCCTATAATGACAACAAAATTTTTGCTGCCCTAAGCAAATGTTTCTTTTTTAATTACATAGGTCCACCACTGCTCTCTATTCATGACACACACGCAAACATAGTTACATCATGAATTCTTCATTTTGTTTTGTGTATAAACTGATAAACATCAATAGAATAGAAGAGCATATAATTCTATAAAAATGGGAACTAAGATTCACAATGTGGACTGACCCGATGCCTTTAGTGCCACCGGTGACAAGAGCGGTCAAGCCTCCAAGACTATCATTAGATATACTATCATTAGATTTAGATGTACCACATATATATAATATCACTCATATCTCTTGAATCGGTTTATCATGGTCATAGTTTGGTTTGTTAATGTGTTAATTTGTTAAACACTTGTTTTTCAATAAAACAAACTATACAACCTAAAAATATATCACCCAAAAATATATCACCAAAAAATAAGAAAACCTAACATATATCGTGAATTAGACTTATGAGAAAACAAATATTTACTTTTTATTTTATGTTTGATTGATAAAAATATTTAGTCTTTCTTAATTAATGAGTTTCTTTTTGTTTTAAAATTATTTGTGATGGTTATTGGGCTAACATTCACTAATATTTATTAGATCATGGATCAGTTAAAAATCTAGAGGGGTCAATAATTATTTTGGACATGGGTCAATTAAAAATACTTAATAAAAGTATAGTTATTTTTCTAATTTTCACATGGGTCAAATGACTCTCCTAATTACAAGCTAGCTCCGCCACTGAGTAAGAGTGGACATTTTACCCGGATCGGACCCTAAATATTATATCCAAACCAAATCTGATCCAAAATTTAAAAATACCTACTAAAAACTATACTTTTGAAATATCCAAAACCCGAAATATCTGATCCAAACCCATATTCTATATTTCATAGTAGTGGTGTGTAAGGAAAGACTTTAAAAAAAAAATTAACTAAAGATTTTTTTAATCAATTAATTATAAAATGGAGATCCCTAAATATATTAGTCGCACGTCTCGAGATATTATTATTCAACTTTGTTTTTTGCTACTTTTAACCAAAATAGTGGGGTCGATGTTTAGGCGAAACTAAATCGAGTAGATCGATTCAGTGGTTTCATTGATTCAGAACAAATGAACAATGCAACTTTCCTGAATTCTTTCTACCATTTATTGATTTACATGTATTTGAGTTCATCAGTACAACAGGTGAGAGAGACCATATCGTTTATTGATCAAACTCAATCACAAGGTTGGTAATAAAACATAGAAAGTATCAAACTAAATATATATACAAAAAGAAGCAAATAACTAGCATCGAATTTAAACACGACCACATTTTTTTTTTTTTTGTAAGAGATTTCCTTCCCGTGGTAATCTTCTTTCATTACTTGGATCTGTTTACAGATTAATTGATAAAATAAGAGTAATTTAGTTTTGGTTGTTGCTGACTTTAATGTGACAATTAATATTTACAATAACTCTCAACCTATTAATGTAGTTGAGAGTAGAGAATTTAAGCAGCAACAATAAATAAAACGTGACAAAAAAAATTGGGATGTTAATTCCAAATAAAGTTAGTAAAATCCTATCAATGCTATAGTGGCTCCACGAGTTTTTTAGTTTAATTTTCTTTTCATGAGTTTTCACAAGAATACTGCTTGATCTCCTCACTATTTAAGGTGTTAATACTAGCCAGTTTAACACTAGTTTCATAAACTCGATCGATTACGTACCTCCCCCCTTTGAAACTTGAGCTCGTATACCCCTTGTTAGGTATAAGAAACTTGAGCTCGTATATATTGTTGCTCTAGTCTCTCAATGGTCTCTTTCTCGATAGAATATGACATAAAACGACGCGGAAATAATAGGAAATTGCACCAGATGACAAAGGACTGGTACCAAATTAAGAAACTGACTATTGTTTCCTATGGTCGAAGCATTAAACTATTTTGCCACTACTTTTGTTCACGATATCCTCACGCGCAACCAATATTTGAACCACTTGCAAGTAGCAATTGACGGCACACGAACAAATAATATAATTGTTCCTGCTTAATTATGTAAAGTTACAACTATATCCATTTGTGGAGTGAGTTTGATTGCTCATCTAATATCGCGCGCCCCTTCGGTTTCTGAACCCTAATAGCAGTTTCTCACTATCATCTCTGAAAGCCTAAAAGACGTCTACGAACAACACCAGTTCCGAATTGCTTCCAACCCCGCAATTACCGCCGGCCTCGGAATTGCCTCATCCGTCGAGTAATCACTTAGCCGGAAACCTTGCTCGGTCACCACTGCACGAATCCCGTCTGTGACTAACCCCGGTGTCTCCGTCTTCGGTGGTCTCTGAGTAATTTCGACCGCGAAGAGCAAATCATCACCGCCGCGATACCCGGAAGGCAGCAACTGACAATTTGGGTAATTTATACTCCCCTACATTTACTCACAATCTCTACTCCATTTCTCTGATCTCTGGTGGCGATTATAGATGCCCCTCTACCCCCGTCTTTGTTTTGCGATTCGGAAAACTATGTAAATTTTGCTCGAACTGGAGATGAATCCCACCATATATGATTCTACATATCCTTCAAACAAGTCCCAGACAACATGCAATTGAGTACATATGTTTATTGGTCGTAGATCAGTTTTGCGTTTACTGCCGTTGGGGCTTTGCACATATTACGGTATATCGCATCCTCCTTGTCATGTAGACATCCATTAGTGGTAGATAGACCACCACAAATATCGCAGACTAAGCGCGGTTTTGTTTACATATAACTATACATCGGGTTTCTTCTACATCCATAATCTGTCATAGAGTGTTTATATTTTCATTTAACCATGTAGACTAATATTCGAATTTTCTCTATTTGTTGGCGGGGATGGAATCTAACACGCTTCTTCACAGACTATTCGCTGATCACCAAGAGCCAGTTGGTGACCGAGTGAATTCGTACTTCAAACTCGAAACGCTCGGGGTTATCCTAAAAGCCCTCACACCTGACGAGCTCTCTCTCATCCAGCCGTCATTTGGGAAGTTGCTCGAAATGTATCACAAACCCGCTCACTCCGGCAAACTCGCACATTTTCTACTGACACATCAGTTGAAGACCGAGAAAAAGCATGAGCTGTGGTTCATTTTCGGCGGGAAGCCGGTCAAATTCTCTATCCGCGAGTTCGCGATTGTCACAGGCTTAAACTGCAAACCCATTTCACCTCCTCCTCGGGAAATGCTTAAGTGTAAACCCGGAGAAGTCCCATACTGGTTCACTTTATTCGGGAGTGACGAAAATGTCACCGGGGAGAAACTGGAGGCAATGCTAAGGTGTTCCAAAAACCTGTCCAGCGAGATGAAAGTCAAATATGCATGTCTACTCATAGTTGATGGACTGCTTTTCCGCAAATCCACAGGCATGAAGATCCTCAAAGACCACGCGGAGATGATCAGAGACCTTAACTATTTTCTCAGCTTCCCTTGGGGCCGGTATTGCTTCGATATGACTGTTCAGTGCATCAAATCACGCACCACCACTCAGCTAGCACAGCCTACCGTTGCCGTTCAGGGTTTTATTCACGCCGTCCAGTTGGTTCTTCTTGAGGCGGTCCCAGCAGCGCTGATGACGACGGGGGGAGAAAGCGGGAGCGAGTCGGAGGAGGAAGAGTGTGCTACAGCCAGCACTCTCAAACTCGATAAGCTCTGGGATCTGGATTCGTCGGGCCAGGTAAAACATTGACAAAATAATGTAAACATACATATTAGTAGATGAGGGTTCATGTTTAACTACCCATTAGATTTGTTTGAATTTTCTGATGTGCGTCGTCATATTATCTAATGCTAGTCGCGTATTGCAGGTTGTCGTGTCTTCAATTATAGAATTACACACCCATGACATTTCAGCAGACACGCTAGAGTGGCAAGACGAATCACCGGATCCGAAAGTTGATTACATGGAGATGTTAATTGCAGAAGGTGTCGAGTTTTGCAGGGATTCTTTTATCGGCGGAGAAGTTGGCCATTCTACACCTACACAATCATCTGTTGTTAAAAGCAGGAAAAGGAATCTGCCGGCCGGGCAGAAAGAAAAGTCTGTCGCTCCTGTGCGAGCCAAAAAACTAAGGGAAGGTCGTAACTATGTAAAGCCGCCCAACCTAGGAGATCCACAGCCTCTTACGGCCGAGAGGATAGCAGAGCTCATAGACGCCGCCATGAAGACGGCCCAGTCGAAGCTGGTCGACTCAGTGGCCTCGTCTATGCTGGCGATGGAAAGTAGGTTGGAGCGGAGCCTGAAGGACAAGATATCTGCTATGCTCGCCGCGGCAGGCCAGTGCACAGTAGCTGACCAAGTTATCGGCGACGTCCTCAGAGATATCGACACGGAGACAGAGACAGACCGTAGGAACGACGAATTAAGTGGGCGTAAGCCGCAGACCAACGATCAGAAGGGCAGTGAAGAGCCAAAGACTCAGGACATCGGCGACGTGGCTCTCATTACCGAACCAATTACTGAACAGCCTGAAGACCCTGCCCTTCGAGCTGACAAATCCCCGGCCCCCGATACAGAAGGCGAACCACAATCACTGAGTCCCTCCTCGGGCGTACCAGTACAGGCAGTCAACCCGAAATTCGCTGCACTATCGAACAACTCATCGCCCGACAGGTATGATTATATGTACATATACACGTGAATCCATGGATATCCACACACCCACATAAACGTCTACAATGGTACCATAACATAATATTATATAACAGCCCATAACATAATATAACGGTTCCCTTCATTTTATAGGGTTCTAAATGTGGGTGGAGGATTGCTCATCAGGGAGCAAGATGTAATCGATTTACCGCGGTCAATACCACCGTCCCATCCAGAGGTAGGAACTAAGATTTATTGCTCTCTGTAAATCCGAACATCCTAACCTCCTTAACGCTCCACCTTCTTATCCCGTAGGTCATGGATGCATGCGTGAATATTCTGCGGAAATCACAGCTAGCTTGATCCACACCATCAGAAGATATGCGCTCTGACATACTCCCCAGTAGCTGGGCCGCGTCGATGGCGAAGCTCTATCCTAAATTCAACAAATCAACTCGGAAAGAGGCCTTTGATTTCGGAGAAAATATCATGGGTATGGTGTCGGCACAGCCTAAACTTTGGATGAAAGACATTGACTTTGTCTATTTCCCATTTGCAGTGGATAAGAACAGATGGGTTGGCGTTGTTATTGACATACTCTCCAACCGGATGATGGTTTTTGGTTCGTCAGCAGCCGAGCGGTATGGGGCGCGAATAGTTCCAGACCTTCAATTTATATGCCAGATGTTCTCCTACCTCTTACGCAAAGCCGATGCTGGGCAGGGTGCGATTGATTTTGCTCTCGAACCACAACGGATCTAGAGAGACACGACGGTTGTCCAGTCTACAGAGCGGAAGACGACGGGGATGCTTACACTCTTAATCATGGAGGCGCATGCTTCCGGTGGGCTCTCAAAGGCATATGCTGTTCGGGAAGGGATGATTGAACAATGGGCGCAGAATTTAGCCGTCAAGCTGCTGGAGCACTCTGCCGGGGATGTTGGAACACTGTAGGTGTCACCGCAGTTTAAAAAGCTTGCTTTCATAACAACAGTATGGCTTACGCGTAGTGAATGCTGTTTTATCGACGAACGTTTATGTTGTTTTTTCCTTTATTTGTGGCGCCGCATCCGGATGTGACTGTCTTTTGAATTGTTTAGGACGTAACTAATGGGTTTTGCTGTCTATTATTCCGCACTTAGCTCGAATATATAAAAGCCTGGCTTTATATTTTCGTGGGTTTAGAGATATATTCCTTAGTAGCAGATATTCATTCGGACTGTCATATGAGTTGTTACATCATATTATATGTGCGGTTCGCTATATTAGAATATATTCGCGCGGAGAAGTATAATAATTTATGAAGCGGTTACTTATCTTTGTAGGGGGTAACATCGAATGATGGCCCTTGAATATTTATAATTACTTTCTGTCCAATTTAGACATCTATGCGACAGTCTAGTGTAATTATATGGAAATTTTGCACACTTATTTTTCAACATAGTACTAATTTGACATTATATCTGCACCGCAAGGGGCAGACAAAGTACATACATGCCCCACGTAGGGGTAGAGTTTTCATGATATTACAATCACAAGAAATTATAAATCCTAGAAGTTATTTATTACAAAGGCAGCACATAAGGTCATGTTACCCTTCATTTGTGACGGTAGAGGTGGATGTAATACAATGGTTGCGAAGGCCACTTATTTTCCGAGCACACAACTGATATCCGAAGCCGCTGAGCTTTCATCATACATGACAAAATCGGAAGCTCAATACTGCAATGTCAAAGCCAGACGCGAACCGTTACTTGATGTTCAGCATATCAGTATCAAGTTCGACTGTATGGTTGATAGAGTACATACCTTATTGCACATTTCCTTATTACATTGGCATTGTTACAGGAGGCGCGGTTATGCCCAGTCCCGTTGCAGCGGCTGCACTTGCGGAAAACCTTCCTTCCGGGACGCTGGTACACCAGAGGAATATCACAGATGTAAATGGACCACCATCTCAACTTGTGAACTGTTTAATATTCTATATAACAATACGATATGATACCTTATACTCCCCTGTCGAGAGGTATCTATTACGCTTTGGCCTACCTGGTGGCCTCCTTGTCCTGGGTGGGTGCACCTTCATTGCAGCTACAGCAGGAGGGACCGCATACACACTGTCCATGGCGGGGACGGGATATATACTCTCGTGGTAAGCTAGACGCCAGTAGAACGTGCCGTACTCTGCAGCAACGATTGTGGGCAGGTGGACCTCTCCTTTACCAGCCGCCGCAACAGCATGACAGCACGGGATCTTAAGAGCAGTAAACTCCTCGCAAGTGCATGTTTTGTTGTGGAAGTCCACATGGTAAGATAAACCCGTACGCGTTTTTACTTCGTAGTGGTCCTTGTTGATCTGCAGGACGTGCTAAGCCGTTGAACGTTCGTAATTGCTGTGGATGATTTCGCCAACCTTTGGAGTCATCGGCGACGTATGGTTACTCGCTACATCCCTCCTTTTGTTGAACCATGACATTAGAGTTCCGCGCACGAATTTCAGCATAGATACGATAGGCAACTCACGGGCCTTTTTCAGGGCGGCGTTTAGAGACTCTGCTACGTTACTTGTCATGATGTTGTACCTTTGGCCGTCGTAATGGGACCGTGTCCAGTGATGGAAGCCGATGATGTTCAAGTACTCCGCACATTCTGGCTACAGCCCCTCGATCTCCGCGAAATACTCGTAGAATGTCGACCTTCTTTAGGCACGAGCTGCTTTGGAGATCAATCCAGCCAAGACCTTGTTCTTGAACTTAGCCGCCACATTACGCTGTAGATGCACGATGCAGGCACCGTGGGTCGACCTTGGATACTCCTGACAGACCGGATGTCAACACAAATATTTGTGAAGAACGATTATTCGACAATAACGAGCCATACAAAATGATAGACTGTTATAATGTTTTTTACCTTGTATAATCCAGCATATATGGAAGAATGCCTATCTGAGACGAAGGTAAAAGTGTCCTCATCATGCACGATATACTTCAACTGTTGAAAAAACCACTCCCACGCCTTATCGTTTTTTCTATCTACGACTGCAAACACCACAGGGAAAATTTGGAAATTGCCATCCTGTGCACTCGCTGTCAACAAGCATCCGGAATACTTGCCTCGAAGGTAGGTCCCGTCGATGATGAGGACCTTGCGCATGAACTGTAATCCGCGGACACTCCCACCGAGAGCCACGAGGCAGTATTTGAAGCGCTTCTGACCCGACGCATCATCTTCCGTTTCTATGGCCGTCCTAGACCCCGAGTTGTTAAGCTCAAGCAGATGCATGTATGCAGGTAGGAGGGCGTAGCTACCAGCCGCCGAGCCGTTGGCCCTGTCTATTGCCAGTTCCCTGGATCTCCATCCTTTCCAGTATGAGATCCCGACGTTATGATCTTCGAGCATCACCCGCACAAACCCCAGCCGGGTTTGGCCCTCTTTGTTCACCCACGTAACGGTCCCTCATAATCTCTGAAATTACGGAGGTGGTGGCCTGGCGTTGAAATTGTCGACGCACGTCGACTGGGCAGTTGTGAATCAGCGTGGCGGTCCTGATCTGAAAATACTGTGTATCTTCAATCCTTACAACATACACCCTCCATGGACACGTGTCGGAGAGGCACCGCACCACCACGTAGTCATTTCTATCTTGACTTTACAGTCCCGTTTGTTCTTGAAGACCCGTCATAAATACAGCTCGTCCCCCTCGTATGCCACATCTAATATTACATTCTCCGTGCGATCCACACCTGCGTTAATTATCCATGTCATTAGACATTTCCTCGAATGTATTTCCCAATCAAATACATGTTCCCTGATATATATATAAATACATCTTTATATTTTAATTTACATAGATCCAGATTGTACACATGTATTAATATATATAGATCCGTATACGAATATTAATTAGTATGTAACTTATTAGAATATAAATTTCCTAGTATAGCAACCTATATACAAATATTAGTGTGTACATTTATCTACTGAAGAAGACAATACAAAAAATGGACCATCATTTATATCCGTTTCATACCCATATCCTTAAATGCTCCTATTCATTCAATTATTATTAAATACCTTCGTCATCCGAATCATCCACCACCGGGGCTGCATCCCTTGCAAAGGAGAAGGGAGGAACGCCTTCAGTAGCCACACCGGCCTCCAGGATTGCGGCACCATTGGAGGAATTATCGCCAGTAGCAAACTCGTCATCTCCACCTGCGGCAAGAGAGAATGATGAGCTGATACGGATTTGATGAAATAAAATAGTACTTAACAAATGCATGCCACAGTGGCCGTGCAATTTATATCTGATTATGTATCTGTATTGTGTATAAATCACACTTTTGCAGTAAAAATGTGTCATTGTTTGTTTATCGGCCTACCCGTATCTGGATCTGCGTTGGATACACCACCATTCCTTTTTTCCCCCTCACGTGCCCTCACGCCCTCGTTGACACCTGCCACATTAACTATAAAGATTATTACTAATGCACATCCACGCCACCATGTAGACATGTATATGGATACTTACGGTCTATTACGCCACGCGGAAACAAATCACGAATAGGGTGACGCTTATCCGTCATCTCGGATACGTCCGGTAGGCTTCGATCCGTCTCTGGCAGCACCGACCCGTCGCCCCCGCCGTCGACCATTATCTCTTTATCTCTGCTACGACCTTCGTGGGCCTGTGATGCACCCAACCTACAGGCGAGCCAGGACACTGTCACTCGCCGGCTACTTTTCCCCTCGTCCGGTGTGTTCTTCGATGCCTGAGTCCCATGGAAGTTGTCGCTGCTGCTTGCAGAAGGCACATCCACCGCGAGGGGCCCACTTGGACTCCTCCGAACAACCTCAGCCAATGCAAAACCGCGCGTTACCGGGACCACCGAGAACCCCTCTATATCAAGAGTCATGTTTTTTGGCATAGGCACCACGTACAGCTTCAGCTCGTGGAGATCCACCCGCATAGCCAGAAACATGTCCATATCTGCGTCGTTTCGAATATGAACTGGCACCGGTTTCACAACTCCGTCTTCATCCATCCATTCCGGCATTTCGTACGTCAGCTCGATGTTCTCCTCCTCCACATTTATGTTTAGCTCTCTACAAACTATTGACTTCACCGTACCTAACCCCTGGCCCTCGCGCAGACGTATACCCTTGCTAAGCCTGTCCTCCAATAACACGAACCGCCAACTTTTGACGTAGATATTCATATATAGTAAGAATTGATTCTAAATAATTTATCTGATTTGTAAGGCAGCAGATTTATATGGGATAAGAGGCACAAACGACTATTTATGGAGTGTCCATAAACCTAGGTATGCCGTGATTTTTGCATTTTCCGCCCGGGCCGTCCAAGATCTTGTTGCAGCATTACAAATTGCATTAACTCGCTATCACATTCTTGTAGATCATGCTTACGTAAGGCGGCGGAAGATATCTTATGTCTCCACATTAATTACGAACATCAACGTCAGCCTTAATTCCATAAATGCTCAAACATGTTAATGCTCACATATACCGAATCAAGCAACCTCGTTACTGCTCCCCAACTCCACCACGCACACCCAGTGACATGGGATGTAAATATCTACTTCGAAAAATCACTGTGCGGCACCCTTTAGCTAGTTCCTTCTAGCATATTTTCCCTTTGCTATTTTCCTAATTTCAGATCACACTTGGCTTTCTACCAAATTCTCCCATTTTTTTTTAATATTGTTTTTTTAGAGACACAAAGTATTATGGGTTAGGGATTAGGATCGGCTTTGCATATAGATTACGTTATTAGAAATATAATCCAACAATATGGAAGTTGAACAATTAAAAACATCTCCAACCCTATATCAAATATGGTTTTAAATTTTATTTTGGAAAAAGATGTATTCCAATCTTATTTCATTTTCAGTTGCATAATGGTATAATGCTATTTTTGATTCCAAATATATAATCATCTTCTCTTGAATTTGATTTTGCAATTGAACTTTTTTATTTATATATAAACTAGTCTTTCAAATTTTAAAATTTTTATTTTAAGAGATAAATAATTATTTTGATGATGATTTTTTTATTGATGAATATAATAAATACTAAAACATTCTAATTTTTAAAATTAAATGCAAATAACATCTATATAATAGAAAATATAATGGCATAAATCACAAAATATTAAACTTTTAAAAATAAATTAAATGAATGGATCAATTTGTAAATTTTGATAAATGTGTATAATTAGAAATTTATAATAAAAGAATCTACTTAAAATATTATTTTTAAAATAAAAGATGTAGTCATACAAAATATTATTTTAAAATAAAAGATGTAGTCATACATTAGAAAAAAATCCAATTGCATTATGCAATTATGAAAAATGCAATTATACATTAGAGATGTTCTAAGAGCATAAAAGCTTAAGCATACATATATATGGCATATATGTATTTAAGACGGAGCCTTGTAGGAGAATCCATTAACAGTGAAACCTCCATCAACGCAAATACTTTGACCTGTAATATAAGAAGCTGCAGGAAGACAGAGAAACGCCACAAGCGATGAAACTTCATTTGCCTCTCCAACACGCCCCATTGGTGTCACATTCTCGACCTTTTCTCTTACATCTTTATCATTAAGAAACTGAAACATTTCAACATAATTAAACAAAAAGAAACTCTAAAAAATAGTGTAGTATTAAAAAAGAATTCTTGTCTTCTATATTTCTTACACTTTTAGTTGTAGGAGTTGTGATGTACCATGGACAAACTGAGTTAGCCCTTATATTATCACTCGCCCACTCGCATGCCAAATTTCTAGCTAGCTGATTCATGGCTCCTGGAATTAGAATTTAGAACATTCATATAAGTTTAAGAAAAGAAAGAAACTTTTTATTTTTTTGAGAATGCATATATATATATATATATATATATATACATACCTTTGGTTGCTCCATAGATGGATGAAACCCTCAAATTCACAACCCCTGCAACGGAAGACATGAACACAATGTTCCCTGAACCAGAGGCTTTCAACAAAGGGTGAGCGAGCTGTGAGAGATGGAAAGCTGACTCAAGATTTGTAACCATTGTAAACGAAAACTCTTCTGCTGTACACTCTGTGGTTGGCGTTATTTTACCCCATCCCACATTGTTTACCTATAGACAAACACAAGATGATTTGGTTCTTGTAGATCCCAAGCTCGAGGAGGAGAAACTTATGCATAAACTTACAAGGATGTTGAGTTTTCCTTGGAAGAGAGAGGAAACGGTTTCCATGAGTTTCTCTCGTTGTTCACGAGAAGAAACGTCGCAAACAGAAGTAGTGACCTGAAACCCTTTTGCTTGCCATTTACGTAAACTTTCTTGAAGCTGAGTTTGGTCTCTGGCACATGTGTGGACTCTTGCTCCCAACATAGCTAGTTCCTCCACTACAGCTTCCCTGTTCGTAAAGCACATATAATTTGGTTTTATATATCATTAAGCTTTCTATTTTCAGGGGTTGTGATGTGTTACGTGAAGAAATAGAAACTTTTGTAAACAAAAGTTTAATGAAACAAGTTCTTTTTAATTGATTGAACGATTCCTGTGATTACAAAGAAAGACAACCAAGCAATAGAGAAAGACTCTCTTTCTCTACTCCCACAATCTGATCAACCAATTGATACCCTCACACTTTCCTCACCCACTCTTATTTAACGAATTCCGAGAGGATCCTCTCTAACGACCTCAGTGCGTCAACTTATTCCTTGTGCTTGTGACTGCACCACGTGTCCCTTTACACCTCACAAATATCTACATAAACCTTCTAGAACGTCACCTTTTAAAGCCCACCTCTTGCGCAGAAGGCGGCCCTGATGTTGCTCTTCGTGCTAAGCCTGTGTGGGCTTGGATCTTCTCTTGTAGGTGTAGAGGATCGGAGGTCTCTGATCTGTGTACGTATCAATACTTCCGCCAGCGAAATTGATTTTGTCCTCAAGGTCGAAGTGTGGAAATGCCTTTTGCAAGCATCTCAGCCATTCACGAACAATCATACTCCGGTAATCCTTTCCAACGAACCAGAAACTCCTCCTGTCCTGAAGTTGCATTGATGCGCCTGTTTAAGATCAACTCTGGCTCTGTCTGAAGAACCCCTTCTTCTGAGAGTTGTACGGGAATGGGCTCCGGAATCAGAGAATCGTCGATAGCCTTCTTCAACTGAGAAACATGAAATGTAGGGTGTATCTTGGTCTCCTGGGGCAACTTGAGTTTGTATGCCACCGGTCCGACCCTTGCTTCCACTTCATAGGGACCATAGTACCTTGTTACAAATTTCTCATTACTCCTTCTGGCCAAAGTTTGTTGACGGTAAGGACGAATCTTGAGAAAAAACCTTCTCTCCCACCTCGAACTCTACCTCCCGGCGGTGCACATCCACGCGACTCTTCATAACTTGTTGTGCCTTGTGAATGTGCGCCTTTAACAGAACCAGTGTACTGTCCCTCTCGCGTAACTTCTCTTCTAATTCAGCATTGTTTGTAGACCCATTTTCATAGCTGATCAGAGCAGGAGGATCACGACCATAAACAGCTCGGAAAGGAGTCATCTGTATCGCTGAATGAAAGGAAGTGTTGTAGCACAGCTCTGCCCAAGGTATAAACTATGCCCATGTATTGGGCTACTCACTAGCGAAGCAACGTAAGTATATCTCCAAGCTGCGATTCGTCATCTCTGTCTGCCCGTCGGTTTGTGGGTGATACACGGTGCTGAGACACAGCATGGTTCCTGCTAGTCGAAAGAGCTCATGCCAGAAGTGACTGGTGACGACCTTGTCACGATCTGAGATAATGGTCTTGGGAAAACCACAGAGCTTGACCACCTCCTGCACAAAGATGAGAGCCACCTCTGTTGCAGTGAAAGGATGTTTGAGGTCGATGAAATGAGCGTATTTAGACAACCGATCAACCACCACCAAGACCACGTTATTCCCTTCAGATCGTGGAAGCCCCTCCACGAAGTCCATTGAAATGTCCTCCCATATGTTCGAGGGAATTGGCAAGGGTTGGAGCAAACCACTAGGACTCAGCGTAGAATACTTGTGACATTGACATGTCATACAAGCCGCCACATAACATCGAATGTCAGTCATCATTCCCTTCCAGTAAAACAACTCTCCCACCCTTTTCTGAGTTTTTAGAATTCCCCTGTGCCCACCTAACTTTCCATCGTGTAATTCCGACATTATTACCCCAATCAAACGCGAATCATTGGGCACCACTAGCTTCCCTTGTCAGAGTAAACGTCCGTGAATCACCGAATACTCTGGATGACTAGTGGGATCCTGAAGTATCTCCTTGATAATGACACTGAGCTCCGGGTCTTTCTCCACCTCACTGCAGATCTCCTCCAATTGTATCGCTGCAGGAATTGATAAAGCGTGTAACTCAGCGCCTACATTTACCCTTGACAGAGCATCCGCTGCTTTGTTTTCTAACCCGGGTCGGTATTGGATATCGAAATCAAACCCCAATATCTTAGTCAGCCATTTCTGATACTCCAGGTTGATTTCCCGCTGCTCCAGTAGGAATTTCAAGCTTTTCTGGTATGTACGCACCAGAAACTTCCTCCCAAACAGATAATGACGCCACTTCTGAATCGCAAAAACAATAGCCATAAACTCTCGCTCGTACACTGACTTGAGCCTCTGCCTGTCAGTCAAAGCTTGGCTAAAGTAGGCCAATGGTCTCTGATTCTGCATTAGAACAGCTCCGAGTCCCACTCCTGATGCATCTCACTCCACCACAAACAACTCCTTGAAATCAGGCAGAGCCAACACGGGTACTGTCACCATTGCTTGTTTCAGCTGCTGGAATGCCGCAGCAGCTTTCTCCCCAAACAAATTGATCCTTCTTAAACAACGTGGTTAGAGGTTTAGCTATAGTGCCATACCCTTTGACGAACTTCCGGTAGTAACCGGTCAGACCAAGGAACTCTCTTAACTCTTTCACGCTCCGTGGTGCTGGCCAGTCCACCATTGCTTGAATCTTACTGTTAGCTGCAGCTACTCCTTGCACAGATATGAAGTACCCCAAGTACCACAAACAACTCCTTGAAATCAGGCAGAGCCAACACGGGTACTGTCACCATTGCTTGTTTCAGCTGCTGGAATGCCGCAGCAGCTTTCTCCCCAAGCAAATTGATCCTTCTTAAACAACGTGGTTAGAGGTTTAGCTATGGTGCCATACCCTTTGACGAACTTCCGGTAGTAACCGGTCAGACCAAAGAACTCTCTTAACTCTTTCACGCTCCGTGGTGCTGGCCAGTCCACCATTGCTTGAATCTTACTGTTAGTTGCAGCTACTCCTTGCACAGATATGAAGTACCCCAAGTACTCAATCTGCTTACTCCCGAACTGGCACTTCTTCCAGTTAGCGTATAGTTGATGCTTGATGAGCACAATCAACACTTGGTGTAGGTGGTTTTGATGTTCGAATTCCGTCTGACTATATACCAGGATATCGTCAAAGAACACCAAAACGAATCGCCGGAGAAATGGCCGGAATACGTCATTCATGAGGGCTTGAAACGTCGCCGGCACATTTGTCAAGCCAAAAGGCATGACAAGAAACTCATAATGGCCATCATGGGTTCTGAAAGCGGTTTTGGGAACATCCTTGGACTTGACGAGAATTTGGTGATATCCTGCGTGCAAATCCAGCTTCGAGAAGACCATGGACCCTTGAAGCTCGTCAAGCAACTGATCAATCATAGGTATGGGATAGCTATCGGCAACCGTGACTTTGTTGAGGGCCCTGTAATCAACACAAAATCGCCAGCTTCCGTCTTTCTTTTTGACGAGCAAGACCGGACTGGAGTAAGGACTCCCACTTTCATGTATGATCCCCGCGGTTAACATAGCTATCACTTGTTGCTCAATCTCCTCTTTCTGTATTTGAAGATACCGAAACGGACGGACACTGATAGGGTTAGTGCCCGACTACAGGACGATGCTGTGCTCCCTTCCACGAGATGGGGGTAGACCCTATGGCTCGGAAAACACGCGACTGAACTCCTCCATTATTCCTGTAAGAGCAGCCGGTGTTGGCGGTAACTCCGTAACTTCTGTTTGTAACTCGTAGAACTCTACGATCATCCCCTCTCCTTGCCTTTCCCAAGCCTTCCATAGCACCTTGAGTGACACTACTGAACTGCATAGGCTCGGATCTCCTTGCAGTGTCACCGTCTTTCCCTCCACTTCAAACCTCATCGTCTGCAGTTTCCAATTATCTCTGGTTTCCCTGAGGGTCTCGAGTCATTACACACCCAAGATCACGTCTGCTCTTCCGAGACCGAGAGGGAAAATTTTTGCTAAGACCTTGTACCCCTGCATCTCAAGCTCCACCATTCTACAAACCCCTCTGCCCTTCACAGTGATACTCGTGCCCGTCAGCACCACGTACCCTCCGGTGGCATCGATCGCGATGCCCAATCGACTTACGACAGCATTGCTCAGGAAGTTGTGAGATGCGCTGCTGTCGATGAGCACCACCACTTGCATGCCTTGAATCAATCCCATCAGTTTGATGGTTCGGGGAGAAGATATTCCAGCCATGGAGTTGAGAGACAGCTCGGCGAGCTCTGTCATGATCTCCGCTGGCTCCTCCGTGTTATCTTCGGGATCCTCTTCCCACTCTTTCTCCCTGCCATTGTTGTACACCACCATGATCCTTAGCTCGGCCTGAGCGCACCGATGATTGTACCCGCATTTCTCGTCACACCGGAAACACAGCCCCTTCGCCCTTCACTCCACCATCTCCGCCGGTGTTAGTCGACGAAAAGGAGGTTTCAATCGGTCATGTGTTTTTAGGTTATTCCCCCCAGATCCCTTAAACGGTGTCGTTCTCACGTTGCTCTGATAACTGGGTTTGGGCCTGTGGTTCGGCCCATTCCCTCCCATTTGACTCGTCTTGTTTCCATATGGGCTGGCCCGGTTCGTCAAGGCTCACGACTCGTTAAACCCCTAGCCGAAGTTCGCGACCGACCTGGAATCTCTGTAATCCTCCCAATCTGCCACCATCTTCGCTAGGCTCATCATCTGTCCAGGTTGTGAGGTTGTAGCATCCTAACTCCCAATCTGATTTTGGGGTTCAGACCATTCATGAAGGTCAGCTCCAATACTAGCTCCGAGAGTTCGGGAGCATTTGACGCGAGAGTGATGAACTCGCGACAATAGTCGTGCACGCTCCCTTCTAGTTCTATTCGAAGCAGCCGGGCTCCCACCGATGAGTCTTGGGCGTGGGTAAAGTGTCCCAAGACTCGAGCTTTCATCTGATCCCAGCTCGCAAATGGGTTTCTTCCCCGTTCCCATCGATACCACGTCAACGCCGCGCCGATGAAGCACATCCTCACAGCTTGGAGCTTGTCTTCCTCGGAAAAATTGCTTAGCTCGAAATATTGCTCGACACGGAACACCCAGCTCTCCGCCCCTTCACCGTCAAACTTCGGAACGTCCATCTTCTTGGTGAGCAGATCGTCTTTTCCCGTCACCAAATCTCTGTTTTGACTGACCGGCGTCCCGATCTCCACCGGCACAACACGTTCGTTGAGGTCCGTTGGACGAGGCACTCAGTTAAGTTATGTTCTTCTCCGAGGCTGCCGTCTCCTTCCCCTTTCCATGATCCATCTCATCTACCCTCTGTCGGAGATGTCCCAGCTCGCGCATCTGCTCCTTTATCTCGCCCACATTTTGCTCCAATACGTTCACCTTCTCTAGAGTCACCGTCATGACTTGGAGTTGCTCAAAGATCTTCTCCATGTCAATCCATTCGTCTGGTTTTTGCGCTCGCGGAGGCATGATTTCCCAACGATCGACTCGCTCTGATACCAAATTGTTACGTGAGGAAATAGAAACTTTTGTAAACGAAAGATTAATAAAACAAGTTCTTTTTAATTGATTGAACGATTCTTGTGATTACAAAGAAAGAAAACCAAGCAATAAAGAAAAACACTCTCTCTCTACTCCCACAATCTGATCAACCAATTGATACCCTCACACTTTCCTCAGCCACTCTTATTTAATGAATCCCGAGAGGATCATCTCTAACAACCTCAGTGCGTCAACTTATTCCTTGCACTTGTGACTACACCACGTGTCCCTTCACACCTCACAAATATTTACAGAAAGCTTCTAGAACGTCACCTCTTAAGGCCCACCTCTTGTGCAGAAGGCGGCCCTGGTGTTGCTCTTCGTACTAAGCCCGTGTGGGCTTGGACCTTCTCTTGTAGGTGTAGAGGATCGGAGGTCTCTGTCATGATGATAAAACATCGGAACCATATCAAAAGATTCATATAATCTGTGATTGAAATGAGAGGTCAGACTCAATATTGAACTAGGGCTGGCCCGAGGCCTTTGCATCCACCGGTGACAAAGAACGATCATGCCTCCAAGGCTCCATTAGGATTTGTCTCTCAAACTCTCTCCTGTCTTATCCGGTTCCGGCTACCAGTTTCTTTGATGAATATCACAAATCTTAAAGACCAAGACGACTAGTTGTGTGGTAAACTCACTGAGGTTTGACCATCAGACTTTTACGTTATTGTTGAAATTTACACAAAATTCCACATTATGATAATAATATTTTTTGTTAATTGGAGTATAAAAATCCCACAATATGATAATGGCTTTTTTGTGTTCGGTGCGGTAAAAAAGCAATTAGTTAAAGTAAACTGACAAGAAACAAAGATTTATTTAGAAAAGATAAATCTTCAGAAAAGAGAGGAGAATCGGGACTGACCCGAGGCCTTTGGAGCCACCGGTTACAAGAGCGGTCGTTCCTCCAAGATTCCATCTAGGTTTGTCTCTCAAGCTTTCCCCTGTCTTCGCCATTTCTGATTATGATATCTTTTCTTGGATCTGAAGATTCTGAACCTCAGCCTAAAAAAAAGTAGAATGATAATGACCGTTCGTTTCCTTACAGTCTTGAGTCTCTTGACCACACATATTGAACTTTAAAGGCGTGTAGGAAAGTCATTTTCACGTTTTTATAGGCCCAAATCAAAATAGTGTGTTTTGGTTAAGGTTTGGGCCCAGCTACATGTGAGCACTAAAGTTTCCAGACGTTTTTGTTTTGTTTATTGTATGCTACTCTATAGTGGGACAAATCTTAAACTTTCAGGATATTTGGAACCACTTTTGCTTCTATCTAGTTTTTAGAGTCTGGGATGGAGATTAGATGTTATTACGATTCAAAATTCAGTAAAGAAGCTGCTCTACACAAATGCAAAGTTGAACTTTGGTCAAGTAGGGCTCTCTGTTTCAAAGCAAAGAAGCTGAAAGAACCAAAAGGTCCATTATGTTTTCTAGATTGCGGTATGCAAAAACTCAGGGCGGCTCTAATTTAGAGTAGTTAAATCTTCTATTCAATCAAGATTAGCATCTCCACAATAAAATTGTGAACTCGTTTATGCTTTCATGCACACACTCATCATAGCGTGAGAGTTTATTAGAGAGAGAGAGGACAAAGAGTTTAAAGACAGTTACAAAACGCTTCAAGGCCATTTTCAAGCCTGTGGCTTATACGAGAAGCCATTAACAGTGAGGCCTCCATCAACACAAATGGTTTGACCAGTAATATAAGAAGCTGCAGGTAAACACAAGAAGGCCACAAGTGATGCAACGTCACTCGGCTCTCCAGCGCGACCAAGTGGAGTCCTACCCAATAATGCTTCCTTGAAACTCACGTCATCAAGATACTTCAAGAAACAAAAATTGAGATATGATTAGAGGAATTACTTTTGCAAAATTCAAAACACACACAAAAAGAAAAACAAAATGTAAAAGTTTTCAATGTATTTTTTCTTTTTCTTATATATTACAGGTTGAGATTGACGAGTCTTGACAGCATTAGGTGCAACAGCGTTGGCTCTAATGCCATCTTTTGCCCATTCACATGCCAAATTTCTAGCTAGCTGATTCAGAGCTCCTGTAAAAAGAAATTAACAAAAAAGCTTATGATAGAAGAAAACGAAAAAAACTTCTTGTTGATTAATTTGTTACTCTTGCAATGAACGGCATTAAGTAGTAACTTTGGTTACCTTTCGTTAGACTATAAATAGATCCACATTCAAATGATACAACCCCTGCAACAGAGGACATAAAGACGATGCTTCCATAGCCTGAAGCCTTTAAGAGAGGATGTGAAAGCTGGCAAAAATGGTAAGGAGCTTCCAAATTTGCTGAGATGTGGAAAGCAAAATCGTCTTCCGCATATTCTATTGTTGGCTTTCCACGAAGTACTCCCACGTTGTTCACCTATGATAAACAAGAAAGATGATGTTTTCTTGAAACTAATCTGCTTTGTTGTTACTAAATCAAGAATCATTTATTTACTTACAAGAATGTTTAGTTTGCCATCGAACAGAGAGGAGACGGTTTGAATCAAAGTTTCTCTCTCGGGACGTGAGGTTACATCACAGACTGAGCCACTCACTTGAAACCCTTTCTTCTCCCATTCACTTAAACTTTGATTAAGCAAAGCTTCGGAGATGTCACAAACATGGATTCTAGCTCCAAAACTAGCTAACTCTTCTACTATGGCTTACCTTAACATTACAATAACTAAAATTCCTTGAAATCTTGACCATTCAAGATGTTAAGTAGAAGCACAAGAATGAGTAAAAGAGGAGATATAGATCGAACAGAGAAGACACACAAACCCGATTCCGCTGGCTCCACCGGTTACAAGAGCAGTCATACCTTGAAGACTCCATCTTTTATCCATTTTTTGTTTGGATCTGATTAGCAATGACCAGAAATGCCTCAGATTGTATATAAACAATGAATGTGGATCAGATAAACAATGAATTAATTATGTTTGTATGTGTGGTGGAAATATTATGTAACAGAGAACGTGACTAAAATATGTAAGTTAGTGGTGTCACGCAAAACTGACTTTCACAGTCAAAATCTTAGACCTAAAAACTTTCTCATTTGTCTTTTTCAATAACTTCACTCAAAAGAGACAACTGAGACTAGAAGGCGGAATGGTGAACGATAATTGAGTTTAACATTCTCAAAGGCTAAAATCCGTACAAAACCTTCTATTACACAAACCAACATTAAATCCTACGTAGACTTCTTAATCAGTTAGTTAAAATTATAATTAAGGGTCTTTTAAATTTTTTGTATTTTTATTTTGAAATCATTTCATAATTTATTAAAATTTGTTTGACCAATTTTTATTATTATTTATAATTTAACTAGATTAGGATCCGCGTATATACGGATTTAGAAATTATTTTAAAATTCGTAAAAAAAAATTGAAAAAAAATTAGCTTTAATTATTTATTAATATATATTTGAATTTTTTATTAAAATATTTATTGCATGTGATAAAATTTGATTAATTGACACATATACATTTCAATTATTTTAATTTACTGTGATATACTGATTTATAATTAACTATTATGTAACTCATTAAAAAGAAATTGAACATAAAAAGTATAAAATAAAATTAGATCATTGTGAACATAAAAAAAAATTTAGAACATTTTGTAAAAACTATTAATAATAGAATTGATTAAACAAGCTAGCATTATCTTTCATTCTGTATTTATTTTCATATTTTTTTACAAATATGATTAAATATAAAAAAAAACAAAATTAAATCACTACGAAATTTGTATATCTTAGATTGTTTCATCAATTTTTTATCTTATGTGATTGACTCGGATTTTAAAGAGAAATCAATGTTCATAAAGATGTGAATAATAATAAAAAATTAGGATTAGTATTTAATTTCTTTAAAAAAACATATAATATTTATTTTTTCTTTTTCTTTTTCTTTTTCAATTTTTTTTTTCTTCTTGATATTGTAGTAGTTATATTTTTTTTCTTTTTAATTAAATAATAAGATTTGAAATCCCTTATTTATAATCCAGTAAAAAAAGTAACCAATACTATCAAAGTTGAACAAATATTTAGAAGTTATTTAATATTACACAAGAATTTTGAAATTAGTGATCTAATATCACATGATCCTTTTAAATATTTTTATATTTTAATTATTTTTATATCTAGTTATAGGCACAGATCAGAAGATTTCAAAGACTTCGTCTAAGTCCGAAGAGATATTGCTGTTATTACAATTGCGAGTTAAAGATTTGTGCTCTCTAAAGGTTCTTGTGTGCAAAAGAATATCTTATATTTTCAATTGCGGACATGTGATTCACATTGATGTTTTCGTGCATAAACTCATAGCGTGAGAATTTTTATTTAGAGAGAAAAAAAAACACTTAGAAGAGTTTAAAACGAAGAAACAAATAGCCCACAATGCCATTCTCAAGCCTGTGGTTGATAAGAGAAACCATTAACCGTGAGACCTCCATCAACAGCAATGGTTTGACCAGTGATGTAAGAAGCTGCGGGTAAACACAAGAAGACGACTAGTGATGCAACTTCATTCGGCTCTCCAGCTCGACCAAGTGGAGTTCTACCGAACAATCCTTCCTTGAAACTCACGTCATCAAGATACTTCAAGAAACAAAAATTAAGAGATGATTAGATGATTTCAGGTTGCCAAATTCACTCAAAAAATGTAAATAGTTGTCTTTTTTTTTATTACAGATTGAGACAAATGAGTCCTGATGATATTAGGCGCAACAGCATTGGCTCTTATGCCGTCTTTTGCCCATTCACATGCCAAATTTCTTGCTAGCTGATTCAAAGCTCCTGTAAAAGACTTTTATTAAGAATCAACATAACAAAACAAACAAAATTTACTTGCCTTGTAAGTTTGGTTATACCTTTCGTTAAACTGTAAATGGATGCACGGGAGAATGATACAATCCCTGCAACAGAGGACATGAAGACGATGCTTCCATAACCTGAAGCCTTTAAGAGAGGATGTGAAATCTGGCTAAAATGGTAAGCAGCTTCCAAGTTTGCTGAGATGTGGAAATCGAAATCGTCTGCCACATATTCTGTTGTTGGCTTTTCGCGATATACCCCGACGTTATTGACCTAAATTGAACAAAAAGAAGATTTATCTCTCAAAAGTGTTCTTTAGTTGTTTGATTGTTTCCCATATTGAGTTTCATTTACTTACGAGAATGTTGAGTTTGCCATCGAACAGCGAGGAGACAGTTTGCATCAATTTTTCTCTCTCGGGTCGAGAGGTTACATCACAGACTGAGCCACTCACTTGAAACCCTTTCTTTTCCCATTCACTTAAACTTTGATTGAGCAAAGTTTCGGAGATGTCGCATACATGGATGTTAGCTCCAAAACTAGCTAACTCTTCTACTATGGCATACCTTAACATTCCATAAAACATAAACTCCTTGAAATCTTGATCATTCAAGAAGTTAAATAGAAGAAGAACAAAGAGAGAGAAAGACGAACCCGATTCCGCTTGCTCCACCGGTCACAAGAGCAGTCATACCTTGAAGACTCCATCTTTTATCCATTTTTTGCATGCAACCAGCAATGACCAGAGATGCCAATTACAATGAATGTGGATCAAATAAATTCGAAGTAATGAGTATATTTGTATGTGTGGTGGAAATGTTATGCGGCAGAACATGGCTAAAATATCCAAGTTAGCGGTCCCAATCAAAATGACATCTGTAGTCAAAAATATTCGACCAAAACTTACTCATTTGTTTTTTTTCAATAAATTCATGATAAGAAGAGAAATCATAATAGTAAATCTATATTCTTGTTATTAAACGTATCCCTGGTCTATTCTTGAGAAATAATAACTCAATTATCTCAAGATGAGATTAGACTTATCATAATCTTTTGATACATATATGATATATCTAGTACTTTTGGAAATTATTACTTTCCATCAGTATTTGTAATCCTAAGTCAAAGGGTCAATTGTCGTAAAAACAAAAAGTCAAAGGGTCAATTAATTATAACCTATCATAATCTTATAATACACATATTTTTTACTTTGTAATCCTAAGTTGATACAAAGGGTTAAAGACCTCAGAATAATTTCCAAAAGTAAAAGAAATGTATCAAAAGATAGGAGAAGCAAAGCCTGACTCAAGCAAAAGATAAGTTCTAATTAAAGACCTTAGAAACTTGAAAAACAAACATAATTAGGAAACAGAAAACAGAGCAAAGCCTGACTCAAGCATGTGGTTGATAGGAGAAGCCATGAATAGTGAAACCTCCATCAACACAAATGGTTTGACCAGTGATATAAGAAGCTGCAGGTAAACACAAGAAGACCACAAGTGATGCAACGTCACTCGGCTCTCCGGCGCGACCGAGTGGAGTTCTATTGAACAATCCTTCCTTGTAACCAACGTCATCAAGATACTTCAAAAAAACAAAAGTTGAGAGATGATTAGAGAAACTGAAGTTGTTGAATTGACACAAACAAATGTAAAAAGATAAACATTTTTTCTTACAGACTGAGACAGAGGAGTCCTGATAACATTAGGCGCAACAGCGTTGGATCTTATGCCGTCTTTTGCCCATTCACATGCCAAATTTTTAGCTAACTGATTCAGCGCTCCTATAAAAGAAATCAACAGAACATATATGTAAAATAAAAACAACTTCTTGTTGATTAGTCAGTCTTGAAATGAATTGCATCTAGTAGTAACTTCAGTTACCTTTTGTTAGAGAATAAATGGATCCACAATCAACTGATACAATCCCTGTAACAGAGGACATGAAGACGATGCTTCCATAGCCAGAAGCTTTTAAGAGAGGATGTGAAAGCTGGCAAAAATGGAAAGCAGATTCCAAATTTGTTGAGATGTGGAAAGCGAAATCGTCTTCCACATATTCTATTGTTGGCTTTCCACGAAGTACTCCCACATTGTTCACCTACGTAAAACAAGAAAGATGATGTTTTCTTGAAACTAATCTGCTTTGTTGTTACTAAATCAAGAATCATTTATTTACTTACAAGAATGTTTAGTTTGCCATCGAACAGAGAGGAGACAGTTTGAATCAAAGTTTCTCTAGCGGGACGTGAGGTTACATCACAGACTGAGCCACTCACTTGAAACCCTTTCTTTTCCCATTCACTTAAACTTTGATTAAGCAAAGCTTCGGAGATGTCGCAGATATGGATTCTAGCTCCAAAACTAGCTAACTCTTCTACTATGGTATACCTAAACATTCCATAAAACATAAACTCCTTGAAATCTTGATCATTCAAGAAGTTAAATAGAAGCAGAACAAAGAGAGAGAAAGACGAACCCGATTCCGCTGGCTCCACCGGTTACAAGAGCAGTCATACCTTGAAGACTCCATCTTTTATCCATCTTTACTTGTGTGTGACTAGCAATAACCAGCAGAGATGTCACACAAATCTTATTATATATACACAATTATTGCAGAGAGACAATTATTTATTACTTTTCTGATATTTCCATTGAGACTCACCTACTTGTCTATTCTCTTCAATAGAGCCTGGCAGATTCTTTTCTATCAAGAAAGACCAACATTGCTCTACTGATTTACTGGCTCATTTAGTACCAAACTCAAAGAGATTGGTATAGTACTATAGTTGAGTTACTTGAGTATGGGCTAATGGCTATTCACGTGGCTGTGGTGACAGATACATAGCGAATTATTTGTGGTGTAAGATTTTTAAAAGGCTTCTTGCTTTCAAGATAAGTGTGAATTATTGTCAGTATTAGCAATTATTGACGAAAAGACTTTTATAATTAAAAAATTGCGACCCAAGGCAAAAAAAATAATAATTCTATAATAAAATCTTCGACCAAAACTTTCTCATTTCAGTCATTTGTCTTTTCAATTTGACCGAAATCACATATGATCCTTGATTTGGTGATCCGAAACTCTAATTGAGTGGAAACAATGTTGAAATCCATATATATAGATATATGGCAAACAATAGCTCCAACATATTGCCAAGCTTAAGTTTTTCATACATGGAATAGTTCATCCAGAACAGAACAAATCCTTTTTTAGGTTTTTCATTATTATTCGAAACTGAAATGTTGTAAAGGCGAGGAGTTTCCTTGGTTCAAGCCTTTGGCTGATAGGAGAAGCCATGAACAGTGAGACCTCCATCAACACAAATTGTTTGACCTGTAATATAAGATGCTGCAGGTAAACACAAGAAAGCCACAAGTGATGCAACTTCCCTTGGTTCTCCAACACGCCCAAGTGGAGTTCTACTGAACAAACCTTCCTTGTAACCGACGTCATCAAGATACTATTTGAAACAAATTTGAGAAAATATTAGAGGAATCTGAAACTGTTCATAATTTAACAAAAATGTTAAAGTTATCTTTTGATATGATTACAGCTTGAGCCAGAGCAGTGCCGATAAAATTAGGTGCAACTGCGTTTGATCTTATGCCGTCTCTTGCCCACTCACATGCCAAATTTCTTGCTAGCTGATTCAAAGCTCCTGTACATACACACACATGACTACTTATTTACATATACATGATGAGAACACTTATATATACAATCTTGCAAGCTGTTTGAAAAAAAAAAAAAAAATCAAGACTTGCTATGAAGTGCATCTAGTAGTAGGTAGGGATGTATATGTACCTTTGGTTAAACCATAGATGGATCCACAGTCAATTGATACAAGCCCTGCCATAGAGGAGATAAAGACGATGTTTCCAGATCCAGAAGCCTTTAAAAATGGATGTGAAAGCTGGCTAAGATGATAAGCAGACTCCAAATTTGTTGAGATAAGGAACGAGAAATCATCAGCCACGTATTCTGTTGTTGGCTTGGTGAGAATCGCACCAGCGTTGTTAACCTATAATATAAAGTTAAAAAAGCATTACTGTTCATGTGTATCCTGCTCTACAAGTTATCTTACGTTACTGGTTATAAGTTTGCCGAACAAAGATGTTTACTTTCTTGAAACCAAAGTTTACTTACAAGAATGTTCAGCTTCCCATTGAACATCGTCGAGACGGTCTGCATGAGTGTTTCTCTCTCGGGACGAGAGGACACATCACAGATTGAACCACTCACTTGAAACCCTTTCTTTTCCCATTCGCTTAAACTTTGATTGAGCAATGTTTCCGATATATCACATACATGGATTCTAGCTCCAAAACCAGCTAGCTCCTCTACTATGGCATGCCTAAAACATTTGAAAAACGGAAATTCCTTGAAATCTTGATCATTCAAGATCTTGAATAGAGGCAAAAAAAAATGGGTAAAAGAGAAAGACGAACCCAATTCCTCTGGCTCCACCGGTCACAAGAGCAGTCATACCTTGAAGGCTCCATCTGTTGCTATCAATCATTTTCTATTGAGTTATCGTTAACAAGAGATTTCACAGAGTATATTGGATGAAAGTAGATCAAGCAACACTAGCTACAACATCTCTTAATGTGGAGGAGATATTAAAACCACAAAAATGTGATAAACATTGGGCAGGTTCTGAGAGTGACATCTGCATAGTTTGATTGACACGCAAATTAACGATGGACCTACCTTTTTGACACCAATACTGATTTTGGCACTAACATCCAACTTTCATTCGTGTCTATTCTCCAAATTATGCCAAAACATTTTACGCTTTGAGAAAGCAATTACAGATTTCATCATCTTCAAGATTCTGGTCACAAGATCTTTAGCTAGGTTATACATGTAAACTTAGTATATATAGATTAGTAGTATGCTTAAGGAATTGTACATCCAAATGTAGTAGTAAAGAAGATTGTGCAAATTGTTTCAAAAATGTTCTTGCTCCGAAACTATGCGACATGCCCAGGATTTTAGAACATATGTTACTCTTTGCTAAGCTAGTATTTAGACCAGAATTATAGAGAATTTCAAGACCATTCTCATTATACATTCTTATAAACAATATTCAGAAGCAAAATAATATTTGACTCTTGAGTCTTATGATTGTACTAAACCAAACCAGACACTACATCACTTGTTGAGACACCATTAGATATTGTCCAAAGTGGACATAATGAATCCAAACATATGTGTACTAACGCCAAGAGAGACCGTTGACAGTGCCACCTCCATCAACACAGATGGTTTGACCAGTGATATAAGAAGCTGCAGGAAGACAGAGAAATGCCACAAGCGACGAGACTTCATTTGCTTCTCCAATACGTCCTACTGATGTCCTACGCTCCGCTTCTTTTTTAAACACTTCGTCATTGAGGTACTAAATATGGTTTTGATACAAGTTAAAATTGAGAAGTGTAATAATCTATATTTATTTTCATAATAAAAACTTTTATTTTGGCCTTACATTGTTAGTTAGAGGAGTTGTGATGATCCAAGGACAAACAGAGTTAGCCCTAATGGTGTCGCTTGCCCATTCGCAAGCTAAGTCTCTAGCCAGCTGATTCATGGCTCCTGAATGTGAAATGGTTTGTACTTAACACATACGTAAGCATCAAAATGCAAAAGGACGTTGTTTTTAAGGATGTACATATATATCTCTGCATACAGTTACGTACCTTTGGTTGCTCCATAGATGGATCCGCCACTCAAATGAACAACTCCAGCAGCAGAGGACATGAACACAATGCTCCCTGAACCAGAGGCTTTCAACAAAGGATGTGCGAGTTGTGAGAGATGAAAAGCTGACTCGAGATTCGTAGCCATCAGAAACGAGAAGTCTTCTGCTGTATACTCTGTGGTTGGCTTTGTTATACACGTTCCCGCATTGTTCACCTATATATGTATATAGTATCCCAAACCAACCACAATAAAAACCCAACAATATCACTTGATCTTGCTCGCACACATATTGATCGTTCTCTTATACATTAACTTACAAGGATGTTGAGATTTCCTTGGAAGAGAGAGGAGACGGTCTCCATGAGTTTCTCTCGTTGGTCGCGAGAAGAAACGTCGCAAACAGAAGTGGTAACCTGAAACCCTTTTTCTTGCCATTCAAGTAAACGTTCTTGAAGCTGAGTTTCGTCTCTGGCACATGTGTGGACTCTTGCTCCCAACATTGCTAGTTCCTCCACCACAGCTTCTCTATTCATAACAAACATATAACATAAATACATAGCTAGGGTCCTGTTTCTTCGGGGCTGTGTTAGTTCAACACAATCGATGACAGCACTGATAGTAAGAGTTGGGACTGACCCAATTCCTTTGGTTCCACCGGTGACAAGAGCGGTCATTCCCTGAAGACTCCACCTGTTATCCATCGTTATGTATGTCACTGCATCCCGTGACACACTGATAGTTAGACAAGAGCTCTATGAAACATACAGTTAAAAGATGGCAACAAGAGACAAAGTTGGACCTCTCCTTTTGTTCTGTACCCTGGAAAACGTAGCAACCATGAAAGTGAACACCAGAGCTGTGGAAATCTCTGTATTTTCTTCAAATTCTGAGATCGGACTATCTTGACTTTTTGGGAATAATTAAAGCTCATATAGCTTTCATATACCATACAGCAAAAGTATAATGCGCTCCAAGAGATCCTCAACTACTTTTGTACACACTAAAGACCTCAACTACTCGACTTTAAATGAAACAAACCACTTACCAAGAAAAAAGACATATAACCAAAGGTTTGCGTAAAGTAGGCATCAGGATCGTGTCTCTGTCTCTTGATGTATCTGCTTTTGTATAGCTTACTGATGCTGTGAATCTTTGCATACTGTTACTTTGCAAGGCTGATGAGTAGTATGTCAAGAAATGGGGTGACAATATCAGATCAAGCAACCTGAAAGCCATCGTTTCTCTATCCACATTTAATATACACAAAGCAAAGCTATAACAAACCAGTGAAGGCTCATGAAAGATACCATGAAAACCTCCTCAGCAGCTTTCCACCACAATCAAAATACTAAGCTAATAGATACGAGAAACTTAATCCTGCTATCTGATGCTAGATTATCTTCTTCATTAACTTAAATTCTCATGAAAGCAGAAGGCAGAAAGCTGTTTAAGTCTCTCATATGACGAATTGTCTTTCACGGGAGAAAGAAGATAAAAAGAGCAAAGAGAGGATCCCAAGGAAACTAGTAAATCGATAGAGTGGCCTAATCATGCATTGGGAAGAAACCGTTGATTGACATTCCTCCATCAACACAAATAACCTGCCCTGTGATATATGATGATGCAGGTAAGCATAAAAAGCCAACTGCAGAAGACACTTCTTTCGGTTCGCCAAGCCGACCAAGAGGAGTTACTGAGTAGACTTCTTCTAGGTAGTCTTTGTTGCTAAGGACCTGAGACCAAAAAGACATGAATCATCAAACGAGCACATCTTAAAACAAATTATCTAATGAGACCATAGGAACATTACTTGCTCCACCATAGATGTTTTGATATACCACGGCGCAACAGCATTGATCCTTATCTTATCCTTGGCCCACTCGCAAGCTAAACTTCTAGTAAGTTGATTGATTGCTCCTAAAACAAACCAAAGTCTTATTCAGTTGATTGCTCCTTAGGGGTCTTTCTTTGTATCCAGACAAACTAAATTACCTTTGGTTGCAGATTGGACCGACATGTTCTTAAGCGAGACAAAACCAGAGACGGAAGAGATGGAGACAACACTTGCAGCTTCAGATGCTCTAAGCAACGGATAAGCAAGTTGGCACAAATGGAAAACCGATTCCAAATTCGTCGAAATGAGTGTTGAGAATTCTCCAGCGGTAAACTCTACCATTGGTTTCCTGATGTTCGTCCCAACATTGTTAACCTAAAAGCAAGAAATGAGAAATCACTTGTAAACCAATTTCCCCTTTCATGGTTTAGAATTGTTCTCACAGACATAAAAACGAACACTTTATGTGCACTATCTCGGAACAATTAGATGAGACCTTACCAGGATATGGAGCTTCCCGTCAAAGACAGAGGACACCGTCTTCATCATATTCTCTCGCTGAGTTCGATCAGAGACATCGCATACCGACCCAGTAACTCGAAAACCGGAACGGTTCAAGTCTCTCAAACACTTCTCGAGCTCGGCCTCATTCCGAGCGCACGTGTGAATCTCTGCTCCAAGACCGGCTAGTTCCTCCACAATCGCACGCCTGTACTAACGGTAGAACACACACAGGTCTGAGAATCGGCGTTTGATTGGCGCACACAGTCGTTGAAATTGGATAAATGTGTGTGATGAAGAGAGACACAAACCCGATCCCGCGAGTGCCGCCGGTGACAAGAGCAGACATTCCGTGGAGAGACCATCTGTTGTTGGGTGTTGTGACAATGGAGCTACGCGATGCGCAACGGACGAGGACAGAGGATGTTGATGATTGGGGTTGTAGCGTTTTGCGTTTGAAAGAGAGGTATAAGTGAGGTTTAAGGGAAGAAGAAGGAGAAGAAGAAGAAGCAAGAAAGTGAAGGCGTTGAGGTGGACTTGTGTACATGTGAGAAGCCATGTCCAGCACCATTGATACGGAAAGTTCTGAGACTTCAGCTCTCGAAAGTGTTCACCTTTATTTGAAACTTAGGTACAACATTGCCTAACGGCAGAATCGTATAAAATTGAGAACTGGACTTGTTTTCATTTTTATACTGTATTTTTCAAAAATAACATAAAGAATAAAGAATATACATTTTAAAATTTTCACAAAAAGATTGTTACTCTTTATGAAACGAATGCGTTGCTCTGCAGACAATAATTAGAGTCATGATGTTTTTTTCTCTTTTTGATACATCAGAATCATGATGTTCAAAAACGAATTCCAGGAAGTGTATACAATATTTTGGCTACCATTTACTCTAAAGTAAAATAAAAATCTTTCAAGAAATTTTGGAAATTTTCTATAGACAAACTTTATATACTCTTCCAGGAAATTTAGCATTTCAGAATATTCCTCTAATAATGTGTTTTTTTTTTTTTTTAAGAATATAAGTGATGACCGTTCATCATTTTACGATAAGTAGTTTGTATTGTTAAAGAAAAGGTAAACAAATATATAAGACTTAGTGTTGAATGCACATATTTCTTAATGAAATTAAGTTGAGTATGTTTATCTCTATAATAAAGAGACCAAAAGCCGTTTATGTGACATTGTGACTATATATCTACATGTAGAATTTGCATGACAACTTCTTTCGATTTTGTTGTTTATTATTTTTATTTGTGCAACAAACTCCACCACTTCGTTATCAGTAGGAACGAAACAAAAAAATTGAATGGTCAAAGTCTTATATTTTTCTTAATTCGTCTTTGAATCGACTTTCTAGTCTGAGCTTATTCTTTAACAATCTTATATCGGATAGTGGCTAACAAACAAATATAAATGATCATGTTATTGTTGCAATTGTTCTTATCTATATAACTTCAACAAAAAGAAAATATTTCTATTTAGGAAGCAACTTTGGAGGAAACTCCGAATGGAATTTTCAAGAATGTCAAAAAAGTTTGTTTAGCAATTTATATAAAAAGTCAAATACTCAAGTCGTTTGCTTAACTTGTCTGTAGAAACAAAATATTTTATATGAATCAGTCGATTTTTCTTGAAGCTATAAAAAGAGAGAGAGCAATTGCACATAAGTAATAACTTCATAGTCTTAAAATACCAATGGCGATTGCCTCCAAATCCATAGCTCTAACAATAATCTTCCTATTAGTTACTTGCGTCTCAAGTCAACGAGAAACTAAATTTCTAAACCATGGCTTTCTCGGGGCTAACCTTCTCACTTTCGGATCCTCCAAGATCCACCCTAGTGGTCTCTTGGAGCTGACCAACACTTCGATGAGGCAAATGGGTCAAGCCTTTCACGGATTTCCCATGGCCTTACTAAACTCAAATTCCTCAGTTTCTTTCTCCACAAGTTTCGTCTTCGCAATCACTCCTGGACCGGGCGCACCGGGTCACGGCTTAGCTTTCGTTATCTCACCCTCCATGGACTTTACCGGCGCCTTCCCCAGCAATTATCTCGGCCTCTTCAACACATCAAACAACGGAAACTCCTTGAACCGCATCCTCGCGGTTGAATTCGACACGGTACAAGCCGTTGAGTTGAATGATATTGACGACAACCACGTTGGCATCGACCTAAACGGAGTGGTCTCGGTCGAGTCCGCACCGGCTGCGTACTTTGATGACCGTGAGGCCAAGAACGTAAGCTTGAAGCTTGCGAGTGGGAAGCCGATTCGAGTCTGGATCGAGTACAACGCAACCGAGATGATGCTCAATGTCACTTTGGCTCCTCTTGATCGTTCCAAGCCAAACTCGCCTCTTCTCTCGAGGAGAATGAATCTCTCAGGGATCTTCTCCGAAGAAAACTATATCGGATTCTCAGGAGCAAGCGGGACTGTTACTAGTGCACATCTGGTTCTAGGCTGGAGCTTCAGCATCGAAGGGAAAGCATCAGAGTTTGATATCACGAAGCTTCCTTCTATTCCAGACCCGCCGCCTCCATCTTCTCCACCACCGAATCCTCCGGTTTTAGCCAAGAAGAGCTCAAACAACACGAAGATTATCATAATCTTCGCAGTGTTAGGGATATTTGGACTCATAATCTTGATCTTCTTAGGAGTTTTTGTGTTCCGGAGAAGAGAAATCTTCACACGAGGACCACGGAAATTCTCTTACCAGACGATTTCAAGCGCTACGGGAGGCTTCGAGAGCACTAAGCTTTTGGGAGAGAGAAACTCTGGAAGTTTCTACAAAGGGCAGCTTGCTCCTACAGAGATAATCGCGGTGAAGAGAGTAACTTGCGCGACAAGGCAACAAAAGACAACCCTAATAGCCGAGATCGATGCCATCTCAAGGATAAGACAAAGAAACCTTGTTAACCTCCTTGGTTACTCCAGCAAAGGAAACGAGATCTATCTCGTTTACGAGTATGTCCCCAACGGAAGCCTAGACCGGTTTTTATTCAGCAATGACCGACCAGTTCTCACCTGGTCGGAACGGTTTTGTATCATAAAGGGGATTGCGTCAGCACTTCAATACCTTCACGGCGAGGGTCAAAGACCATTGATCCACGGAAACGTCAAAGCCAGTAACGTTCTCTTAGACGAAGAGCTAAACTCTCGACTAGGAGACTACGGACAAGGAAGCAGGCACAGCACAACAGGACACGTGGCTCCGGAGCTGGTCGAGACGGGAAAGGTAACACGTGACACAGATGTGTTTGCTTTTGGTGTGTTGATGATGGAGATCGTCTGCGGAAGAAAAGCCATTGAGCCTACAAAACCTCCGGAAGAGATCAGTTTAGTGAATTGGGTGCTTCAAGGGTTTAAGAACGGAGATCTGTTACAGAGATGCGATGCAAGAATCAATAAAGAGGAATTAGTGGCTCGAGAGGTGTTACTGGTTTTGAAAACCGGACTTCTGTGTGCAAACCGGTCTGCGGAAGGTAGGCCAATGATAAAGAAAGTGGTTCAGTATCTCGATGGTATAGAATCTCTCCCTCGCGACGACTGCTTCTTCTCTGGAGTTTAAAATGTGATCTCTAAATTGTTTGCGTTTTGGGATAGTGTGAATCTTTAAAAGGCATGATTTGATTCTAATAAATTGTACCATACTGTAATATATTGCTTCTAATAAATCGTTTTTGTTACTAAAATGGAAAGACAAGAAATTTGTAACAGACATCTCAAGCAGAACACAGAAGATAGTTCACTCCACATGCAAATAAACAGCAAAAATACAAATCTGAGTGTTGGAGGCAAGAAAACTTTTAAGAAACTTTTAAGTTTTTGCTAATCTAAGACGCACATGAAAAGAGATTGTGTACTTCACCTGACTTGAGTCCAGGAACAAATGATCCGCAACATAGCCACTTTCTTAACCAAGTTCTGTAGTTGGAACAATACTCATCTAAAACAAAATTCCAGAGGACAACCATGTTTCAGTATAAAAATGGTATGTGGCATTTTAGTTGGCTCCAAGATTTACTACCACAAGCAACACCAGAAGATAGTGGAACATGAACAAGAACTTCTATCAAACCCAAGCTCAAACTAGACAATCACAATACCAAGCTTCAATGAAAACAACTCAATGCAAGAAACTATTACCAGAATATCAGGCATTGAATGTCTGCACTCTAAGAATAGTTGTCCAATTTTGCTGCCACCAAACAAACAGAAAACATAAGAAAGTTTGGAACATTTAAGCAAATAGCACCACATAGAAGATAAAATCTAGCAAGACATTGTAACTTAAAAAGAGATGTGATCAACGCTAGAGATACTCAATCACAGGATAGTAAGGATTTAGTGGCTGATGCCCTTCTTTGCTTTCAATGACTCGAGTGCTTTGTTGCGCAGCTCAATCTCAAGCCTCTTTGGATCTGACTCTTCCTCTTTTTTATTCTTACGATGTGTCTCAGCTTCGCCCTCTGAAGAATCAGAATGCTCTCGGTTCTTAAGCTTCAGCTTCTCACCACGACGTTCTTCCCTTTTACGACGTCTCTCTTCTCGCTTGCGTTTCTTCTCTTCCTTTCTCGTTTTCTTCTCCTCTCTCCTCCTCCTTTTAGCCTCCTTCCTATCTTCTATGTCAGAATCAGAGCTGCCATTATCATCTGAAAATGCTTCTCCCCTCTCAGACCTTTTATTATTACTTCTCTTTTTATCCTTAGTTCGATGATTGCCAGTTTCCTTAGAGTCAGAAGAAAGGTTTGCATCCACGTCGCTGTTATCCTCTTTCTTAACTTTCTCACTGTTATTTGAAGGAAGCTGTCTCTTTCCTTCAGAATCTTCTGCTCTAATGGAGTCCTTATGCGAAACTGGGGACATCTGTGAACCGTGGACTCTATGACCGGAACGCCTCTCTGGCAACTTTTCACTGTTACGAAGTTGAATACACCAACGTCAACAGACCATAAAATCTGAAGTAAAAAGAATATCATATTGAAAGGCAAAGAAGCAAAATGCACCTCTTTCTCTCTTGATCCTTAGCATCGGGCACCTTCTCCAGTAAGTGTATCCTCTTATCAGAATCAGGTGACTGCACTGAAGTCTTCTTTAACAGCTTGGATTTTCGATCTTTGTCCTCTCTACACGCAATGTGAAAACAGACAGATGGCCGAGGAGTTAACAACAATTGATAAGAAAAATCTGCATGCAACTTAAAACAGTTTATTTGCACATTTATGTTAATATGCATTGGTAAATGGAGTCGAGAAGAGCATACCTGTCTCGCTCTTCCAATGGATGTCCCGGAGATCTTCTGTCCCTCCGCGGCTTTCTTTCACTTGGTGAAGGAGATCTACGGCGAGCAGGAGGTGAGCGCGACCTAGACAAAGACCTGCTCCAAGATGGAGATCGTTTCCTACGGCTGTCATCAGGTGATCGTGAAGCAGACGGAGATCTTCGACTTCGCCGCTTGACAGGTGTTGGCGATCTGCGCCTAACAGGAGAGCGCGCTTTCTGTTGTCGAGAGTAAGGAGAAGATCTACCTCGACCTCTAACAGGTGAGATAGATCCAGGACGTCCGGCAGGTGCCAGGGAGCCTCGCTCTTTGGCAGGTGTCAGTGACCTGCGTCTTCTAGCAGGTGGAGATGGTAACCCGTTTTTCCGACCAGGAGGGGACACTGAACTGCGTGATGGTGATTCAAGGTGATTGACTGACTGAGGTACTCCTAGCCTCATCGGTGATGGTGATCCTGCACGCCTGGGAGGTGGTGAAGGCAACCTTTGCCCAGCGGGTGGTGAAGGCAATCTTGGCACAGCAGGAGGAGAGGGCAACCTTTGTCCAGCGGGTGCATTGCGCCTATCAACTGGTGACGTAGATCTTCCTGGTGAGTCAGACCTTTCCCGCTTAGCCGGTGGGGACCGTGACCGTGACCTGGACCTGTTACGCCTATAGAGTGGAGATGGGGACCTGCGCCGCCTAGCTATCGGTGAAGGAGACCTACGACGCCTATCGGGCAATGGAGACCGGCGACGCCTAGCAGGTGGTGAAGGTGACCGGCGTGGCCTAGCAGGCGGTGAAGGTGACCTGCGCCGCCTGGCAGGTGGAGATGGAGACCTGCGTCTCCTAGCAGGAGGGGATGGTGACCTACGCCGCCTGAAGGGAGATGGAGACCTGCGACGCCTTGAAGGGGGTGGTGATTGACGGCGCCTCGCAGGTGAAGATACACGGCGGCGCCTTGAAGGTGATGGTGACCTGTTACGTCTAATAGGTGACCGTGACCTACGTCGCCGAGGAGACAGAGACCTACGCAAGGAACGTGACCTGGATCTACGCCTAGATAATCTCCGCTTTCTGGGAGAGATGGAGGCATCTGATGATCGAGACAAGCTCCTTGATCTTCGTCCACTGTTGTACAAGTAGATCAGCCATTAGCAAAAAACGGCGATACATAACTAACGAGTTAGAAAATCAGAGGCTAGAATTTCATTGGATTTAGAAAGATAATTACGGAAGGCACGTACCCAGAATAACTTCTCGATCCTGAATTTGTTCTGCTGATCGACCTAGAGCGTGAACGGGAAGCATCTCTGCGACGTGGAGATATCAGATCCCTGTATCAGGGAGGCAATGTCAAAACCCACTCTACCTAATTTACAAATGGTATTCAGAAGATAAAATCATGGGCATTAAGAGAACTCTACCTTCTCTTTTCTTTGACTCCATTCTTCTCATCAGCCCTCCTCTCATCATCCGGACGATCTCTTGAAGGTTTCGTCTCCATGCCATTTGTCACCTTCTGTTCGCCGCTGCTGTCCTACAGTAGTTTGAGGTAAAGCACATGAACCCTAATAATTGCAGAAGCTATCTGAATAACATGGAAAGAACAGGCGACTGTTAAAACCAGAAGAACAACTGTAAAGACTGTAACTCTAGCATGGAATAACTTAGTCTTACTTTATTCCTCGATATATCATGCTCATGGTCCTTAAGTTCCCTCTCCTTCCTCCTCCCTATTTCAATTGCTAACTGCTCTTTTTTTTCTATTGCTTCTTCCTGCCACAAAAGAAAAAACAATCACCAGACGACAGGAGAAAGAAAAGTCATTTCATCGTCAGTTCCAACTTCAAAAATGACTTCCTGAGAATACCTGCTTCTTCTTTGCTTCAGCTTCTTTAGCATCTAAAAACTGCTGTGGAACACCACTTGCATTGTTCTGTGCGCTTAGCAGAAGCGTCCAGAGCTCTTTCATGAACTTCCCACTATTTTTCTCCATGAATCCAGTAATCGAAATCTGAATCTCCTTACCATTCACTGCCTACATGAGGAACACCGTTCAATTAGATACTATTCCAGCAAAAGTTTGAAGGCAACAAAAAAAAAAAATTCACTTGCATTACATAAACCTTCCATTACATCTCATGTAAACAATCTACAACAAGGTTAAGGAACAGAAGAAAAGCAAAGCTCAGTTAAAAGCTACCTTCCCATCAAGCAGACCGTAGATAAAGTTGATCAGCACTTCATCTTCAAAACCAAGAAGCTCAGTGACTCTAGTCGCAATCCAAGGCTTCATAACATCCATCTTCACTTTGGTCACATCAATCTGACACCAAACCAAGCAGAGGATGTCAATTGCCACAACTGGTAACAAAAGATACACAATTAAGCAATTCAAATTGAATTAACCTACGAGTTTAGACTCAATTTGATACAGAATTCACGAATGAACCAAGACTGTAAAATATTAATCGTAAAAGAAACTGACCAGATTCTCCAACTCCGGAGCGAATTTCTGGCTTTTCATCAATTTAGCTTGCTTGTTAGAAAACCGAGTATCCTGCTCGGCGGAAGTACCCTGAAACTCAAAACAAAGATGAATCAGAGCGTATCGAAACCGAGCTTAAGGGCTAGCGAAAATTGATATTGCATCGATCTGGATCTAAAAGATGATACATCAGTCGCAGTATTCAAGAAAGAGGATGATCGAAAATACTCACCCGGAAGAAACCGCCAGACATATTTTAGGGTTTGTGGAAGCAATCCCTCCTTCGCTAGGTACTTACGGGGTCGAGGAGAAAGATCGAAGCTCTTCAGAGAGATGCAGACTTTGAAGATGTGAAGGGGCTTCCACAAAAATTTTGAAGAGTTTTTACGAGCCCTAGACTTATTGAATTTTAGTTTTCTATTATTACCCTTTGATTTTCATTCAAATCACGTTGTTGCCATTTGGGGAGAACAATGGCAGAATCGCATTTAAACCGTCATTTCACAAATATATGAGTAGTAATTTAAATAATTAGAGTAATAGAAAAAAAACACAAAAATGTAAAAACTACAGAGGTATATTTACTTTTAAAAATATTTTTTATTAATCAAAAATGGTTGTTTCAACTTTCAAATAAATTATTTACAGAATCAGTATTTTATATTATTTAATTATATCAATAACTATATTTCATCATTTAAATAATACAAATAAGTACTTTTGTACTACAAATATTTATATAATAAATAGACTTATCTATTATTTGAGTTTTGCTATATTATTAGACTTTTATGTATTTTGTATTAAAAATAAATTAAAAATAATTATAATAAAAGTATAATTTTCATTATATTAAATTTATGTCATTTTTATGATAATTAGTTTGATTATTGATAGCTTAAGTTTTATGATTTCAAATAATATAAAATATCTTCTAATAAAAAATATTTTAAAATTATATTACACTATTTTGCACAATATATTTACAGTCCAGAAATATATTTTACTATTTTTTATTAAATTATTTCGCATTTTATTTTATTTTTCCATTTTGCAATTTTTAAATGTTATCAACCTTAATTTTACATTTATTAGTTTTAAGTTTTAACATCTATCTACTACATATTATTTGAGAACTACAGTAAAACCTCTATGAATTAATATTCGATAAATTAATACTCGATAAATTAATAATTTACAAATTTTATAGAGGTTTTACTATAACATTATTCAAAATAACTGATTTGTCAACACTACAACCAAAGTTAGTGCTTTTAATTGATGACATATAAATGTGACATGTCAAACTTTCTAAAATAAATAAAATATTTTGATTGGTTAGATTAAAATTATAGAAATTATGGAATTAAAATATAAATACACTAGATTATATTTATAACACTAAAATTAACAGTTTTAAATTAACAAAAAATAATAATTATTATAATTTTAATTATTTAAATATATTCATAATTTTATAAAATATAATTACGAATTTTTTCAACAATATATATATATATTATAATTTCATATAAAAACAAAAAACAATACTAAATTATCCAATAAGATAGTAAAAATTCTATATATTAATAATATTTGAAGTATAATATATATTTATTTCAGAAACTAATTAATTTACAAAATATAGTAATAATATCTAAACAAGATTGAAATAAAAATTATTAAATAATATAATTTAAATAAAATACAATCATGATAAAAATAATTTAAAGAATAAAATATTAAAAATAATAAAAAATAATTAACTTTAATTGAATTTTTTTAAAAAACGTAATTTAAAATAGTTTTTCTTTTCGAACCAATATTTACTAAATGAATAACGTATATACTAATTATTATTTTATAATATTAATAGGACCATATATTTTTTATAATTTTTATCATTTTTTTATTGTTGTTTTCTAAAATGTACATAACTTATGTTACCATCTCATCTTATCTTTTATCATATTTTAAATAAATATAAAATTTATATCATATTCATATATATATATATACATAAATTTATTTTCATGGTATATCAAAAATTTGAGATCATAAATGAAATGAAAAAAATAACTGAACGAAAGAATAAATTAAAATAAGATAAAACAAATATGAATAAGAAATAAAAATAAAATTATATAAAAATAAATCTCTTGCACTTTGTTTTACAAAGTCACTTAAAAACGTTTTAACACGTAAGAGCCATATTTTGACTTTTTACAAATACATGTACAAACATAAATATTTATTGTGCATTAGTTGAAATCACATGCGAATTTTTTTGTGCATATATTTTGTTAAGCTTGATTATAGTCAAATTTTTATTTAAATTATTATACAATTTATATTTTTTTAAGTATTTATTTATTCTAAGTGTAGTGAAGTGGTTGGTATTCCCACACATGCGTACTAACCATTTATCTGCTCTTATGAATAAGTAAAAATAGTGAAAATTATTTCAGTTTAATTTGCAATAAATCAAGAAAAATATATACTTAAAATATATTATATATGTATTTACAAATTCATATTATGTAAGACGCAAAAAAATATATTATATATTGTGTAAGGAAAAATAAAGCATATTATAGAAATATTCAAAAACATATTATAAGAATTTAATTTTTATATTTGTGATTATATATTATTACAAGCATTATAAAAATAAAAAGTATTAAAATACATTAGTTTCAGAAAGAAGTTTGTGAAATATTAAAACAATATATATATACAAACATACTAATGTTTGAGAAAACTAATCAATATTTAAATATTATAATTAACAATATATATATCAAAAAAAATTATACATGCACATATGTACGGGCCAACCACCTAGTACATATTATTTGAGAAGTAACATTATTAAAAATAGCTGATTTGTCAACACTACAGCCAAAATTAGTGTTTTTAATTAATGACATGTAAATGTGACATGTCAAACTTCCTAAAATAAATGAAATATTTTGATTGGTTGAATTAAAATTAAAGAAATTGTGGAATTAAAACATAAAAACATTAGATTATATTTATAACACTAAAATTAACAAATTTAAATTAACACAAATAATAATTATTATAATTTCAATTTTTACATATATTCTTAATTTCATAAAATATAATTACATAATTTTTTCAATAATATATATATATATCATATTTCCTAGAAAAACGAAAAACAATAATACTAAATTATCCAATAGAATAGTAAAATTCTATTTATTAATAATACCTGAAGTATGATATATTTTTATTTTGGAAAGTTATTAATTTACAAAATATAGTAATAACATCTAAACAAGTATTAAATAAACAAATTATTAAATAATATAATTTTAAATAAAATACAATCATGATAAAATAATTTAAAGAATAAAATGTTAAAAATAATAAACAAAAATTAACTTTTATTGATTTTTTATTAGAAAAACGTAATTTAATATAATATTTCTTTTCAAACCAGTATGTACTAAATGAATAAAGTATATACTAATTATTATTTTATAATATTAATAGGACCATATATTTTTCTATAACTTTTATCATCTTTTATTGATGTTTTCTAAAATGCACATAACTTATCTTACCATCTCATCTTATCTCTTATCATATTTTAAATAAAAATAAAATTTTATATCATATTAATATATATACATAATTTTATATTTATCGTATATCAAAAATTTGAGATCATAAACAAAATAAAAATACCCTAACGAAGAATAAATTAAAATAAGATGAAACAAATATGAATAAGAAATAAAAATAGAAGTATATAAAAATAAATCTCTCGCACTTTATTTTAAAGTCACTCAAAAAAAATTAACACGTAAGAGCTATATTTTGACTTTTTCACAGATATGCGTACAAACGTACATATTAGTTGTACATTAGTTGAAGTCACATGCATACTTTTTGTGCATGTATTTTGTTAAGCTTTATTACAGTCTAATTTTTATTTGAATTATTATACAATTTATATTTTTTTAAAGTCTTTATCTATTCTAATTATAGTGAGGTGGTTGGTATGTCCGCACATGCGTGCTAACCATCTATCCGCTCTTAGGATTAAATAAAAATGATAAAAACTATTTCAGTCTAATTTGCAATAAATCAAGAAACAATATATACTTAAAGTATATTATATATGTATTTGCAAATTCATATTATGTAAGATGCAAAAAAGTATATTGTCGATTGTGTAAGGAAAAATAAAGCATATTATAGAAATATTTAAAAAATATTATAAAAATTTAATTATTATTTAATATAACTTTATATTTGTGATTATATATGATTACAAACATTATAAAAATAAATGTTTTTAAAATACATTGGTTTCAGAAAGAAGTTTGTGAAATATTAAAACAACATATATATACAAACATACCAATGTTTGAAAAAACTAATCAACACTTTATATTACAATTAACTATATATATTAAAAAAGTTATACCCGTACATATGTGCGGACCAACCACCTAGATTACACATATTGTTTCCGACCTTAACTCAACTTATGGCCATATGCGTAATAACCTATTGCTTTTTTTCTATGAGGATTGCTGTAAACATCTTAGGCCCAAAGCAACCAAAGTTAAACCTGGTCCATTAACATGAACTCCATTATCCAAATCAAAAGATACTAGTTGTCTCGTCTGTATAAAGAGATGCTTCATCATTATTCCTTAAATCCTAGTGATAAAAGTTTTCTATTCGAGTTAGCTTACTACTAATCCAAGCTAAATGAAAAAAGAAAAAACTATCACCCTTCATGATGTAAGCTTGGATAGGATAGCCAAGGCTTAGCAAACAATTAATAGATCAGAAACAATGGATGATGATGTAAGCTTGGATAGGATAGCCAAGGCTTAGCAAACAGTTAATAGATCAGAAACAATGAACATGGTGTAAGCTTGGATAGCTAAGGCTTAGAAGCACTTAATATATTAGAAACAATGGTTATGTAAGGCTTAAATGGAAGGTAATTTGATAGAGAACCACCTTTAGAGATAACAGCATGCAATGAAGGAGACATGGCTTGGCTAGTTTTTTCTCTTCTCAGGGCAGATCTGTTTGTTTCCGGTTAGTGGCTCTTTTTTGTTCTAAACAGAGATTCAGTTGGTTACTGGGGTTGGTTGTATGGTCTTGTTCTTGTAGGTTCGATTTTACTTTATTGGAGGTCGGTGGTTCGCTAATCCATCGCTTTGCGCTTCTTTAATCTTGCTACCATGGTCTGTTTACTGCGGGATGGTTTAGGGCTCGCTTGGTCGTTTGTCCATTGCTGGAGGAGCTTTGGTCTTTCTTTCAGGTTTCTATTTAGGCATCTACCTGTTCTTGGACTTCTCTGTCCCTTGACATTGCCATTTCCGGGAGTTCTGTAATTCTTGCTCGCCGGTTCATGAAGCATTTGTTCTGTTCTGTTTCTGTTACTGACGTAAGAGGAGGTTTAGTTTCGTTGGTTGGCCTTAGGCATCTTTGATACTATCAGGCTTAGGGTTCCAGATTTTTGATTTATCTTGCAATTTTGAGTTTATATTGGTTCTTTTGTTAACTGCTGAATTCTTCTCTGTTTTAGTTTCAGATTGGTAGAGTCTATTTTCGTTTTTTACCTTAGAATCTCAAAAATGTATCCTTTGAATGTATTCTATGTTTCTAATAAATATTCAGATGACAAAAAAAAAGAAGGAGACATTCATTAAACTATACACAAAACAGAAATAAAAAGATTCAAAAACTAATACATATACATAAAAGTGCTAGTTCTCTCTCTAACTTAAAACTCTTCCCCTTCTCTCTAGTTCTTAAAAAAATACAGACGTCTCATTCTATCGACTCAGGTGGCTTTCTAAGCACCGGAATCAGATTCGTTTAATTTTTGTCTTTTAGATTTTGTTTCTACTTTCTTATTTTTATTCTCAGTACCGGTTTCTTGTTTTATGGGTTTTTTATTCTTCTGATCTGAGATCTGTTCTTCAGATTTGGAGGTTTTGATTCTTTAGATCTTTACTTTTTATAGCTTGTGAGCAGGCGTGTGAGGGTTGGCCTATGGTCCTTTGTAGTTTGTTGGTCTTTAGGTTTCGCTTCTTTACTTTTCGTTTTGAGTATCACTAGATTGAGTTTTTTTTTGTGTGTGTGTTTTTTTTTGCAGGCGGGTTTCAAAACTCAATCTTGAGCCATAACTGTTTTTTTTGTGGATTGTGTAGATATGTGATCTCTCGGCTTCATTGCACTGGGAGCAATATACTGAATCACTAGAAGATCTCCAATCTTTGGGCTTATTAATGCAAAAAAGATAAATCTATAAAATTTTTAATCCTCTATGCTCTTTACCAATTAGAATTTAAACGGTTTTTGACACAATATCAGAAACTCATCAAGATTTGTTCAAAGACGACATATATGGGTGATGTTTACAAGTTTAAAGGTGGCCATTTTTTCATTCAGCAATTCTGGAGCTTTTCAAATTAAATGTCTGTGGGATATTCTATTTCAATAGAAGATTGCTCAAAGATCTTTCCATCGTGAAGAAGTTCACTAATCAATACATAATGACGTCCAGATTCTTCTTTATACCAAGAATAATGGTCCACAGCTAACAATATTAATTGGAATATCTTGAAGACAAGAAGATCATCAATCAGATAAACATTCGCCACATGAACAAGAATAAAAGCTCGTAAACATTGATTTGTTAATCATTTATTTTCCATATGTTAATAATCTAGTTCTTTATTAATTTGTAAGCATTAATGGTCTAATTTTGTATGAGCTTATAAAAGCTTTCTTTTGTAACTATTTTATACATACAGTATACAAAATTTTAGAAATAAAATAGAATTCTCTCTAAAGCTTATGCTTGTTTTGTTTAACTAAGTTAGATGGATTTCTTTACTTAGTAAACTTTGGATCTATGTCTCTTGTATGTGATTTCTTGAGACTAGATTTGTGAACTTATCACAAGGGCTTTTACATTCTTGAGTGGCGTTCTTCGATCCATCATTCATCCATCTGTTTATCATCTTCTGATCTTGCAAATAGAGTTATACGGCTCTTTGTTTGGTCCCATACTCGATCTACTTCCTTCCATAGCCCATCCATTGATTGCAAACCGAAAGAGTTGAACAACCAGCAGCCCAATCCCATCACCATACACGGTTACTGCTTGTAAGCGTGTGTCAGTTTTAATTTGGTGTTTCCAATGTAGTTGTTACAAAGTGTCTTTCAATGTATCACTCCATGTATCCTTTAAAGTTTTAATAATATTTAAGATGAAACAAAAAATATAAAAGTGTTAATTGCACCAATAACACCTATAGAGATTAAGGCACTGTTTCACTCTCTTTTGAATAGGAAAGTGTATGGCCCAGACAGAGGGCTCGTAATACCCCCTTTTCTTGATCAAGCCTTTTCTTCGCTTCGGTAGTGAATAACCTACTCAAAAAATAGGGAAGCCTGCACACCTTATTTGAGACTACTAAAGTGGGTGGTGGACTCTTAAAAGGGAAGAAAGGGCTTAAGGGTATACCAAAAAGTTCTATGTTGGTAGCCAATAATTGAAGCAGACTTCATTTTCGCTGGTCAGTCTTTCTTTATGTTTGGATTTATGCCGAGGGGAGTGTATGCAACGGCCTTGTCTTTAATCCCAAAGCATGAGGAAGCAATGACTCTGAAGGATTGTCAGTTGATATCTTGCTGTAATATACTATATAAGGTAATCTCTAAGATACTTGCCAATCGTTTAAAACAGATTTTTCCTGAACCAATCAGAGTGTGTTTGTCAAAGGGAGACTCTTGTTGGAAAATGTGTTGCTCGCCTCTTAGCCTGTCAATGGATATCACAAACCATCATATCTACCAGATGTGCCAGTAAGTTTGATATTTTGAAAGCTTTCGACACGACTAAATAGTCTATTATTGTCTATGTCATCCAAGCAATGGGATTGCCTGATCAGTTTATACACTAGATTCACATCTGCACTGCATCTCCACTGCAGCATTCTTAGTTTCAGTAAATAGAAAACTTGAGCGATTTTTTACCAGTGCTCACGGACATAGACATGGCTTCTCTCTCTCACTTTATCTCTATGTTAATCTCAACAATGTTCTCTCCAATATGTTGAATAGAGCAGGAGCGCAAGCACAGTCAGGGTACCATGTAATGTGTGAAGAAGTAAAGCTCACTCACTTGAGTTTTGCTGATGACATTTTGGTGTTTACGGATGGCACCCCTTCTTCTTTACAAGGTACTTTTGAAGTCATGGATTTATTTTCTTGTATCTAAGGTCTCTACATTAATGCCGGAAAATCATCTATTATGGAGCGGGTCGAGGAGTTCATGTGCTCACTGAAGCGTCTACAACTGCTGGTATCTCAATGGGAATGTTGCTCATTCAGTATCCCGATCTCACTCTTACTACTAAATCGATGACTATGTTGGATTATGACCTTCTCATTGACAGAATAAGGCCTCGCCTTATCACTTGGACTCACAGAACGCTTATGAGTCGGCTGCAGCTAATTAAATCGGTTATTACAAGTATAACCAACTTCTGGAGCTCTACTTTCATTCTTCCCAAGGCCTGTCTCGATACAATTGAGGGGATGTGTTATGCGTTTATGTGGTCTGGCTCCCCCAGTGATACTTATAAAGCAAAGTTTCATGGGAGGAACTCTGTTACCCGAAGGAAAAGGGAGGTCTGGGTGTGAGGCCTCTATGCGAGTCTGCTACTGTCTTCTCTCTTAGTCTCATCTGGCGGTTGTACTCACTATCTGGCTCCTTATGGATGGCTTGGACTATGAGATATATGTTGTGTGATAGCTCGAGATGGAGCCATTATGGCTTACACTTTTGAAGCTAAGACCACTTGCTTACTCTTTCATCATGTTTAAAATTGGAAATGGTAACACTGCTTTCTTTTGGTATGATAATTGGCTGAAACCGGGGAGGCTACTTGATATCTTGGGAGATTCAGGTACTAGACTTTTCGAGCTTCATGGCAATGCGAGGGTGGCTGAGGCTGTTAGGGATGTCAGATGGCATCTAAGGGGATAGTATGGGCCTGCTCCAAGAGCCTAATAGAGATGATTAGAGTTGTGCATGTCCTGTTAGTGAAAAAACGGGGGGGGATATGACTCTATGGAGGCATAAAGATAGGAATTTCCTTTTATGGGTACGCGGAAAAAAATCAGGAAACAACGAAAGAAAAACAGAGAGAAAGAGAGATACAAATATATAAGCGTTATATTTTTATGACTGTTACAGACAAATTTATTTATTTCCAATTTTTATATATCATTCATTTTCTTATAAAGAATGAAATAAGAATTAAAGTGTTAAAGGAAAAATGAGTAATTGCATATAATTTGAAATTGAAGCATATACAATCTATGTATAAAGCTTTTTTTATGCAGTATATTTTGAATTTACTAAACTCTTTCGTTGATTTGGAAATTTCTCAAACTTTTTTTTTGATAATTTTTTCATATTTTTAAACCAAAAATCTTCATACGTGTATGACAAGAATCCAGTTAAAAAAAATTGTGGTTTTCGTGCGAAAAATTCTTAAAAAAATCTGAATATCTTTAATAATCAAATATATATATGTTTATATGATTTATTTTTTTTCATAAAAAAATAGAATAAGAATTAAAACGCAAAAGTTTTGTTAAAAAGAATAATTGATACGAAATTGAGACATACTTGAGTAAAAAACCTTATTACGCGCCATATTTTGAATTCGCTGAACCTTCTTTTGATTCAAAATTTCTCAAATATTTCCTTTTATGTGGAGTTTTCATATTTTCAAAGCAAAAATCTCCATCCGTGTTTGACAAGAATCCAATTAAAGAAAGTTATGATCCATCATGCGATTTGAGTTTTTTTGACATAACTAATTTTCACTGATAAGTCAATCAAAATTTATGTTAAAAATAATTATATAGTTTGAAGTTTTCTGTTTTAAAGTTTAAAATTTTGTATAAATAAATTTATCGAATAATAAATTTAAAATCTTTAAATTTTATAATGTCATCTTCATCCTAAAATTTAAGAATAACACTAATTTTGAGTTTAAAAGGATTTAAAAAAAAGTTAAGGAAATGGATCCATGAAAATTTAAGAACAATTCTTAACTTTCTAAATATTATGGCTTTATGGTTTCCAAAATTATGTTTTTTTTTCTGTGAAAAATAATGGAATTGTAGAATTTTAAGGTGCTTTTTAAACTTAAAATCCTGAAGATCTTAAGTGTACTTTGTAAAGATGAGCTTTTAAAACCCAAACAGAACAAAGGAGCAGAACAAAGGAACAGAACAAAGATCTCGAAACAGCTTAAACGAGGAAAATAAGGTTCGTAGTTATCTTTTAAGTTTTTATTTTTCTTTTTATTAATGCTTTTTCATTCCTCTGTGCAATCACTAGGTCAAACCAACCCTAGTTCGCAGTAATTTTTATTTTCTTAATTTCCATACTTAAATGGCATAAAAACCCTAAGGTTCTTGCATCGCCGTCGGATAATTCCGTCAACACTATAAAAACCATTTTCCCCGTTGCTCTCAATTTTGCTATCTCTCTCACCTTGTCGCTGTTAGGGTTTTTTTTATACTTAAATCAACAGTAACATGAAAAATCAATCATCTATATAGAAAATCCCGTGAGAATTGATTTGAGTAGCGCCTAAAGTTTTGATCTTTGGTTTGGTTCTAATAGAGGATTTTGGGGATTGTATATATTGAGGTATAAAGCTCTGATCTTTAGGATTTCGTTGAGAGTTTAACGTATAACCATAATCTCAAAATTGATTTTTTTTTTTTGGTGTACTTTTTGTTGTTAGGTGATAATGATTCCGGAACTTGGGAGGAGGCCGATGGTTAGAGGTAACGAAGATTCATCTTTTGGGGATGATTATCAGAGAGAGATTGGAGCGTTGCTCGGAGAGCAGCAGCGACGGCAAGATGAAACTGATGAGATCGAGAGAGAGCTTAACTTGTACAGAAGCGGCTCTGCTCCGCCGACTGTGGACGGCTCTGGTAGTGCTGCAGGAGGGCTTTTCAGCGGCGGAGGTGGGGCCCCTTTTCTGGAGTTTGGTGGAGTGAATAAGGGAAATGGGTTTGGAGGTGACGATGAGGAGTTTAGGAAAGATCCAGAGTACTTGTCTTATTACTATGCTAACATGAAGTTGAATCCGAGGTTGCCTCCACCTTTGATGTCTAGGGAGGATCTGAGGGTTGCTCAGAGGGTTAAAGGGAGTAGCGCCGTGTTAGGTGGAATTGGGGATAGGAGAAAAGTGAATGATAGCAGGTCTTTGTTCTCTATGCCGCCTGGTTTTGATCAGATGAAGCAGCAGCAGCAGCAAGAGTTTGAGGCTGAGAAAGCCAATGCTTCCTCTTCTGATTGGGATGCTAATGGATTGATTGGTTTGCCTGGCTTGGATCTTGGAGGCAGACAGAAGAGTTTTGCTGATATCTTTCAGGTTGGTGAATCCTCTTGTTATCATTACAATCCAACCAGCTTTACTTCTTTTGGTTGTCCTTCATCGATGCTCTGATACTCTGTTAATGTTTGTTTCTGTGATTCTGTCTGATGATTACATTTTCCCCTTTCTAATGTTTCTGGCTTTATGGTGTGGTGTTTGCATAACTTCAGTATAAACTCTCATCACATGCCGCATTTGATTCTCTCTCTGCATTATTGTATTACTCTCATCTCTGCATTTATTTATGTAAAGTTGATGGATTGCTTTTATGCAGGCTGACATGGGGCACGTGAATCCCGTCGCGCAGCAACCTTCACGTCCCGCAAGTCGTAATACCTTTGATGAAAAGGTCGAGCAGCCACCACAATACAGCTATGCAGCTATTCTCGGCTCTTCATTGTCTAGAAATGGAACTCCGGATCCACAAGCCATTGCTAGGGTGCCTAGTCCCTGCCTTAATCCAATCGGGAGTGAGAGAGTGAGTTCAAATGATAAGAGGAACGCAAGTAACCAAAGCCCTTTCAACGGTGTTTCATCCGGTCTCAACGAGTCTTCTGATCTCGCAGCTGCTTTATCTGGCATGAACCTGTCAGCCACTGGCGGGTTAGATGAACGGGGCCAAGCTGAGCAAGATGTCGAGAAGGTCAGGAAGTATATGTTTGGAATGCAAGGTGGGCATAACGAAGTCAACCAACACGGGTTCCAAAACAAATCTGATCCTTACCAGCATAAAGCAACTGGTTCTTGGAGGAATTCACAATTGAGAGGGTCACAAGCTTCTGCTTATAACGGTGTAGGGGGATTACCTGGTCCTTACCAGCATCTTGATAGCCAAAACTATGGTCTGAACAACCACGCATTAAATCCAGCTGTAGCTTCTATGATGGCTAGCCAACTTGGGACTAGTAACTTTCCTCCAATGTATGAAGATGTTTCCGCTTTGGGATATTCTGGAATGGACTCTAGGCTTCATGGAAGAGGTCAAAACTTCCCTGAATCACGTAACCTTGGCAGAGTCAATAATCGAATGATGGGAGGAGGTCCTGGTCTTCAGTCACATATTGCAGACCCAATGTATCATCAGTATGCTGATTCGCTTGATCTTCTTAATGATCCTGCAATGGACAGGAGCTTTATGGGTAATTCATACATGAATATGGTTGAACTTCAGAGGGCTTATCTCGCAGCTCAGAAATCACAGTATGGCGTCCCTTACAAATCTGTTAGCCCTAACAGCCATAGCTATTACGGAAGTCCAACGTTTGGGTCTAACATGTCATATCCTGGCAGCCCATTGGCTCATCATGTTATGCAAAACTCTCTTTTGGCACCTCTTAGCCCTATGAGACGAGGTGGTGAAGCTAATATGCGATATCCCTCTGCAACAAGAAACTATTCGGGAGCTTTGGATTCATGGCCCATGGGTCCTAGTTTGGATGAAAGCTTTGGATCTTCATTACTGGAAGAGTTCAAAAGCAACAAAACAAGAGGTTTCGAGCTTTCTGAAATAGCTAGCCATGTTGTAGAGTTCAGGTGATTTCCATTTTTAAGTCTTTACTCTTATTCTTTGTGTACCATTTGTCCCAAGCTAACACGTATTTTGGACTGACCAGTGCGGATCAATATGGGAGCCGGTTTATTCAGCAGAAACTCGAGACAGCAACAACTGATGAGAAAAACATGGTTTATGAGGAGATCATGCCAGAAGCTCTTGCCCTGATGACTGATGTTTTTGGAAACTATGTAATTCAAAAGGTAGATTAAATCATCTTCTCTGTTTTTTGTTTTAAGTAGCTTAGTATTGTTTACATGAAAGTTTCCTGAATATGGTAATCTTCTTACAGTTCTTTGAGCATGGACTACCTTCTCAGAGGAGAGAATTATCAGAGAAGCTCTTTGACAACGTTTTGGCTCTTAGCTTACAGATGTACGGCTGTCGTGTTATCCAAAAGGTAAAGTCTAATTCTCACCTGTTCTCCTTTTTTCAGTAACGTTTTGGCTCTCAGTACAGTTACACTTTCGTTATGGTTCTCTTATTTTGCTATTATAGGCAATCGAGGTGGTTGATCTAGACCAGAAGATTAAGATGGTGAAAGAGCTTGATGGACATGTGATGCGGTGTGTACGCGATCAGAATGGGAACCACGTGGTTCAGAAGTGCATCGAATGTGTGCCTGAAGAAAACATTGGATTCATTATTTCGACTTTCTTCGGTCAAGTTGTGACCCTCTCCACTCACCCATATGGCTGCCGTGTTATACAGGTTCTTGCATTTAGTGATAAAACAAGATGACAGTTTTCTTGAACTAATGCATCTTTGTAAAACGCTTTTTCGTCTCCTGCTGCAGAGGGTATTGGAGCACTGCCATGACCCGGATACTCAGAGTAAGGTTATGGAAGAAATCTTGTCTACTGTTAGTATGCTGGCCCAAGATCAGTATGGAAACTATGTTATTCAGGTTTGTAAAAGTTTATTTGAGTTTTTCTGAAACTGGTGATTGTTGTTTTGCTCATAACTGATACACGTTTTGTGGACAGCATGTGCTGGAGCACGGAAAGCCTGATGAGCGTACTGTGATAATCAAAGAGCTTGCTGGGAAGATTGTTCAGATGAGCCAGCAGAAGTTTGCCTCAAACGTTGTTGAGAAATGTTTGACTTTTGGAGGCCCAGAGGAAAGAGAACTGCTTGTGAATGAGATGCTGGGCACAACTGATGAAAACGAGCCTCTTCAGGTTTGTCAAAACACACATAGTTTTAGATGATTGTCTGCGAAAACAAAGAAACTAATATGCTTCTTCTTCTTCTTCCTGTGTGAATAGGCGATGATGAAGGATCAGTTTGCAAACTATGTGGTGCAAAAAGTTCTAGAGACATGCGATGACCAACGTCGTGAGCTGATACTTACCCGTATCAAAGTGCATCTCAATGCGTTAAAGAAGTACACTTATGGGAAGCATATCGTTGCTCGTGTTGAAAAACTCGTCGCTGCTGGAGGTATGTAGTACATGTTTTCCAGAGTTTAAAGCCTTTGTGTGCTACATTTCAATGTCTCTTAAGAGGTTTTTCTTCTTCTTTATATTACAGAGAGGAGAATGGGGTTGCAGCCTCAAGCTCAGATGGCGTAACTGTTGTACAGCGTAACTAGGGTGGATGGGTCTGCCATTACGTGTTGAGAATTAGGTAAGATCTAGACTGGAAATAATCTTGCGGGAAAATTGTGAAAGAGAGCTTTGTTTTCTCTGCAAAAAAATCTGTAAAATTGTGTAGTTTCTTACGGCTTTTCTATACATAGAACCAAAACATCCCCTCCTTAGGCTGATGAGTGAAAGAGAGAGAAAAAAAAGGCAGAGAATGGTGTAAAGATGGGTTGTGAAATGTTAGGGTTTCCTTCACACAAACGATAATGGCTGTTATTGCCAAATGTGTAGAAGTGAGAATGTTGATGCTTTTAGGACAATCCCAGTTTTTTTAGAGTTTTTTTTCCTCCCATCTATGTAATTTGTTTCATCAGACTCTTATTTTGCTATTTCAATGCACTCTTTCGTTTCTGAAAATTTTGCAGTTTTCTTGTTTATATCAGTTTGCTTGTTATGCAAGAAAGTTTTGATAGATATGACAATCGCAGAGCCTTACAAAAAACAAGATCGTCGTTCTTGTCTTTCTCTAACAATGGATCAAAAATCAATCAAGATCAATGTCAATGTCGTCATCTTCAATCTTCTGACCGAAGCCTCTTGGTCCAGCTTTGGCTCTCGTTGCTTTCTTCTTCCCACTTTTCTTTGATCTCTTTGCTGCCTCTTCTTTCTCAAACTTCTCTCTCTCCCTCTTCCCCAGAAATTCAGTCACTCCAATGTAAACAACCTGTAATATAATATTCTTACTGTCAGGATCTTATGACCGGTTTAGAGAGACTCTCCAACCGGGTTTTCAGGTTTGGTTCAACTCAGCATTTGTAAGATCGATTTTGAAAAGTTAGGATAAGATTTTGGTTTGTGGATAAACTTACACCAATGGTGAGAACAGAGAGAGCAAGAAACGCGACAATGAGAAGCACTTGTATAATCAAAGCGACACCATCTTGACCACCACTAGAGACAATGGCTTCGGAAGATGAAGAATCAGAAGAAACGATCTCCTGGGAAATTTCCTCTGGAGTTGCAGAGGATCTCCATAGTTGGGTTTTTTCCTGGTGAAGAAGAAGAACCTTAGGAGCTTGTTGTTTATCGGAAGACAAGAACTTTCTCCTTGAAACAGACAAAGAGAGTGGAGATAATTGGTGGGTTTTAGCTGGATTTTGGAATACTGGTCTGAAATTCGAAAGAGAGAGAGATGGTGTTGTTGTCGCAGACATAGTTTTTCCACTCCCACCACTCTTATCTTCTTCAGATCCTGGACATAACCACTTCCGTTTATTTTCTTGAGATTGAAAACGGAATTAAAAGAGATTACAAACATGGGTCTAGAAAAGCCCAATATATTATTTTGTGATGGGTATCAACCGGTTCGATTAAGGAAACCGAATCTCCTAAATACCAAGAATACACCGGTTTAGTCTTTTACTATCACAATGATATTACTTATTCAATACATTTTTTTTTTACTTTTTAACATTTCATATCATTTTCTCTTTTCCACTAGTAAATTCAACACATATTCAACTTTTATTATAAATTTGTTTAATAAAATTCAACATTCTTACTCCATCATTTTATTTTACATTCTAAATTTGTTTCATATTTTGATTATTACATTAACATTTATTTTTTGTAATTAAATTAAAATAATTAAAAAGTTAAACTAAATAATATATGAGAAAATATTGGATGTTAAAAAAATATAGAGTTTTTTTTATTAAAAAGATGTTTAAAGTTACAAACACAAATTTATTGAAGAATAATAAATAATATATAGTAAAAAAAAAAATTTCCGTGTTCAAATCAAATAAAACAATTTTTTATTTATAGAGTTTTTGACATCCTAATGCAAAATTTTCACAGTAATGAGTTTGTGCTTACTCTATGGTGTTGTTTGCGAAGCAGCGGAACAAGTTAACCAAACAGATGAAACCTTCTTTTTTTTGACCAAATGTTGAAAGAAGTGTTCCAGAAAGAAATAAAAAATGGTTCTAAATCGAGTTCCAGATGAAACCTTTCTTCACCAAAGGGAGTAGATAAAATCGTAGGTAATTATAATTTTTAGTTTTATAAAATGATAACTACAAACTTTGAAACAGCTTGATTAGTAGAAATTTATTTGTTGGGACGGCCTTTTCCTACATTCTAATCGTCTGTTCCTTCCTTACAAAAAGTTTATTTGAGGAGAAACCATTTCAAAGGGACCTATAGATTTTGAGAATACATCTTCACTTCTCAATCTCGAAATTTTAGATGTTAGTTACAACAATTTCATTGGACCAATCCCTACCTTCTTATTCAAGATTCCTTCATTACAAGGGGTTGATTTAGGGGGAAACGAAGTTTATGGAATTCTCTTCTTGGGCTACATCTAGGTCATAACGGTTTCAATGTGTCTTCTCAATTTGGCAATGAAGACATTCACAAGCAAATTTGACAAATCTCGCATTAGACCTATCCGAAAATCAATCATCTAATCAGATTCTTTCAGGTTTTTGGTAGCCTTTTTTCTGTCATACATGAACTTTTCTCACAACCAAGAAGTACACGATTTCGAAGCCAGAATTGTTCTTCATTCATGGACAACCTCTCGAGGTAATGTGTGAGGAAATTCATGTCGGTAAGCTTACAAATGAATTATCGGAGCAAGAAAAACAAGTGATTAACCAAGCCGAGTGTTGTCACTCGATGAACACCACATTTCTCTTTCCACATTTCTCTCCTAAAACTCGTTTATGTTTTGTAATTTTACATCTTATGGCTTTGTAACAAACGCTTGAAGATGCATTTCAGAAACTCCAACCTACTCAAATCTCAACATGTGCAAGGATAGCTTTTTTTAAAGTCATTATTTTTGTTTTGTTATAAGTTTGGACTGTGAGTATTAAAAGTTATGGTGAACACTCAAGGCTATACAAAACCAATATTTAAAATCTTCAGATTACATTAAAGTGGATTTCTAGGGAAGAGGGAGAGAGAAGGTCGATCATATGTTTGCATATTCTGTCTTTGTTAAAACATATGTTTCTTGCAGAACAAGGAACATGACATATATCAACAAAAACAAAGAAATTCCAAAAAGATAGTTTTCTTGTCAAAATAAGTGTTTTAATAATGAAACCCTAAAACTGGGATTATCCTAAAAGCATACACATTGACATGAGAGCCATTCTTTTTGTACATGTGAAGGAAATCCTAAAAATCCTCAACATTTTCTTTACACCATTCTCTGCCTCTCCACTCACTCATCAGCCTAAAGAGGGGGATGTGTTTTGGTTCTATGTAATATATTAAAAGCGGTAAGAAAAACAAATGTACAGACTTTGCAGAAAACAAACAAAGCTCTCTTTCAGAATCTCCCGCAGAATTTTAAGTTTACATCTTACCTAATCCTCGAAAACGCTCCACCCTAGTTAAGCTGTACAACACCTGCGACATTACGCCACCTGAGGCTGGTTAAGAGACTGCAAACTTCTCCTCTCTGCATTTAAGAAAACAACCTACTTAGAGACATTGAAATGCTATTTCCTCTTTCTTCAACCAATATAGGCTATACATCAAAGGCTGAAACATTGGACCCAAAGAAGAGAAGGAACATGTGCATATACCTCCAGCAGCAACGAGTTTCTCAACACGAGCAACAATGTGCTTTCCATAAGTGTACTTCTTCAATGCATTAAGATGCACTTTGATACGGGTAAGTATCAGCTCACGTTGTTGGTCATCGCATGTCTCCAGAACTTTTTGCACTACATAGTTTGCAAACTGATCCTTCATCATGGCCTATTTACACAGGAAGAAGACGAAGTGGCATATGAGGTTATCAATTTCATCATCTTCCCAAAAATTATCTGAAAGTTATGTGTTTGACAAACCTGAAGAGGCTCGTTTTCATCAGTTGTGCCCAGCATCTCATTCACCAGCAATTCCCTTTCCTCTGGACCTCCAAAAGTTAAACATTTCTCAACAACATTCGAAGCAAACTTCTGCTGGCTCATCTGAACAATATTGCCCGCTAGTTCTTTGATTATCACAGTACGCTCATCAGGCTTTCCGTGCTCCAGTACATGCTGTCCACAAAACATGCATCAGTTTTAAGCAGAGTATATAAAATCACCAGTTGCAGAGAAAATCAACACTTTCTACAAACCTGAACAACATAGTTTCCATACTGATCTTGGGCCAGCATACTAACAGTGGACAAGATTTCTTCCATAACTTTACTCTGTGTATCCGGTTCATGGCAGTGTTCCAGTACCCTCTGCAACAAGAGACGAGAAGAGGTTTACATAAACGCATTGGGTGAAAAAAAAGAAGACATCTTTATAAGTAAGAGCAGAAACCTGAATAACACGACACCCATATGGGTGAGTGGAGAGAGTCACAACTTGACCAAAGAAAGTCGATATAATGAATTCGATGTTTCCTTCAGGCACACATTCGATGCACTTCTGAACCACGTGGTTCCCATTCTGATCGCGTACACATCGCATCACATTACCATCAAGCTCTTTCACCATCTTGATTTTCTGGTCTAGATCAACCACCTCAATTGCCTAAAATGGTACAAACAAACATAAAAGAATGAAACTGTACCTGCTCTTGAGAAACGGATGATAGGCCTATAGAGAACAGTAAAACAGATGAGAATTAGACTTTACCTTCTGGATAACACGACAACCATACATCTGCAAGCTAAGAGCCAAAACGTTGCTAAAGAGCTTCTCTGCCAATTCTCTCCTCTGTGAGGGGAGTCCATGCTCAAAGAACTGAAGGAAAATTAGCACATTCAGGAATCTTTCAGGTAAAAGTGTCTCCACTTCAAACAAGTAGAGAAGATGGTTAACTCTACCTTTTGAATAACGTAGTTTCCAAAAACATCAGTCATCAGGGCAAGAGCCTCTGGCATGATCTCCTCATAAACCATGTTTTTCTCATCAGTTGTTGCTGCCTCCAGTTTCTGCTGAATAAACCGGCTCCCATATTGATCCGCACTGATCAGCACAAATTACGAGTTAGATTGGGACAATGATACACAACAACAAAAGGTAAAAAAAATTCAAGGAGATACCTGAACTCTACGACATGGCCAGCTATTTCTGAAAGCTCGAAAACTCTTGTTTTGTTGCTTTTGAACTCTTCCAGCAATGAAGATCCAAAGCTTTCATCCAAACTAGGACCCATAGGCCAAGAATCCATTACGCCTCCTGGATAGTTTCTTGTTGCAGAGGGATATCGCATATTAGCTTCACCACCTCGTCTCATAGGGCTAAGAGGTGCCAAAAGAGAGTTTTGCATAACATGATGAGCCAATGGGCTGCCAGGATATGACATGTTAGACCCAAACGTTGGACTCCCGTAATAGCTATGGCTGTTAGGGCTAACAGATTTGTAAGGGACGCCATACTGTGATTTCTGAGCTGCGAGATAAGCCCTCTGGAGTTCAACCATATTCATGTATGAATTACCCATAAAGCTCCTGTCCATTGCAGGATCATTAAGAAGATCAAGCGATTCAGCATACTGATGATACATTGGGTCTGCAATATGTGACTGAAGACCAGCACCTCCTCCCATTATTCCATTACTGATCCTACCAAGATTACGAGATTCAGAGAAGTTTTGACCTCTTCCATGAAGCCTGGAGTCCATTCCAGAATATCCCAAAGCGGAAACATCTTCATACATTGGAGGAAAGTTACTAGTCCCAAGTTGGCTAGCCATCATAGAAGCTACAGCTGGATTTAATGCGTGGTTGTTCGGACCATATTTTTGGCTATCACGATGCTGGTAAGGACCAGGTAATCCACCTACACAGTTATAAGCAGATCCTTGTGACCCTCTCAGTTGTGAGTTTCTCCAAGAACCATTTGCGTTAAGGGCTTGATCAGATTTGTTTTGGAACCCGTGTTGGTTGACTTCGTTATGTCCACCTTGCAGTCCAAACATATAGTCCCTGACATTTTCGACATCCAGCTCAGCCTGACCCCGTTCATCTACCAGGTTCATGCTAGCTAAAGCAGCGGCGAGTTCAGGAGAATCGTCGAACGGGCTTCGGTTACTTGCGTTCCTCTTATCATTTGAACTCACTCTTCCACTCCCAATGGGAGTAAGGCAGGGACTAGGCGCCCTAGCAATGGCCTGTGGATCCGGAGTTCCCGTACGAGACAATGAAGAACCGAGAATAGCTGCATAGCTGTATTGTGGTGGCTGCTCGACCTTTTCATCAAAGGTATTACGACTTGCAGGACGTGAAGGCTGCTGCGCTACGGGATTCACATGCACCATGTCAGCCTGCACAGAATCAATCCATCAACTTTACATAAATGAGAATATGCAGAGAGAATAACGACAGTTTATATCCTCAAGTGAAGTTGCTTTCATGGATTCTAGTCTTGTAATTTCCATAGAACAGTATCACAATAAGCCTAATTACTAATTGCGCTATTGAAGCAAACACCAAAAGCAATCATCATGCAGAAAAAAATAAACATATAGCTAGTTAGATTGTAATGATAAGAAGAGGATTCACCAACCTGAAAGATATCAGCAAAACTCTTCTGCCTGCCTCCGAGATCCAAGCCAGGCAAACCAATCAATCCATTAGCATCCCAATCAGAAGAGGAAGCATTAGCTTTCTCAGCCTCAAACTCTTGCTGCTGCTTCATCTGATCAAAACCAGGCGGCATAGAGAACAGAGACCTGCTATCATTCACTTTTCTCCTATCCCCAATTCCACCTAACACGGTGCTACTCCCTTTAACCCTCTGAGCAACCCTCAGATCCTCCCTAGACATCAAAGGCGGAGGCAACCTCGGATTCAACTTCATGTTAGCATAGTAATAAGACAAGTAATCCGGATCTTTCCTAAACTCCTCATCGTCACCTCCAAACCCATTTCCCTTATTCACTCCACCAAACTCCAGAAAAGGGGCCCCACCTCCGCCGCTGAAAAGCCCTCCTGCAGCACTACCAGAGCCGTCCACAGTCGGCGGAGCAGAGCCACTTCTGTACAAGTTAAGCTCTCTTTCGACCTCATCAGCGTCCTCTTGACGTCGGTGCTGTTCTCCGAGCAATACTCCAAGCTCTCTCTCATAATTATCCCCAAAAGGTGAATCCTCGTTACCTCTAAGCATCGGCCTTCTTCCCAGTTCCGGAATCATAATTACCCAACAGCAAAAACGAAAATCCCCAAATATCAATTATGGTTATACGCTAAACTCTTAGCGAATCCTAAAGATCAGACCTTTCTACCTCAATATATACAATCTCGCAAAATTCTCTATTAGAGCTAACCCAAAGATCAAAACTTTAAGCGGTACTCAAATCCATTCAAGAGATTCTATCGATGATTGATGTTTGAAGTAAAATACCCTAACAATGACAAGGTGAAAGAGATAGCAAAATTGAGCTCAATGGGGAAAATGGGTTTTATAGTGTTGTTGACGGAAATATCCGACGGCGATGTAAGAACCTTAGGGTTTCTTGTGCCATTTAACTATGGAAACTAAAGAAATTACATATTAAGTGCTAATTATTGGGGTTGAAATATAGGGTATAGAGACTATAGAGGAATGGAAAAGCATTAAACAACATGACTGAAATTGTCAAAGATGCAAATACCTGATGAAACTTTTTAACGATTAAGTACATTTTTAACAATGTTTTTTTTAGAATAATCTGTGTTTCGCGCTTAATTTTATATTACTGTTAATATAGTTAGAAAAAATTTACTAATATAAAATATCAATATATTTAACTTTTGACAGTTTTATATATAGTAAATAAAAAAAATTATCAAAAAAAATATTAGTGGAATAATTTGTGTTTCGTGCGTAATTTTATATTACTGTTAATATAGTTAGAAAAAATTTACTAATGTAAAATATCAATATATATATATAACTTCAACAGTTTTATATGTGGAAAATAAAATAAAATTTATCAAAAACATATAATATATAATAGAAAATTATATTATATGTACATATAAAAAAACCGAAATCAAAAATCTATTTTAGATTTATAATCTTTATCAGATATTTAAGTTTTGAATATTCATATTTGTAGCTAAAATTTAGATAGCCACATATCTAATCTTCGTAATATCTGTTAATTTTAGATTTGAAAGAGTTATATTAATTATTATATTTATATTTTTCAAAAAAAAAAATCTGAATCAAATGTTTATTCATATGATATTAGTTTTATTTCATAAATATATAAATATTTTTAAAAATATACATTAATTTTCTTTTTCTTTTTTTCTCTCATCAATGCAAAAAATTGAACAATAGATCATATGACATTCAACAACATTGATCTCCTTTCATAAATTTGATATATTTCAAAGATACATTTATAATCTATATATTTTTTATAACAAAAAATGATTCATATAAATTTACACTGATTCATATAAATGGTTTCAAACTGGTTAACTCACAAGATAATTTATTTGAATCTACATCTCTCTATTGAAACTTACAACATACTAAACTATATACAACATTTTAGTCTGGTTTACAATCAACACTTAGTATATTTTACTTTTGTTTCTCTTTGTCTTATGATTTTTGATGTATGATTTCTCGACTCAGAATGCTATTAGAATTTTAATAAAATTTTACCTATTTATTATCTCTAAGATTATTTTGAATATGTTAAATATTAAAATATCAGGTTTTTTGGGTAATATGTTAAAAATTAAATATATTGATATTTTACATTAGTAATTTTTTTCTAACTATATTAATGATAATATAAATTTACGCGGGAAATATATATCATTCCACTAATATACAAGATTTAACTATAATATACATTTTTTGGTAATATATTAAAAATTAAATATATTAATATTTTATATTAGTAAATTTTTTCTAACTATATTAAAGGTAATATAAATTTACGCGCGAAATACAGATCATTCTTCTAATATACCAGATTTGGCCATAACATGCATTTTTACATATTTTTTAAAAAAATCAGAGAACATCTAAAAGCTCTCATGAGTTCATGAGTTATACTCACATTGTCCATTTCTTTGTTGAATGAATTCGTGTTTGTCCGATCACTGATTTTTAACCATGTAAATGTATGTCTTGTTTTTCACCTATGACACACTTGAGAGCATAATCGTAGAGCAATCTGCGTCGTCGTTTGATTAAGGGATTCGTATATAACCATCTTACACCACTCTTATGCATTCAATGAAGAATAACAGATCTTGCAATAGTCTAATACCGAATTTTAAACATTGCATGTACCATCTTAATTCGAGTTACCAAACAAGGTTCGTGAGTCTCGAAACCGGTATCATAATTCTGACCATAGTGTGAGACATTGGTACAGATTGTCACATTGGAGTTAAAGAAGAAATTTGATAGAGAAGAGTGTTTAAGGTTTACCTAGAGAAAAGGAACCATCATTTTGGTTGCAAGGCTCGGTGACTTTTATATTATCGAATGTTTCTTGCATAACAAGTAACCGGACAATTATCGACAGCAAAAAATTAAAAATTCCAGAAACGAAGAGATCTCGTGAAATAAAGAGAAAAGAGTTTTGATAAAGCTCTAAAAACTGGGATTATCCTAAAAGCATACACATATGGCATGAGAGCCAATTCTTTTTGTACAATGTGAAGAAAAACTCTAAAATCATCACATCATTTTTTCTTTACACCATTCTCTGCCTTTTTTTTTCACTCACTCATCAGCCTAAAGTGGGGGATATTTGGTTCTATGTAATAATAAAAACGGTAAGAAACTACACAATGTACAGATTTTTGCGGAAGATCAAACAAAGAACTCTCTTTCACAATTTCCCGCAGATATTTGCTTTAGATCTTACCTAACTCCTCAAAACGCTATGGCAGAGCCATCCACCCTAGTTAAGCTGTACAACTCTTACGCCACCTGAGGCGGGTTTAGTGACTGCATACCCATTCTCCTCTCTGCATATAACATTAAACCACTCAGAGACATCAAAATGCTTATTGTAGCAAATAAAGGCTGAAACTTTGAGGCATTGTAGCAGATAAAGGCTGAGACTTTGAGGCATTGTAGCAGATAAAGGCTGAGAGTTTGGATACTAGAAGAGAAGGAACGAGAACATACCTCCAGCAGCAACGAGTTTTTCAACACGGGCAACGATATGCTTCCCATACGTGTATTTCTTTAACGCATTGAGATGCACTTTGATACGGGTAAGTATCAGCTCACGCTGTTGGTCATCGCACGTCTCCAGAACTTTTTGCACTACATAGTTTGCAAACTGATCCTTCATCATCGCCTATATACACAAGTAAGAAGAAGAAGAAGCATATGTATGAGCTTATTAGTTTCTCTGTTTTCCCCAACAATCATCTGAAACTATGTGTGTTTTGACAAACCTGAAGAGGCTCGTTTTCATCAGTTGTGCCCAGCATCTCATTCACCAGCAATTCACGTTCCTCTGGACCTCCAAAAGTCAAACACTTCTCAACGACGTTTGAGGCAAACTTCTGCTGGCTCATCTGAACAATCTTCCCGGCAAGCTCTTTGATTATCACAGTACGCTCATCAGGCTTTCCATGCTCAAGCACATGCTGTCCACAAAACGTGTATCAGTTATGAGCAAAACAACAATCACCAGCTGCAGAAAAACTCCAATAAACTTTTACAAACCTGAATAACATAGTTTCCATACTGATCTTGGGCCAGCATACTAACAGTGGACAAGATTTCCTCCATAACCTTACTCTGTGTATCCGGTTCATGGCAGTGTTCCAGTACCCTCTGCAACAAGAGACGAGAAGAGGTTTACATAACCGAAAAAAAAGTTTCATCTTTATAAGTAAGAGTAAGAACCTGAATAACGCGGCAGCCATATGGGTGAGTGGAGAGAGTCACAACTTGACCGAAGAAAGTCGAAATAATGAATCCAATGTTTTCTTCAGGCACACATTCGATGCACTTCTGAACCACATGGTTCCCATTCTGATCGCGTACACATCGCATCACATTACCATCAAGTTCTTTCACCATCTTGATTTTCTGGTCTAGATCAACCACCTCAATTGCCTAAAATAGCGAAATAACAGAAGCATAACAAAAATGTAACTGATCTTGTGAATGGAAGACAGACTTGTAGAGATAAAGTAGAAGAGGTGAGAACAACACTTTACCTTCTGGATCACACGACAACCATACATCTGTAAGCTAAGAGCCAAAACGTTGTCAAAGAGCTTCTGTGCCAACTCTCTCCTCTGTGAGGGGAGTCCATGCTCAAAGAACTGAAGGAGGATTGAAACATTCAGGAATCTTTCATGTAAAAGTGTGTAAACTCTAAACAAACAGAGAAGAGGACAAAATCTACCTTCTGAATTACATAGTTTCCAAAAACGTCAGTCATCAGGACAAGAGCTTCAGGCATGATCTCCTCATAAACCATGTTTTTCTCATCAGTTGTTGCTGTCTCGAGTTTCTGCTGAATAAACCGGCTCCCATATTGATCCGCACTGGTGAGCCCAATTTACGTGTTAGCTTGGGACAAATGGTAAACAAAGCATAAAAGGTAAAGATTCTCAAGAAATTACCTGAACTCTACAACATGGCCAGCTATTTCAGAAAGCTCGAAACCTCTTGTTTTGTTGCTTTTGAACTCTTCCAGCAATGAAGATCCAAAGCTTTCATCCAAACTAGCACTTCCCGAATAGTTTCTTGTTGCAGATGGATATCGCATATTAACTTCACCACCTCGTCTCATAGGGCTAAGAGGTGCCAAGAGAGAGTTTTGCATAACATGATGAGCCAATGGACTGCCAGGATATGACATGTTGGACCCAAATGTTGGACTTCCGTAATAGCTATGGCTGTTAGGGCTAACAGATTTGTAAGGGACGCCATACTGTGATTTCTGAGCTCCGAGATAAGCCCTCTGGAGTTCAAGCATAGTCATGTATGAATTACCCATGAAGCTCCTGTCCATTGCAGGATCATTAAGAAGAGCAATCGAATCAGTATACTGATGATACATTGGGTCTGCAATATGTGACTGAAGACGAGCACCTTGTCCCATCATTCTATTACTGACTCTGCCAAGGTTAAGTGATTCAGGGAAGTTTTGACCTCTTCCATGAAGCCTGGAGTCCATTCCAGAATATCCCAAAGTGGAAACATCTTCATACATTGGAGGAAAGTTACTAGTCCCAAGTTGGCTAGCCATCATAGAAGCTACAGCTGGATTTAATGCGTGGTTGTTCAGACCATAGTTTTGCCTATCAAGATGCTGGTATGGACCAGGTAATCCACCTACACCGTTATAAGCAGATACTTGTGGCCCTCTTGATTGTGAATTCATCCAAGAACCATTTGCTTTATGCTGGTAAGGATCAGATTTGTGTTGGTTGGCTTCGTTATGCATTCCAAACATATAAGTCCTGATCTTTTCGACATCCTGTTCAGCTTGACCACTGGCTGACAGGTTCATGCCAGATAAAGCAGCTGCGAGATCAGATGACTCGTTGAGACCAGATGAAACACCGTTGAACGGGCTTTGGTTACTTGTGTTCCTCTTATCATTTGAACTCATTGGAGTAAGGCAGGGACTAGGCACCCTAGCAATGGCCTGTGGATCCGGAGTTCCATTTCTAGACAATGAAGAACCGAGAACCGCTGCATAGCTGTATGGTGGTGAGGCACCAATGCCTTGTGATGCAGATGGAGATTGATTATTTGTGGAGTCAACATTCTCATCAAAGGTATTACGACTTGCAGGACGTGTAGGCTGCTGTGCGACGGGATGTCCCATGTCAGCCTGCGTAGAGGCAATACATCAATACATACAGAGAGGAGCAAATGTGGCACAAGATCACAGTTTATGCTTGAGTGAAGTTTCTAGCATTTTAATTCTCAATACATACTTGCATCATCATAAAGCCACAAACGTTTAATCATCAAACAGGATAAACATTATCACAATATCTAACCATTGCATACTAATAAGAAGAGGATTCACCAACCTGAAAGATATCAGCAAAACTCTTCTGCCTGCCTCCAAGATCCAAACCAGGCAAACCAATCAATCCATTAGCATCCCAATCAGAAGAGGAAGCATTAGCTTTAACAGCCTCAAACTCTTGCTGCTGCTTCATCTGATCAAAACCAGGCGGCATAGAGAACAAAGACCTGTTATCATTCACTTTTCTCCTATCCCCAATACCACCTAACACGGTGCTACTCCCTTTAACCCTCTGAGCAACCCTCAGATCCTCCCTAGACATCAAAGGTGGAGGCAACCTCGGATTCAACTTCATGTTAGCATAGTAATAAGACAAGTACTCTGGATCTTTCCTATACTCCTCGTCGTCACTGCCAAACCCATTTCCCTTATTCACTCCACCAAACTCCAGAAAAGGGGCCCCACCTCCGCCGCTGAAAAGCCCTCCTGCAGCACTAAAAGAACCGTCCACAGTCGGCGGAGCAGAGCCGCTTCTGTACAAGTTAAGCTCTCTCTCGAGCTCATCAGCTTCCTCTTGCCGTCTCTGCTGCTCTCCGAGCAATATGTCAATCTCGTAATCATCCCCAAAAGATGAATCTTGGTTACCTCTAAGCATCGGTCTTCTTCCTAGTTCCGGTATCATCATGACCTAAACAACAACAAAACCCCAAAAATCAATTATCCAAATCCTAAAGATCACACCTTTCTACCTCTTTATCTATATAATCCCCAAAAGTATCTATTTAGAACTAACCGTAAAGATCAAAACTTTAAGCGCTACCCAAACCCATTCGATGATTGATTCTCATCAATCTTCTACCAACATGTGTTACTGTTGTTTTAAATTAAAAACCCACTAACAACGACCAGATTGAGAACTATAAAAATTGAAACTTTATGGAGAAAATAGGTTTTATAGAGAGTTGGCGGAAAAAAAAATCAGACGGCGATGTAAGAATTCATTAGGGTTTTTGTGAAATTAAAAAGAAAAAGAAAATCACTGTGAATCATTCATTATTAGGGTTGATCTGACCGATTGCATAAGGAAGAATGAAAAAAATAAAAATCAAGCATAAATTAAAAATAAAAATAATAATAACAAACTGAAACTTATGTCCTCGTGTTCCAGAGCTGGGGAATCTCAGACTCACACACGTTTGAAGCTGTTTCGAGATCTTCTGTTCTGTGTTTCAGTTTGGGGTTTAAGGACACAGCTTTTTTTTTAACAAAGTACACTTCAAGATGATGATACGATCTTCAGGATTTAATTTTTATAAAGATTTAAGTTCTTCAAATTTGAAAAATAGGAAACTAACATATTTAGCATTAGGAAACTGAGGAAAATATACAAAAATGTTAATTTTCTTTAAAACTGAGATCTCCAAATAAATAAATAAAGGGTACTCTTATATGTTAACAATCTAAATAATTGTATACATACATTAAAATATATAAATATGACAAAAAAATTATTTTAATTATGAGTTACAATAACAAACTATTTGGTAATTGATAAATCTGTTTATATTTCTGTCATTCATTCTTTCTAAACATTAATAGTATCATACTATTTCTGTGTTTCTGTTATTTGATATGATGCAGATTGATTCACCAAAAATAGAAATGAACAAAATGTGTAACTGTGAAACACAGATTCACTGGATTGGCATGTTCTCTCTGTAATAGTATAGTTCGTTTGAAATAGCATTCAAATATCAAAAGGTAGAAGATTGTGAATTTGTGAGTATTCAAAAAAAATGAAAATAATCTATCCGTTTTTTTAACCAACAGTTAATACTTTTGATATTATGTAAATGGAATTTGATGTATTTATTTTCAAAATGGGAGTTTTAAATTTTGGTCACTAGTCAAAGCTGCCTTTAAATGTATCATTTAATGGTAAGTATTCGGTTTAAATTGTCTGGAACGTTTTAATATGGGAGTAATGCGATTAAATTAAATAAGGTATCTTTGTTTTGTTCTTAGATCGTGCTTGGTCATGATTGCTCTCCGAAATCCACGAGTCGGCGTATGAATCGGTGTTGGTCGTAGACGGGCAAAAGTGAAATATATTGTTAGGTTAACTCAAGTTTTATATATGGGCTTTGAAATGTGTTTTTATTTTGCATCCCACTTTGTGATTTCGAATAGACATTTAAGGCCCAATGAACTCAGCCTTTTAAATCCAATACATTCACTTGCTATATTCATTGATTCAGAGTTCAGTATTTTTGGTGTTGGAAGACACCAGGTTATTATTTTTGGTTTGTGTAATTAGTTGGAATTCTTGTTGTTGTATTTTTTATTTCTAGATGCTTACGATTTCATTTTCTTGGGGTTTGTTTAGTTACATATACTCTTGTTGGATATTGGTATTAGATAAGGATCAAGCATGTATGATTATAGAGTATAGACGATGATTAGGGTTAAATCTTGTTAGGTCATTCACTGGGGTTATGACTAATGCTATATTAGGCTCGAAATTTTTGATCTCGATTGTAAGCTTTTCATTCTCAAGAGCTGTATGTAAAATTGTTTGATCCAACTTTTAGTGAATTCTTTTCATTTTTAACCAATGATACTTTGTGTTAAAAAAACATATATATATATATATAAGTTATCATTCAATTCAAAACAAAAAGTTATTTACATATCGTTGGATACACATGAATTCAGTAGAAAGTAACAGTAAAGGAGAACTGTGGAAGTTGGTAAACCTACAACTAACGACCTACAACATTATTATGTTCTTTCTTACTTTTGGTAAAACCATGATTTTGATTATCATCAATTACCAATGAATCTTGGTAAAACCTTCCAACTACTAAAAAATGCAAGAAAACCCTCCAAAAAAATTTAGTTCGAAAAGAAAAAACCCTCCAAAATAAACATGTAATATATAACCCGGCCCTCACCGTGTATATATATATATATATATATATATATCACTATGTGTATATTTTAGCAATTCTTAAAACGAAAATAACGTGTGATTGTCCCATGAGGCTTCGAAGTCTTCGGATATTGGTTTCTTCTATATAAAAAGAAAATAGTACGTATATACGTGATTTGGAGGAAGCACATATAATATGCATGTCGTCTTTTTATGGAGCTTACCAAATTTTGGTTTTGGTTTTGTTTATGTTGAAACCATCAGTGTAATGCGGTAATGTGGGCTGAACTTAGTTGGTACTGGTACAGTTTAGCTCATGGGTGGTTGGTTCCGACTTTCGAGGAGTATGCATGTATAAATTGATCCATTAAGAAGATTATGTTTAGTTTACGAATTGTTAAATGATGCAAGGTGGTGTTGGTGTTGTATCACAGATGGAGATATTTTTGTGTTTAGTAAATCTTTGGCCTGGAGCTATAAATTTTGATTTGAGCGATGAAATGCATGTTAATGCATTAGGAGGCAACCCTCTATTTTTAAACAGACAAGGAGCTATTGAAGATGACGACATATCCAACAGATTAGACAGTATTTTTGACTCATCTAACATAGTTTTGGGCCTAATTAAAGTCAAATTATTTATTTTATCTTTTACCATTTTTTTGCGTACGTTAGATGTGAAAGCATACACACATTGCTAGATTTCTTTTTTTGAGTATCGTTTGAATGATTTAGACGAAGCTGAGTTTGCAAGAAACTTATTGCCGCCAATTTACTTACAGAACTAATTAGATATTTTAGAGTATTAAATACCTTACTCATTCTTTACTTTTTTTCCTGCTATGAGCAAGACACCAATATTAACTTACAGATAAAACATTCCTAATTAAATTCAATGATTACATGCTGACAAATAATATAAAAGAAAATGTAATGACTCATTTGACCAAAATTAAACATCGGATGCAACATCTTAATATTAGTTGCCAAATATCAAGGAGAGGGTAGATGAGACAGATAAAAGTAGATTATAAGGCCAAGTGAAGCTGAATCCAACGATCGTTGTCTTATGTTGCTTGAAAGGAATAGATGAATTTGGTGAAGTGTCAAAGAGAGAGAGTCTTTCAGGAAACTGTGAAGATCTTCCTTAAGCTTAGATCCACTCAACACTCTCTTTTTGTTGGAACATATGTTTTCAAACAACCAACGGTGCAACTTACCATGTACTTATTAGACCCACTCATGCCTATATACTCATTTCATTTTATAATTTCCTTAATTTAGTCCTGCCACATGTGTATATTACTTAGAATAAAGTGTAGTAGTATATTTCTATTCAGTTTATCATATCTTTGGAAAAAAGCGAAAAACGTAAATTTGAATTTGTATATAATTTTTGAACTTCAATTTTGATCTAAAGTGTTGAATTTTTTTTTTTTAATTTATAGCTTTAGCTTTTTGTGTATTTACTAATCAATTGGTTTTCATATGAAATAATGTTTTAGTGAGTTTTATTTTGTATCAAATCATGTGATATTCTCAATGTAAATGTTTAATATATTCCTCATAATTGATTTAATATTGTTTGATCATTAATTATAAAGCTAATAGTTTTGGGTATACGTTCTAGTTTCTACTGAAACATCAGTTCTTTAGACAGAGACGGAATTTTTTAGTTGTTGTCTCGATTCTGTGTTTGTATCTAATATTTTCATGAGTTATCATTCTATTGGTACGAAATATTGTATGTAAAGCTATAATCATCATAGTTAGAGACTTAGAGCACATAATTAATTAAATTATCCGAATATACTATAATCTTGTTTCTTTTGTTTTTGCTTTAATCTTGCTACCAACCATAACCCTACCAATTGCCTCTTTGCCTTATATAAAAACAACACTCTAGCTCTATTTATATCATCAATACACCACTTGAGAGCATCACCAGAAACCGATTAAGAAAATCATATTTCATACATTGTGAAAGAGAAAAATATATTTTTGCTTCAATATTCAAATAAATATTATTCATGGCTACGTGGGTTTTGCATTATCTTTTAGTGGCATTTCTGATTGCCATTAGTTACAACATCGATGCTGCATCGGCAGGAATCACGCGGCACTACAAGTTCGATGTAATAATAATATTTGTTTCAACTGAGACCAAATATGTATTAGATTATTTTAATCACTTGTTCTAATTTTTCTCCGGCAGATTCAACTAAAAAACATCACAAGATTATGCAAGACAAAAACAATCGTGACGGTCAATGGAAAATTCCCAGGACCTAAGGTTATCGCAAGAGAAGGAGATAATCTACAGATCCAAGTTGTTAATCATGTCTCCAATAACATTTCCATACACTGGTAAATTACTAATATTTCTTATACCATATATAGTGATAATTTTTCAACTCTTATTGTCACTTTCATTGAGCCTCAATAAATAAATTAATGTATAGGCATGGGATCCGGCAGCTAAGGAGCGGTTGGGCGGATGGACCATCGTATGTCACACAATGTCCAATTCGAACCGGACAAAGTTATGTTTACAACTTCACGGTGACCGGTCAAAGAGGAACCTTGTGGTGGCATGCTCACATTCAATGGATGAGAGCCACCGTGTACGGACCATTGATCATTCTCCCTAAACTTTATCAACCTTATCCTTTTCCCAAGCCTTACAAACAAGTCCCTATACTCTTTGGTAATTATCTTTCGTACACATAACTTTTTTACCTTACATATGAGTGCCAAAAGAGTAGTGTTCTGTTTTAAGGGATTCAACAGTTGATGTTTCAAATTTGGGTATGTAGGTGAATGGTTTAGTGCTGATCCTCAAGCAGTGTTACAACAAGCTCTTCAGACTGGTGGAGGGCCAAATGCCTCTGATGCTCATACTTTTAATGGGCTTCCAGGCCCGTTATACAATTGCTCTACAAAAGGTAAAATGATACGTTTTTTATCTTTCTAAAGTCATGTTATGTATTGTCTTGTAATAATACTTACGCACATGTTTGTTCAGACACATACAAGTTGACAGTGGAACCTGGGAAGACATATCTACTAAGACTGATCAATGCTGCACTCGATGATGAACTCTTCTTCACCATAGCCAATCATACATTAACAGTGGTCGAAGCTGACGCTAGCTACGTTAAACCATTCCAAACCAACATTGTACTTCTCGGTCCGGGACAAACCACCAACGTACTACTCAAAACCAAACCTATCTACCCAAATGCAACTTTCTACATGATGGCAAGACCTTACTTCACCGGCCAAGGAACAATCGATAACACAACCGTCGCGGGAATTCTCCAATACCATAATAAACCGACGTCAAATCATTTTAACTCTTCTAAGAACCTTCCTGTGATTAAACCTTCTCTCCCTCCTATCAACAGCACAAGCTACGCCGCAAATTTCACTAAAATGTTTAGAAGCTTGGCGAGTTCTAGATTTCCAGCAAACGTACCAAAAACCGTGGATAAGAAATATCTCTTTACCGTCGGTTTAGGAACCAACCCTTGTCCTAAAAACCAAACGTGCCAAGGACCAACTAATACCACGAAGTTCGCAGCAGCTATCAACAATGTGTCTTTCATCTTACCAAACAAGACTTCTCTATTGCAATCATACTTCTTTGGAAAGTCCAATAAAGTTTTCATGACCGATTTTCCAAGTGCCCCTATTTTTCCATTTAATTACACGGGTATGCCACCAAACAACACAATGGTCTCAAGAGGGACAAAACTCGTGGTCTTGAAGTACAACACAACTGTTGAGTTGGTCTTGCAAGGCACTAGTATCTTGGGTATTGAGGCACATCCTATTCATCTTCATGGCTTCAACTTTTATGTGGTAGGTCAAGGCTTTGGTAATTTTGACCCGACCCGTGACCCAAAACAGTATAACCTAGTTGACCCGGTTGAACGAAACACCATCAATGTCCCTTCCGGTGGTTGGGTTGCCATCCGCTTCCTTGCCGATAATCCAGGTAATGCGGTTTGGTTAATAACATATATTCAAATGAAGATATATATTTTGACACTACTACAGAATCGTATTAATTTTAATGGTTAATGAAATTTCCTACTATATGTTTTTAATAGTTGTTTGATGGTGACACAGGTGTGTGGTTAATGCATTGCCACATTGAGATTCATTTGAGTTGGGGTCTGACTATGGCTTGGGTGGTTCTGGATGGAGACCTTCCAAATCAGAAGCTCCTTCCTCCACCCTCAGATCTTCCTAAATGTTGACTCTGACCGATCCAACGCCTGTTCTGATGCCACATCACCTTTTTACCTTTCTTGGAATGCTATTTTCTTAAATTGTGCAATATGTGTTTTCTCGTTTTCCTCTTTTTTCCCTCTTTAGTGCTTCTGTGTTTTGTGAATCATCCACTTGAGAATTCTGATTTTTTTTCTTTTTTAATTTTTACTTGTAAGAAAGTGAGTGAACTGAAGAGCTTTGGTCGCCGTGATAATTTCTCTTGACATTATTTTGACGCAAAGTAAATAATTTTTGTAATCAACAAAATGCATTAGCACAAATATGCAAGACTGCAACGTTGATCTTCCTTTTTTTTTTCATTACCTGATTAAACTAAAGATTTTAGGTTATGATAATGACAAAAGATGGAGTCGTTGACAACTTTTCATTGGATTCGCTATATTATATTCCAAACTTTTTTCCCCTTAATAAAGTGAAAGGATAGATATCTCATGTCAATAATGCCGACTAATTTCTAAATACTTAACTGTTTATACATGATATAGTGTAATCGTAAGTTTTTATAAAATAAAATGTGGAAATATATTGACACTAAAGAATTTTCATTTGCCAAGAGGGAATCTTTCTTCCATCAAAGAGACAAAAACCCAGAAAGCAAACAGAAAAAAATACTGCCACCAAATACTGCCATAAAATGCAAAAAAGAATAAAATAATAATTAATAAAGCTAAGAAAAAACAAAATGTGAGTAGAGTTCCAGACATTATTGGTGTTTGCAAGATCTATAGCATCAAACCATCATATTGATATATTCTTATCATCATCACATTGACATTAATGGACTGCATTATTGTTTCATATATAATCAACAATCAATTAAAAAGAAAAGCCTCAGATCTTTGACCAGATTATATGAATCATGCATGAATCATATCATTTTAAAATAACCAAGATATAAAATAGATGTCATATTACTAAAACATTAAATTGAAGATTGAGTTTGTTAAATTGTTCCAAGTCCATTTCCAGACACTTTGAAAATGACTATTCATTGTAGATCCTTACATAAACACTGTACTTCATGATGACAACAATCCTCCAGATAATGTATCTAATTCAATAATCATATCTAAATATAAATACTTGCAACAACGATACATATACATAGACTATCATTGTGTATGTGTAGCATATGCAAGTTGTATAATTGAAAACCTAAAAGCATAGAAACCCTAATCTTTTAATCAAAATCTCTTCTTATACAATGTACTTGTATGGAAACCCTCATTAATCAAACTGGTCTAATTACAAGGAACAAAAAAAGAAGAAGATCCAAATTAAGAATCTCCATGTTTATGCCAACAAACAAGCATAGCCACACACCTTCTCATGATGTAAAACCTTGCCTTCTGTTCTTTGGCCAAGCTGCTGTATTTATGAGTGGTAGAAGAAGAAGATGAAGAAGAAGATCTTCTCTCTTTTCTTGAGAAGCTTCTGGAGACTGAAGAGGAAGAAGAAGAGGAAGAGGAGGAGGAAGGAATAGAGCACTTAGTAGAGGAACTCCTTACGAATATTGGAGACTTTATGGTGGAAACATTTGTTGAGAAGCTTCTAGAGAACTTTGACTTAGACGAAGAAGAAGAAGCTGCTATTGTCTCTTTCTTCGACAGCTTCCACTTCTCCTCCATGAATAATGTGTGCTTCTTCAGAGAGACTCGGATCCAGATTCAGATGAATGGGTCTAAGAAGTGTGTTTCTTGTGTCTTTGATTGTGAGTTAGTGGTGACTCAACTCAAAGAAGAGAGAGTGATTCAAAGAGGGAGAGAGAGATAGAGAAGTACAGAGAGTGATAGTGTATCTTTGCTTATATATCTTCTTTTTTAATGTGTAATTAAATGGAGATAACAAATGGCAAAAAAATCAATGAGGGAAAAATTGAAAAATTTGTTCTTATAATTTTTTTTGGGTCATGTTTTGTTCTTATAAATTGTAATCTAATATTTAATCAGCTCATCATGAGGTGTGAACCTTTTTTCCGTCGACTTAGGAACTATTTTCTTTTGGCGTCGAGTTAGGAACTATTTAGTGCCCACTTGATTTCAATTATAATTTCTTATGTCTTTTTTTTTTTGTCAAACTGAATTTCTTATGTCTATCATAAACTTAATCTTATATTTTGGCTCAGTTATAATAAAAGATCAGTAGATGTAGTTACTCTTGACTAGCCTGTATCTATACCAACATACCAAGTTTATATTAAAATGTCGTCCAAAATTAGTGGATTTCAAAAAAGTAAAACTAGTGCCTCCCAAAAAGTTCTCCATCCTACAAAATCTAATCATAAAAGGTGGTGTACTAACATCATGTGAAATTATACACGGTAACATTTTATTATAATTCGTCACCGATTTTTTTGCCAACGTCTTCTCTAGTTTAGATAATAAAAATATGTGTTTATAGGAGAATGATGAATATCTCTGATTTTCTTTTTTTATGAATACCTTATCTTTCCATTTAGTTTTTTTTTAAAGTGGCAAATTGGCAATGAGTTTTGAGGGGTATACAGAATCCGCAAGGTTTTGGGATGAGGGCTTTTACTTAGCGTTGACGATATAGTGATGCTTTGATTAGTGGAATTGTATTAATTAGATAACGTATGCATTGAAAGTGAATTATTCCATAGTTAACGTGGCAAATTCTTATTGGGTGGATCTTATAGAACTCGAGGTCTTATACCACCACGAGATCTACACATTGTTGAAATCCTCTTCTTGAGATCTGCCATTAATGTTGGAGGAACCAATGTCGTACGTTTATATACATAATACATAGTATATTAGTATGTACATATATAATATATGCACAATCATAATCTTCATTTAAACTCGTCACATGAAAGAGATCCTAACATGGAGCACGATAAAATTTATCGGTATTGCTTTCATGATAGATATTGATTGAAATATGTACTCATATTTTATTACTATAGTTTATTGATTAAATTAAAATATTTATATCCATAGAGATCCCTATATAGTATTGCCATAGTGGGACAGGAATCACAAGAAAATAATGTGGAGGAGGAATATAATAATTTAAGAAACTGATTTAGTAGTAGAACAGTAGAGCTAAAATTTCCGCGAAATGAATAAGAATCATACAAATGAGTCAAATTTATAAGACTCAATAAAGAGTATTCCGAGAGCTTCGCTATTCCGCTTGGCATAATCGTGCTTTTGGTAAATAACAAGTACAAAATATACTGAATATAATATGATGATGGAGAATGTTTATAATTGTAAGGAATATTTTCAAATATTGGAAATTGATATTTTTTTATTCAAATATAAAAAATGGTATTATTGTTTGTGTGCGGGAGGGACATAGAGATAGAGAGATAAGTGTTGCATGTGATATAAGTATAATAAAACAACAGAAACATTAAAGCCAAATATTTATGTCAGTATTTAAAAAATAGTTTTTGTAGATTAACAACGTTCACTTTTATTTATACCTGTAATATATGTATTATGTAACAAAAAAATATAAAATTGAAAAAACTTGACAACTATTATGAATGGTAAATATGTAAAAATAGAAGAAAATATCTTTAAAAAAAACTCTTAAAAAAGTGGTATGTATATACATCACCAATATGTAGTCAGTGTTGTCTACAATAAGGTTATTATTTCCAAATATTGGAAATAGAGGTTTTTTTATGCCAATATTAATTATTGTGTGGGGGCTTAGAGAGGAGGGGCAAAGAGGGATGGAGAGATAGGTGTTTCCGTATGATAATGATTTATAAAAGATGGGAAGAGTAGACAGGTTTGGTCTAATGATATTCTACATGTTTTTTTCACTTATGTCTTTCAAACCAGCCTGTATTTACGCAAAAAAGAACCCACATTACATTGTCCCCAATTTTTTTATGTGGATTGTATCATTTCTATCCTCCACATATTTCAAATCTGCTTTTCCCCAAAGCCCTAAACACCCAAACATTTGTAATTTGATTTAAAAATCATTCAACTATACTGGTTCAATTGTTTTGACGGATATTCAAACTCGTGTAAACGAACAAACCTTTTGTTACTACTGAGATTTTGTGTGTGTTTAGTTTGTATGAGTTTTGTGTTTTATATAGAAAAGTTAATACCTAAAATTATTAATTTTTTGCACAATATAAATAAATACAAACGATATCTATGGTACCTAGTATTAGGGGAATCCTAAAGAATAGAGATTTTGGTTTATGCATCAGATATTTTTGCATTTAATTTCTTATTTACTGATAAAAAAATCTAAATAACAAAATAAAAAACACTTTACCTAAGACAAAACTCAGAAATTGTAGTTTTTGGTTTTTGTTCACAAACTCACAAAATCTGTAAAAACTAGTAAGGAACAAAAATCTGAATGACTAAAAAATAGTTTTTGAAAAACAAAAACCAAAAACCATTTCATAAACTGCAAACAGTCAAGCCCTATATATATTTATGTGTTGGTACGGATAGAGTATGAAGTATCATCATCCTTCATCCAAATTCATTTTTTTTATTTTATATTAACCATATTTTATGAATTGCCACCTGATACCAAGACTCAAGTCACAAAATTTAGAAAGAGATTACACAAAGTACTAAGCAAAAAGATACAATAATCTTGCACTAGTAAGTAGTCGAGTCTTCTGCTTCGACAACACTGAAGGAGTAGTGCGTTTGTATCAATTAGTTACGAACTTACGACCACCTCTTCCCCTATCACGATTACTATGACCATTTGTAACTAATTGTCATTGCATATTCTTTACTTTGGCAGACGGTTTGATAGGGCTTTCTCGAAGAATTAGCCAATAACAGAACTTAGAAATACGACTCATTTTGAACCTCATATATAATATGACAAGTAGAATCATAATGTTAAAATTATAACTGGTTTATCTGATGTTAGCTCATCTGACGTACTATACAACCCACCCAAAGGAGAAGAGATGGTAAATTTTTGAACTGAAAGTACCAGTTATATATGTATATGAGTTTAGCTATAAAACTTTTTGATTTATAAAACAATATTACTGGCTAACCAAAAGTTAACTTTAACTTTAAGCAAGATAAAAAATGCATATATACAGTTCTTTTAAATTTAGAGATTATAGTTTTAACTTTTTCTTCAGATGTATCAATTATTTCAAACACAGTTTTTGCATTTGTATTTAAATGAAAAAAAAAATCAATCACACGAATATAAACGTTGATAAAAATAAATAAATAACAAAATGATATTTTTGAAACTAGATCATGAAAATGGAATTTTTGATATTCTCTCAATAAAAAAACATCATAT